TATGGTGCTCCTCCAACTCGACTGCCCACTTCATCATCCAGCCGGAAGCTTCTGGCTTGAAAAGGGCTTGCAGAATGGGTTGTTCTGTTAACACTCATATCGGATGTGCTTGGAAATATGGCACAGGCGCCGAGCAGCCAGAACTAAGCTCAAGATAAGTCTTTCTATGGGCGTGTATCGTGTCTCTACCCCTTGTAACACTTTACTGACAAAGTAAACAGGAATCTCCTTGCCATCCTTGTTTTGGACTAGGACAGCTGATATGGCCTTTTCTCGAGCAGTTAGGTACACATATAGGGTTTCTCCCGGTTCTGACTTGGCCAATATAGGCAGCTGTTTAAGATGCTCCTTTCGCTCTTGGAAGGCTTTTTGGCATTCCTCATTCCACTCAAACTTTCTGCCTTTGTGGAGCGTGTGAAAGAATGGGAGGCATCTTTCTGCGGCTCGAGAGAGAAATCTATTTAAGGCTGCCAAGGATCCTGTGAGTTTCTGAATTTCTTTAACATTCCTCGGGGCTTCCATGGCTAGGATTGCCTTGATTTTTGCCGGATCAATACCGATTCCATCCTCGGATACGTGGTATCCTAGGAACTTACTCGATCCTACGCAAAAGGCACATTTTTTGGGTTAAGTTTCATATTAATCTCGCGCATATCTTTGACTATTTGCTCATCTTCGTTACTCTTGATCACCATGTCATCCACATATATCTCAATATTTCGGCCGATCTAGTCATAGAATGCTCGATTGTTGAAGCGCGGATAGGTTGCACCAGCGTTTTTCAAGCTAAATGGCATCTTGTCATGACAATACACCCCGATCTCGGTGATGTAGACTATCTTCGCCGCATCTTCTCGTGCCATAAGGATTTGATGGTATCCTTTATAGGCATCAAGGAAACTGAGGGTTCTATATCTGGTGATACCCTCAACCATCTGATCTATGATTAGTAAGGGATAACATTCCTTGGGGCAATGTTTGTTGAGATCCGTGAAATCTTGGCACATGCGCCAAGAGTTGTCAGGCTTCCATACCAGGACTGGATTAGCCAACCACGTAAGCCAAAGAACTTCTTGGAGAATATTAGCGCGGACTAGCTTCAACGTTTCTTCATTGATTACATCATTGCAGTCTCGAGCGAATATTCTCTTCTTCTATTGCCCAGGTTTAACACTGGGATCGACATTCAACCTGTGTTCAATAACGTCTCGTGGCACCCCTATCATATCTGTGGGTGACCAAGCGAATATATCACGGAACTCGCGTAGCAAGGCGACTACCTCGGCCAGCAACGTTCCTTGAAGGGATATCCCTATCTGGATGGTTTTGGAAGGATCCTTCTCATTAAGAATAAGCTCCTGTGTTTTGTTACTAAATGGTGGTATGCTGTTAATGTCGTGATCCTCTGATTGTGAGCGTAGCATTGTTTGTTGGATTGAGTAGCACCCCGACATAGTAGTGCTTGAGTTAGATTTCACGGTCTTCTTCCCCATCTTGACAACTGTGAGTAAACACTCTCGAGAGCTACGTTGGCATTCTTGCACCACTCCCACTCCATATTCTGTTGAAAATTTCATTACCAGGTGATAAGGAGACCAAATTGCTCGAGCTTGACACATCCAAGGTCGTCTTAGAATCACATTGAATGGCGAGGGTGCATCGATTAAGGCGAAATCCATGGTTAGTGTAACCATCCTACGATGCGTCCCTACCGTGATGGGAAGACTTATGATTCCCGTCGGGATAATGGTATGGCCCGAGAAGCCCATCAATGGTAATGTTGTCGGGCAGATCTTAGGATTTTGGATGTTCATCTTCTTGAAGCAATCGCTGTATATGATATCGACTGCACTGCCGTTATCCACGTAAACTCGACTTACGTGAATGTTTCCAATGATCGCCTCAATAACCATAGCGTTACTGTGAGGACAAATATCAGGGACCACGTCGCTATCAGTGATAACTATGGCCTCCGTCCCTTTAAACCTCTTGTGGCTAGGTTCCTAGGGAGGAGTTTTGGTGACAGTTCGTAACGAGTTTTTCATGGTTGTGGTGGATAATACCTCAAGAGAAGCTCTGTAAATGACTCCCACATTATGAGTGATCTGTTTAGTAGGATCTGCTGGAGGGACATGCTAAAGCAGTTGTGTTACTCCTTCAATGGCTTGTTGAGGAAGCTTCTGTGTATTGTTCCTCGGCTGCCAGTTATTCCCCCGATTTTCCCCTCGAGGCCCCTGGAAATTTCGTCTAGGGAAGTTTGCGATGAGACGGGCTTACTATTCTTTTGTCAAGAAGATCCTTGTACGTACTGTTGGAATATCCCAAATTTAACTCCATTCTCGATCTCCCTCTTGAGCTCTCGGCAATCTTCAGTATCATGGTCGTGGTTTTTGTGGTATTCACAATACTGTTCTGTCGACCTGTTTGGATTAGGAGCCAAGGGTTTTGGGGTTGGCAATTCACCCTTGTGAATTTGGAGGATTTCGCGACGCAATTTGGTTAGTGGGGTCAACTGCCTATCGAGCTTAGGCAATGTTGTCCTGCTCTCCATGGTAATCCCCGGCTTATCCCTTATTTCGACCGCTGTAAAAGATTCTTGCGACTTTTTGAGTGTATGCTCTCGTTGAATATGATTCTCAACTATGGCTCACATCTCCTGAGAACTTCGGGGAGGTTTAGTCAAGAGCTTTACCCTTAACATCGAGGATTTTCCAAACAGGTTAAGTCCTTGGATTAAGCCATTCTGAACGTCTTGTTCGTCTATGTTGTCGATCTGTAGGGTCTCTCGGATGAAACACTTATGAAAGTCTGAAAGGCTTTCATGTTGACCTTGTTTGATTGTGGAGAGATCAATGGACATCCTGCTGATTTGCTTACTCTGGAAAAAACGAGTGGCCAATTTGATAGAAACTTCGAAGCTAATTATGCTTCCTTCTGGAACTGTTCAAACCACCGCTGCGCTTGCCCGGTCAGATAGGAGGGCAAGGCCTTAGCCATGAAGTTTAAAGATGCATTCCTGATTCTCATAACGTGGACATATTCCTGTAACCACTGGGAGACATCAGTATCTCCGAAGTACTTCGTTAAATCCTTGGGAAAGTCAAAGTCTTGGGGCTTCGGCTCATCTCAAATTTCTGGTATAAACTACGGTCCACAGCCATCCCAATGATCCTCCTCATCTCCTATTGAATCGAGACATTATGCCCCCTCATTGTCTATTGTTGCCGAGGAGGATGAGGTGAGAACTCCTCGTGATTGTTGTATTGTTGCCACCTGGGAGGTGAATATTGAGGATGACGGTGATGCCCCCGTCCATATTCCTCTCCGACATCATCATTGTCCCGACTGTCTGTGGAAAGGCCTCTATTTTTCCCTTCGAGGACTTTTTCGATGCCAGTTGGGTCCCAATCAGTCGTGGACATTAGCCTTTCTCGGAGGCTTCCATTCATCATCTTCCATGACCTCGAAGCTTGGGGATCCTCATTGGTAGTGGTCTCGAGGACCCTTACGTCTGTATACCGCGGCAAACTCTTCAAGGGCTATATCAAAAGCAGGATATTTCTCCTTGAAAGCATTCCAGTAAACAGTATCTCGAGTTGCGGTTGAATAGTCTTCTAGGAAGCCTTCGCGATCTAAGAATTCCTGATAGTCCTCTTCTTCCTGGACTTTTCGCTTACCTTGATTCTTCTCGAGAAGGGCAAAGGTGCGGCGAGCTTCTTTCTCATCGATTAAGTCAGCCAATTCTTGGTCAGTTGGATCAGGTTGTCCAAGGAGACAGCGACGCCTTATTTCTTCGAGGACGTATCTTTTCATCCTTTGGTTTTGATCGTTGTCATCACGTACCTTTTTAAGTTCAGCCTCGATCTTGGCCAACTTTTGATCTTCCAAGCGCTTCCTAGATGCTGTGGTATTTCGAGGATGAGGCAAATCCTTCTTTTCCATCGTAGGATTAGCTTTATCTGGTTTCTTTGGATTAGGCTGGGAAGAACCGAGGACCAAACGTTCCTTCTCTGGTTCCTTTTCATGCCCTTTTTCATGGCCTCTTCCTGCCTTCTTTCTTTCTTGTCTTCGTTGGAATTCCGCCAGGGTAGTGTTGTCGGCTGCGCTGCGCTGTGCTGCCTACCCCAAGACGCTGTGCTGTTCACGTCTTCTTCAACCCTTGCCATTGTGTTGATAGTCCCAGAAACCCTAACGCACCCGGAAAAGTCTCAGGTTTCCCTAACACAAATCCTAGTTTTCGGGTTTTACTGATTGTGCGACTTGACGAACCCTGGATTTACACCGCCGGCTCAGTGGTGAAACTCCAGCTAGGGTTTCCTACAAAAGAGGGCCTCGGGGGTCTCCCGAGGGTAGACATTCCGATGCTTAAGTCAGTAAAAGGGATTTAAGAATGTATATGGATAGTAGTTTGTGCTAGAGATAGCGTACCCCTATTGTGGTGTGATCAACCCTATTTATAGGCATGGAGTTATCTTGAAGGATATCGAATCCTATTAGGTCTTATGTTCCAGAACCGCATCTGTAAGGTCGGTTGGACCATAACAAACAAGATGGACCGGTCCAATAACTCCCGGTGAATATGGACTCGTCAGTTACCCCCAATAACATCATATATTCAAACTATGATTTTCCTCATAAGTAGAGTTTAGAGTCAACTAGCTAGTAGGATATTATACTGCTAATGAAACTAAATAAAATTTACTATAAAATTCAACTTCCGATACTCTCGTCGGAGCCAGCATTAATTCCAAAGGTCTCCTCAGTATATGTTTTCAACATTGGCTAGCTCTTTCCTATATCCTCCCACGCTAAGGAGATACAGCATTTCTACATGTTTGTTTAAGTATGATTGTATCCGTATATGGGTTATTAAAATTCAGCCATATGTTTGTACCCAAAATATTAAAAATAAATAAAATTCAGCCATATCAAAAAAAAAAAAACAAGGGGTTAACAGTGATTAATGAACTCTTTAAACATATTCTTATTCATCATAATAATGCAGAAAACTGAAGTATAGGATTACAATTTAAAAGATGAGGCAGTACATCTCGTAAATGATTGTTAAAAAAGAATTTACCAAAACATGACCACCCTTTCTTTTCACGGTGGGTGTTTTCTTTCTCAAGTTCACAACAACAATATAGAAACATTTGCAACCGGGATCGAGGGTTTTGAATCGTCACAAATATCCCAAAGAACCCTTTCTTTCATGATGAAAGTAATTCGGGAATAAATTCTTAACAAACAACTGAATATGAATGTGTTGAAAAGGAATAGTATAATGTCGCAACTGTCGCGCGGGACGCGGGTCTCAAAAAGAAACCCTTAATTTCAAAGCTTGCATTCTGGTGGAAAGCCCTGCGGAAACCTAGCGGAATCAGTGCAGTAGTTATAGATCATGGACTTGGATTGCAAGTATTTGAGACGTTTTCTACCATTAGCATCGAGCCCTTGAGTCTGCCAAGCTTGCTGAGTGGAATTGGCACCATTGCAAGATGAAGAGTTTGTGGATGATGACCAAACGCATGCATTATTAGTATTGAAGTTTCTGTAAGATGCATAAAATGGTGCCTGGGTCCAATCGGTCTTAACTCTTCCACCTTGTGTTGCCCAATCCTCTGCATCCCATAAGCTCGCGAATACGCTCATCGGCTGATCATTTGGGTAAGGAATTTCCTTTGCCAGATTGTTCTCGTATACTCTCAGTGGACTGTTATCAACCAATATCCTGCCAAACCGCACAGAGAGGTTCATTAGTTTTGTCAGATGATGCGTATTATTTTTTTATCATTTTGGACGGAGGGAGCGTTAATTAAATACTACCTCCATCCCAAAATTATTGTTCAGTTTGAGTTTTTATTTTTACTTTAAATTTTACTAGGAGTTATATTTTAAACTGAAGAATAATTTTGGACGGAGGGAGTAAAAATAATTTCATAAAGGCACAAATTAACTATTAAACTTACATGATTCTTTGTGGATTCCAAACGATGGAGTAAGTGTGGAAGTTTTTAGTGGGATCAAACCAGAGCTTGAATTGTTGTTCTCTATTTCCTTGTCCTTGGCAATAGATGTTGGTGTGAAGTGTGTATGGCTGGCCAGATTGGTTTCCTAGAAACTCGATGTCAATCTCATTGTGAGACGGCCCGAATGAAGTTAACTGCAGTCGGAAAAATGATATTGATTGAGCTAGTGTGATCAGTAGATATAGCGAAACGAGATAATGATAATTAAATTTTATGTATCATAAATAGTGACCACAACTATTATGTTACCATTTACTCAGGAAAGAAAAAGAATAAAAATAAATAAAAATAAAAACTTACGTAGAATGTGGTGACTGTGCCAGCTGAATTATTGGGCACGAGTTTCATCTGCATGTCAAATCTTCCAAACATATATTGATTCTTGGAATTGAAACCGGAACCGGAAACCTGGTCCAGAGAGAGGGTGAGGAGGCTCCCTCCTCTCAATATCTGACATCTTCTACCACCGTAAGTGCATGCGACATCTTGATTGAAGTTACCAGCTGAGGCTGCCATTAAAAGGCAGGCCAGTACTAGTAGAAAATGTTGTAGCATTCTTGAATATAACATGTTTAGAGAACTTGTAAGCTAGGTTAAGGTAGGAGAAATGAATGGATATATATATTCGATGATTGTGTTTTTTTTTTGATTGTTGGAGAGTATATTTGTCTTGTGTTTTTGTTTTGAAAGTGGCCTTGGCAGAATGGGTTTTTATATCTAGTTAATTTTAGGAAGTTTTGTCATTAACTAGGGATGGGAGGTCGTTGACTTTGGATATAGTTATGTTAGTAGGTGGGAATCCACTTATTATTGAGTTGGCACTATCAATTTGTTTTGGTCAAATGTATCTCCAGACTGGATGTCCAAACGCGTGTGCGGTTTATAGGTTTCAGCTTTCGGAAGGCCTCCCTCAACTGATCTCTTTTAAAAACCTTCCTTAGCCAATACCTAGACATGTACCCAAGAATGTGAGAAAAAGAAAATGTCTTTGTAACCAATGACGACGTTTTCAGGAAACTCGAAACAGGTGTAGAATGCCTGGATTTTTCTTTCTTTCTTTTTTTTTTTTTGGCCCTTTTGTCTTTGTTAAGAGAACCTGGAAAAATCTTCGTTATTCTCTTAAAAATGCACATCTTCGAGAATTAATTAATGGTGGTTATTGACCTTGAAGTTAGTAGCAAGTTGTATATTTTGTCTAAGATTCAATAATGTTACAGAGCCGTGTGTTTGAGGTTTTTAGTTTTGAAGAAGTCTTCAATAAGAAATGTACGTTATTGAACAGCTTGGAAGGACACCAAATAATTTGATATGGTTTGCCTTCCTTCTTCGGAACTGGCTAGCAAGTGCCAAATGCCAACCATAAATCGATCAATGAACTGAAATTTAAACTGTGTCTGTGAGTATTTTCTTCTAATTTGATTCTAGATCGTTTGTCTACGTACACATTGAATCACAACATTGTCTGTCTTGACTCTAATTTTTTTTCTTCTTTTTTTTACATATTTGCAGGGTGTTCACCGTCAGCAACAGTGACTAATCTTTCTCGCTGATGTAGGCACCTCAATGGGTGGGATAATTGGCCAAAATATTTAAGGTTGTCCCATGCCCTAATTTTTTTTTGAATCACAAGTAAGTCACTTGGTCGGTTGGTCCTTTAATTTTTGGAGGATCTAGACCCATTTGGACACTTTGGATCAATTCCAGTCTGCGAAAGATTTTACAACATCTCAAAAATCTTGTAGAAGTTTAGAAAACTTGGTAGAATTGTTTGGAATATTGTGGAAAGATTTGAGAATTTTTGAATAGTGTGAAAACTTGTGAAATTCATAAGAGCAAGAGATATTTTGTAAGAATTCCCTACAATTCTAAGGACTCTCGGTCTAGAGTGAATTCTCGTGCTACTTTTCTCTTGCAAAATTTTCTTAATATGATGTGTTCTCTCAGAACTTTCTAACTCAGTTTATAACCAAGATTTGATTATTTTGAGTTCTACTATCACACAGATTGTTAAGAAAAAGAATCCACACATATACAGCTCATGTACCGCGAGGATTTTATTCATATTGGGAATTATCGAAATAAAGTCCCTGAATTCCAACAAATCCATAATCATTCATGCGTATATAAACTTATCAAATCTATAATCATAAAGATGAAAGGAACTGTTTACGTATAACTTCTTGTGATTGGTTCCAGGCAAGGGACTTCAAGATTATCAAATGCATACAAGAGGAGCCAACAAACATAATACTAATATAATAATGAAAATTAGTCCTTAAAATTACAGCCGGGGGTGAAAGAAATTGTATGGATCATATATGTTCTGATGTTAGTTGTGTTTGCATTTGTTCATAGTTTTCCTAAAAAACAAAGATTTCATTGACGAAATACCGCATTGTTTCACTCCAAGAGAGAAAACACCCCAAAAAAAAAAAAAAAAAAAAATCCCAAAATGCTCGGTTGGAGTTGGATGGGCCAAATTGGAGCGATCAAATAGTATCTATAGTCCCATACTATATAGAGACACAAAACATACTCCAGTTTTTTTACTTTTTGTAGCCAAGTAGTGGTTTTTCACACAAGAGGAAACTTTTTTTGAAAAAGACAACAGCAAACTTGATTAGTTCATCTTTCTAAAAATTATTATCCAATTTTAAACTAGAATAAAAATCTGAATTAGACAATAATTTTGAAACGAAAGGAGTATACATTTAATTTGAACACTACATCTCCTTTGTTAACAAAATGAACAGGCATGACAATCCTTTTGGAGCGACCATGGGGTATGTTAAGGTTTACTCAATTAATAAGATCCTAAATAGGCTATGTATCCCACTTGTATCCGTAATTATTGATACTATCCCTAGAGGCAAATATTCCACAGCTGTTTCCAGTTCCCCCTCTAATACCAATTTTTTGAATGAAAAGCTCTAATTATTTTGGGTTCTGGCTCGGGAAGAAGGTTTTATCTTTGTGAATATGAATTATGAAACCTAACTACCAGCACGCGTTTCTGTAATATGTACTGTCTTGATCCTATTGGAGTACTTGCATGCACAATATTGTACCAACTCAATAACTGAGGATTTTCCCTATCAAAATTATTGCAAGTTAGGTGATCGAATGAGCTTGCTTCTCTTAATTCCTAAATTAAGCCCGCCTATAAAAAGCCATTACAATCAGAACTCTACACATCAACAAATTTCATAACATCTTATATTTCAGAATTTGAATCAGTTCTTAAGGTTTTACTTTTGAAAGATGTTCAAAGTTTTTACGTTAGTACTGGCTTGCCTGATATCAGCAGCCTCAGCTGGTAATTTCTGGCAAGATATAACTTGTACTTATGGAAGATGTGAGATTTCTCCCCGAGGGAGCCTCCTGACACTATCCCTGGATAGGACCTCTGGTTCGGGTTTTAAATCCAAGAACCAATATATGTTTGGTCGATTCGACATGCAAATGAAGCTTGTGCCAGGGAATTCAGCCGGCACAGTTACCACATTCTATGTAAGTTTCTATTCTTGATTTGCCAGTTTCATGAACAACACTTAAATGTGACTTGCCTATTTGATCACTAACCATTCGGTTTTTCTGTTCACGCATGCAGTTATCTTCTGTGGGACAGTATCATAATGAGATTGATATGGAGTTCCTTGGTAATGCATCTGGTCAGCCTTATACACTTCACACCAATGTCTATTGCCAGGGAAAAGGGAACAGAGAACAACAGTTCAAGCTCTGGTTTGATCCTACTAAAGCCTTCCACACTTATTCCATTGTTTGGAACCCACAAAGGATCATGTAAGTCATCGCCTTCCTTCCAATGATAGAGACGGTAAATTCATTATATCCAGTTCAACATCACTAAGTCATTGAACTGGATGAAGTCATTGCTTCTACCATTACTCCCGAAGAATAAATAATGAACTATAACTAAACCATATTCTGTTGTAATTTGCAGATTCTTGGTTGATAACAGCCCCATCAGAGTATACAACAACAATCAGAGAAGGGGTATTCCATTCCCAAGTGATCAGCCAATGAGTGTATATGCCAGTTTATGGGAGGCAGAGGAATGGGCAACAGAAGGTGGAAGAATCAAGACTGACTGGACAAGAGCACCATTTTATGCATCCTACAGATACTTCAATGCTAATGCTTGTGTCTGGTCATCTTCATCGTTCCGCTCGTCCTGTAATTCGGCCTATTCACAGCAGGCATGGCAGACTCAAGGGCTTGATGCTAAGGCTAGAAACCGCCTCCAATGGCTGCGGTCCAGGTTCATGATCTATGACTACTGCAAAGACAACCAGAGGTTTCCACAAGGCATTCCTCAAGACTGTTGGCATTGATCATGAAAGAAGGGAACTTATAATTTGGACCCCAGTTGGACAATCTTTTGCAAGCATCAATCTCTATACTTGTCAATTCTGTATTCAAATTTGTATGTAATTCCATTATTCTTTTTTGTTCTTTGTATGTAAATTCGTTATTCTTGTGCAACAAAATGAAACAATAAACTCTTTAGTTTTTTTTTCCTTTCCATTCACTCCGTTGTTCTAAGACTTTTGGTGCGCTTATAAATTATTTCACAAACAAGAATTACACTACGATCATGAAGGAAAAAAAGATCAGTTAAATTGATTAGCTCGGCTGTGCCAGCTATTCAGGCAAACTATATGCATTACTTGTTGGATGTCCCTTAACACATCAAATGTTTAGTGACCAAGAGTTTCAAAGGAAAATTTTGAATCCTGAATCCCCGAATCCTAAATACGATTCCAGTCTCGAAAACGGCCCTTGAACAATGATCAGATAACTTGACCTCATCTTTCAGGACATGTGGTTTGCGGCTAGCTAGGTCGCTCTGTCAGATCATAACTGTCTCTTAAAACCAAAGCATTGCCTGATTGAGCTGCTAATCCTTCACATTAGTTCCTGATGATAACATTTCCCGTAATTCCATGGAACATAGCTATTCTTACATTCAAGATGACTGAAAATGCTCATAGTAGAACACTTGTTCCCTCTTTCACTTTGTTTATCTTATCTGATATGCACAAAAATCATGTTCAAAATTCAGTGTTCATTACAAGAAAAAGAAGACATGATTACTAACATTTTTTATGTTTTTGATCTCCAAATGTCACATTGCCAATTGGAATGGAAGGATGCTTCACGTTTTCATAGATTACCATGTATGCATGATCCAGAATTCTTGTTTGTTCTTTGATAGTTTGATACGTTCATCTTAGGCAAAGATTGTCTCGACACGTTCGCCACAAGTTCTCAATTGGCAATTAGTAAGCAGGGGACGTACATGAATAGTTTTCATTAGACCGGGGCTCGAACTTTGATGTACTAGTAATCGGCTGATCGCAACTAGTGATGACACTGACAACGAACAATCAATTTTATTTTTTGCTCTGAAATCTACAAAGAACAAAGAATGTTGTGTAATCTGGGCAAAGATTTACAAACGAATCAAAGAATCTCACTCACACTTCCCAAAGCTTCTATTTTCACACCATTGAAGAAAAATTAGGAAGATTTAAACTACTGCTGGCCTTTGCATTCCGGAGGAAAGCCCTGTGGGAACCTGGAACGATCAGCACAATAGTTGTAGACCATGAATCTCTGTCGAAGCCAATTCATCCTGTTCCGGGCTTTTGCATCCAGTCCCTGATTCTGCCATGCCTGATCATTGTTTGCGGAATTCGTAGAATCACAGGTTGAAGATCCAGGTGACCTGACACAACCATTGGCATTGAAATTCCGGTAAGAAACAGAGAATGGTGCTTTAGACCAATCCGTCTTAACCCGGCCGCCCTGTGTAGCCCAATCATCAGCATTCCACAAGCTGCAGTAAACTCTCATTGGCTGGTTCTTAGGGAAAGGGACTCCCTTTGATTCATCATTGTTGAACACTCTGATCGGATTGTTGTCCACCAAGAAGATGATCCTTTGGGAGTTCCAAACAATGGAGTAAGTGTGGAAGGCTGTTGTGGGATCAAACCAGAGGTGAAATTGCTGCTCTTTGCCTCCTTTCCCCTGACCAAAAACATTGGTGTGAACTGTGTAAGGCTGTCCTGATGAGTTTCCGAGGAATTCGAAATCGATTTCATCATGGGCATTTCCTTGAGATGTTAACTGCACATTCAAATTTCAAGGAGTATTAGCTACAAGAAGAACAGGGGAAAACGTAGAAGTTAACTTCATGTATTAATGGAGGGCTTAAATTTCAAGGATGATTCTGAAGTGCTACTTACATAGAATGTGGTGACAGTGCCGGCGGAGTTGCCAGGGATGAGTTTGAGCTGCATATCAAACCGCCCGAACATGTATTCCATTTTGGAATTGAAGCCGGAACCTGAAGCTTGGTCTAGAGATAAAGTGAGAAGCTGGCCGCCCTGAAGAATCTGAGCCCGTGGACCTCCGAAATAGACATCCACATCCTGGTAGAAATTCCCGGCAGAGGCAGCAACCAGCAAAAGGGATGCAATTACAGAGATCAATAATCCAGCTCTTGAGGCTGTAAGAGAAATCATGTTTTTGTAGTGAAATATACTTGGTTTTGTTAAGTTTGATGGAAAAAGGTCTTGGAAGTTGAAAAGAAGAGGAAATGTTTGGTTTGTGAATTGAGATGCTTTGGAAGAGGCTAAATGAAATGGGTTTTTATAGTTGATGGTTTCTGGCAGGTACAACATGACCATGATGATATTGACCGTGTCCAAGAAGGCCCTTGGTGAGGAAGCATCGAAGCAGGGGCGGTGAAAGGTAAAGAAACAGAGGAAACGCGACTACGAATGAATTTTGGGTGGCCAACCAAACCTTTCAAAGGTTTAGTAGTATTAAATATTCCACACAGCTGGGTTTCACTAGTAATTCTTCTCGTTCATAAATATGAACTTTATGAACGTCAATAACGCGTTTCAGGGGGGGGGTTGTTTGCATTTATTAAATTGGAAATGCATGCATGCCTAAAGCTAAAAGCCCCTTGCATGGGGTTTACTTTTCCGGTTTTATTTTATCATATTTGATGGTGTTCAATACCTCATCTAGTACAGGTTGCTATCATCTCTAAGAATTCAAGATCTGATGTCAATTTTTTATCTTTACTCTTCGAATTGACTTCCCTTACAATTGCTAAAAAGTTTCTTGACGTGACGTTCTGCATAATTACATATTGTGTATCACTGTTCAAACTAATTTAAACCCAAAATCATATTAAAAGCTCTTCGTCAAATGTTTCTAGCAATGTTAAAATGTTACTTATACAATTCAATTTGGAGTATGAAAAAAATATATATATTTCACACTAGGGTAGCCAGTCTTAGCTCTATGGAGAAAAACTCTTGGAAGTAGCAATTCAATCGGCTGGATGTTAGCTAGCTTCCTTAAAAATTCACCTTATAAGTATCTTCGAAACACTAGTAAACTTGCAAAGCCAAACAAGATTCGAGAAACTTCTTTTACGAAACTCGAACGTTGAAGCATATGGATACTGACATTGTCAACTGTGAAACAGAAAAGTGAAGAAAACCCAGTTAATGCATTGCTGTCAACATAATGCACAGAGAAATTGCCATAAATGAAAACTTGTGACCTAAAATTAAGAGCGTGCTCAATTGGAATTTTTTTTTAAAAAAAAAAAAACTGGGACGGCGCCTCCACCCACCATCAACCATCTCTATCCTTTCTTTGATGGCTACAAATACAATGGCCCATCCACTTTGAAAATGACACTTTCCATAAAGCTCAAACAACAGTCTCTCCAAACCAACGCGTAATCTTTCTTTCTTCTGGTCCAAACACTGTGTGCCCACTCCACTCCACTCCAGCATCCAGAAGCAGAGAGATAACACTTTGGATGCCAGCCCATATTTTCATCTTTGAGGTTGACCAGTAACCCCCAGTATTATTATATCATGCCAGCTGGGCTAAAGTGTTAACCTTTGCCAGGATCCTTCCGAACCAAAAACCCATCAACTATATAAACATCATTCATCACCCTCTTTCCCATCATCAACCAACGATAACTTATATCTTTCTCTTCTTCCAATATTCTAAAGAGTTCTTTCCATCAAACCAACCAAGCATTTCAGTTTACAAAAAGGGTTTGTTTTTCCTTCGATTGCAAATTATATTGAGGAAAGATGATTTCCTTTACAGCCTCTAGAGCTGCATTGATTTCAGTGGTTGCATCTCTTCTACTGGTTGCTGCCTCTGCTGGTAATTTCTACCAGGATGTGGACGTCTACTTCGGAGGTCCGAGGGCTCAGATTCTTCAGGGTGGCCAACTTCTCACCCTGTCTCTAGACCAAGCTTCGGGTTCCGGGTTCAATTCCAAGAAGGAATACATGTTCGGTCGGTTTGATATGCAGCTCAAACTTGTCCCGGGCAACTCTGCTGGCACTGTCACCACATTTTATGTAAGTACTTCTAAACATTAATCTCATATAAAATGAATTTTCCTTCTTTAATCCAAAAAAAATAAAAAATAAAAAACTAGTTTCTCATAATCCATGTGAAGCTAACATTTTTGTGTCTTATAAATTGTGCAGTTAACATCACAAGGAAATGCCCATGACGAAATTGATTTCGAATTCCTTGGAAACTCTTCAGGACAGCCTTACACAGTTCACACCAATGTTTTTGGTCAGGGGAAAGGAGGCAAAGAGCAACAGTTTCACCTCTGGTTTGATCCCACAACAGCCTTCCACACTTACTCCATTGTGTGGAACCCCCAGAGGATCATCTTCTTGATCGATAACAATCCGATCAGAGTGTTCAACAATGATGAATCAAAGGGTGTGCCTTTCCCCAAGAACCAGCCAATGAGAGTGTACTGCAGCTTGTGGAATGCTGATGATTGGGCTACACAGGGCGGCCGGGTTAAGACGGATTGGTCTAAAGCTCCATTCTCTGTTTCTTACCGGAATTTCAATGCTAATGGTTGTGCCAGGTCACCAGGTTCATCGACTTGTGATTCTACGAATTCCGCAAACAATGATCAGGCATGGCAGAATCAGGGGTTGGATGCCAAAGGCCGAAACAGGATGAATTGGCTTCGACAGAGATTTATGGTCTACAATTATTGTACTGATCGTTCCAGGTTCCCTCAAGGCTTTCCTCCGGAATGCAAAGGCCAGCAGTAATCAACCCCTCAGGGGACTCCAAGGGTCTTTATTCATTTTATTCTTTTTGACATTGAAGATTGTTTAATTATAATTTGTAAATCTTTTCCAGATTACGCATAATTCTTTATTCTTTTGTAGATTTCAGAGTGAATAACAAATTACTTTTATTATATTGTCATTGCTATTTCGTTTTCGTGCTTTTCTCCTCTTTTTCTTTTTTTTTTCTTTTTTTTTTTAGCTACATGGTACTTACTACGTTATTATAGTATAATGGGAGTTGAGTCTGTTTACTGAGAAGGAAATACGATACTACTACTATAAGGGAAAACAGAGCTATACTTTTAGAAAAAGATGTAAAAACTAGATTCATGTAATTTACAAAACCAAATGGATGATGACTCCTCCTCTCTGCCTCGGCAGACACGATAAGATTTATATTTAGCCTTTTGAATTAAATGAAAACTCGATTTGGAGACTAAGATCTTAGAAACACCACATCATTTTATGCTTTTATATATATATATATATATATATATATAACATTATAGGCATCCTAGGCTATTCATTTGTGGGTCTACTGGGGGAGGTGATACTACTACTAGGGAGAGACAAAATACAAAGAGTATGGATGGTTGAGGATGAATACCCACAATTTTGATGTTTTGAGTTACATCGCAAATAATTTGTGACAGTTCCATCAAAGGGCTAAGGCAATTGATGCCACCAACCCCAATTTCATTATGAATCCCAACTAGAGTAATTTCAAAACTTCTGTTCTGCTCTTTGATGGGCTGATTATTGTAGCAGAGAAAGTCGCAATAGGGTTGTCAACGATTCCAAATTGACAAATTTGATATCGTAATTTTTTAGCAGCCCAAGTTTAATACGTATTTCTGGTTACATAGAGAAACTAGAGGAACAAAAGATAGCAAGTTAGCAATCATAAGAGTAATGTATTTTACAATAAAAGTTGCACGGATTCTGCATAATATGAACAAAGATTTACAAAAAAGAATTAGAGAATCTCACCTAACACTTTACATTTTTCCTACTGTAACACAATTTACAAAATCTATATACAAAAGCAGGAAAAAAAAAAAAAAAAGAGCCCAAAACAACCAATGTTGAATAAAAATTACTGCTGCTTGCACTCGGGAGGAATGCCTTGAGGGGACCTGGAACGATCAGCACAATAATTGTAGATCATGAAGCTGTCTCGAAGCCACTTCATCCTGCTTCGGGCCTTGGCATCAAGCCCCTTAGTCTGCCATGACTGATCATTGTTTCCAGAATTTGTTTTCCCACAGGTCGACGAACCAGGTGCCCTGACACAACCATTGGCATTGAAATCCCTGTAAGAAACAGAGAATGGTGCATTAGCCCAATCCGTCTTGACCCGGCCGCCCTGTGTAGCCCAATCATCAGCATTCCATAAGCTGCAGTAGACCTTCATGGGCTGATTCTTAGGAAAAAGCACCCCAATTGATTCATCGTTGTTGAACACTCTGATCGGATTGTTATCCACCAAGAACATGATTCTCTGGGAGTTCCAAACAATGGAGTAAGTGTGAAAGGCCGCGGTTGGATCAAACCAGAGGCGAAACTGTTGCTCTTTCCCACCTTTTCCCTGAGCATATACATTTGTGTGAACTGTGTAAGGCTGCCCTGAAGAGTTTCCGAGGAATTCGAAATCAATTTCGTCGTGGGCATTTCCTTGTGATGATAACTGCACAATTTATAAGGCATAACAAAATTAGTTTGGTGAAACTTATGGATTTTGATCATGAGAAATTCAATGTTTTCAAGTACTGACATAGAATGTGGCGACAGTGCCAGCGGAATTGCCCGGGATGAGTTTGAGTTGCGTATCAAATCGCCCGAACAAATATTCGTTCTTGGTTACGAACCCTGAACCTGAAGATTTGTCAAGAGATAAGGTGAGAAGCTGGCCACCCTGAAGAAACTTAGCCCGAGGACCTCCGAAATAGACGTCGATATCTTGGTTGAAATTGCCGGCATGCGCAACAAGAAGTAGAAGAGATGCAACAACGCCAGATATGAATGTAGCTTGAGAGGATGTAAATGATGTAATCATTTCAACTTCTTTATCCTTTCTCTTTTTTTAGTTTTTTTTTTTTTTTTTTGGTTTTTTTTGGATACTGAAACTAATAGTACTTGCTGAATTAGTTTGATGGAAATTATGAATGAACTCTTGGTAGAACTCTTGGTATAATGAATGGCTTTTATATACTGGCTAGGTTTGATGGTTTTCGTAATGCTGGACAAAGAGGGTGAAACCTTGACCCGGTCTACTAGTCGGAAGGATCCTCGCAAGAGAGGTAATAAATTAATCAAACTGTAAAACGTTGGGTGGCCAACCGCAAAATTCGAACAGCTGGTTTTTCATTACTACTTTCTACTTAGGTTCGTCTATGCATACTAGTGATGTCTGGTCGCGCATTACCCTGGCCCAATATATCTGTACATCTTAAAAATATTTGTATCTGGAAAAAAAATATTTTGTATTTGGCCCGATATATTTTAGAAACGTTTGAAAATTTTAAAACTGTTTTATAAGTGTGATCATAGAAATGTTTGTATTTGACATAAAAAGAAATTGTATTTGACCCGGTACGTTTTAGAAATGTTTGAAGATTTTAGAAATGTTTTATAAATGTTACTTCTTAAATATAAATAAACTTGATCAAATATATGTCTTGAATTAAATGTAGACAAAATATAAAAGCATTCTAATAAGTTTAAATATTAGTAAGATAATTTATTGATGTTCTCCAGTTGTGCCAAATCAATACTTAGTTTTGGAGATTTATAATAGCTTTGTAGTAAGCTTCCTCCCAAGGGTATACGCTTAATTGTTGAAACTATTTCTTCCAAAAGTTTATAAGTAGTAAAATATCAAAAATATAATTTTGAAACTGATTAATTGATGAAATTGGTTGATCACAAATATGAAAATGAAAATAATGTAAATTTGCATAGGTTTCAAGTTATACCAAAAAAGAACTCACCTCACCATGGCAAATAAAGAAAAAAAAAGTAAAAGATAACCCATTTAAAATTGAGAAATTTATTTTTTTCTGTAGGTAAAAATGTTGTATAAAAATACAAATAAACGTAGAAACATCATTCTTTCTCTCTCCGCCTCAAATTCATAAAAGGCTTCCCCAGAAATTAGTTAGAAGAAGCGACCTGAACTATTTAGATGATGAGAAACTAAAAAAAAGTCTAAAAACCAAAATTCAAAAAGTATATTCTTGAAAGCCCAAACACAAAAAAAAACGCGCTTTATTTGCAAATAAAATAAAATAATAATAATAATAATTGGCCAACTGGGAGTATGAAATAAAATAAAAAACAATTAAACAAAGAAAAAACACACTTCGTAATTGACCATATACGAAAAAAAACTGAGACTCTATAATTAAAAAAAGAAAACCATTCTAATTAAATGAAACATTAAAAAGAAATTTAAAAAACCACACTTTGTAACAAAAACTCAATTAATCAATTCAATCCAAACAGAACTAAAATCATACAAAACTTCTAGGCTAACTAACTATATAAGAAATCACATCATATTACCTGACAACGGCTACGGTAACTGTAACGGATGGACGCATAAAAATAATAGTAATAACATTATTCTTGAACGGGAAAAATAAAAAATAATAAAAGCCAAACAAATAATCTGTGGAAATAAAATCATTTAAATTTTAATACCTGTAATTGCACCACCACAACGGCCAAAGCAAGATCAATGAGAATTTTTTTTTTCCTTTGTGTTTATATAGAAAGGTAAAGAGAATATTTTTTGAAGTCGAAATTTTATCTGATCAGGATGTAGTTGAACATCACTAATGAAAAGATTGAACATGCTAATATGAAATGAGTATATTTCACCACATATTCTCAATTGATGATTGATGAGGAATTTTTTTTTTTTTATTGTGGAGAAGAGATTGATTCGGGAGTCGATTGTCGTGGAGATGGGGATGAGGATTTGGGTTTTTTATGAACCCGTCTTTTTTTTTTTGGCAAAAATAGGAGGTGGAGGTGGATTTGGACTGCATTTGTCTTTAAAGTCTAGGAGATGTGAAAATAAAGATTTATTTTAAAAATATGATATGGAAATACCACATGGCAAATGATGGTGCTTTCTTTTAAGTGTGGTTTTTGTTTCTAATATAGTAAGATATAGTAGTACTAGTATAATGTAGTTAATTTACGTGTTAAGGGTTAATTTACGTAGTTTCATTAAAAATGGAGATTTATAAATCATACTCACACTAAATAATTACTCACTCTGTCTCAAAATAATTATTTAGATTAAAATTTTTTCATTTGTAATTTTATATTAAAGAGAAAAATGCTCAGTGTAGTATCATTTACAGAAGGAGTATTTAGTTACATACCATTTCTCGATGTGAGCTACTTTTAAACTTGTGAGACCCCAACAATTATTTGTGTATACATCGTATGATTGTGTGAGCTTATTGTTTGGGTTTCAAGTAGCACCAACCACATATTTCACATATACAGGATAAAATACTTTAACAAATTTTCGTATTCTACATTTCATATCCAAGGAGTAAATACTCTCTCCATTTCAATTTGTAAATCGTTTAGATTTAGAGAGATTTTTCAAAATGTAGGTCGTTTTATAAATTTTAGGTAGATTAATGATTATTTTTTTAACTTTACACTCAATAATGATGTCGATCTATTTTTATTTAGTTTTTGTTATAATTTTAATGTAATTAATGAAGGACAAAACAAATATTTAACACGTAAATCAGTTATTGGATAATTGCCTCCTTAGTTTACGTATAAAGTCTAAAGTAACTTACATTTTGAAATGGAGAGAATATAGGATAAATAAATACTTTTAACAAATTTTCGTATTCTATATTTCATAGCCAAGAAGTATATATTATGTGAACTAATTAATCTAAAACCGCTAAAATCAAGTATCAGCATTCCAATTATATTCATCTCCTGCTTGTTTCTACGATCGATGGTTTCATCAAATTAATTTTAATTCGACTAAAATACCACAAACTACTGAAGCAACATCGATAACCACTCGGAAGTGACTGGCTGTGAACTGTATCCGAAACCAAAAGTTAAAACTAGATTGAATAAACATTTACGCAACCTAATAGAGCCCAACAAGAAATTTCTTGGGAAAGTCAAGCAGCTAAACAATGCCAAAGACGAAACAGAAAATAAACAAATCCATGCGTTACTTTCTACATAATGAAAAACGAACAATGCTTATGGCCAGAAATAAATTTATTTATTAATTAACAATAGAAAAACGTGTTAAAATTGAATATTTTACAATTTCATCAAGATGGTACCCACACCAAGAGTTGATGGATGGCTCAAACAATAGAAGCCTTTTATTTCTTACCAAACCATGAAATGATTCAAAGTAGACAAATATCAACAATTTAATCACAAGAAGGGGTAGGTTTTTTTTTTTTTCAAATACAAATTTTTTATATTGTAACAAATATTTTAAGGGTTACTTATATACAAAATGAAGTTTTTAACAATTTAATGTATGCAAATTTCACGGCCCGTAACACTTTATTCGCGAGGGAAATGTAATGGTAAAATTTTCAAAGTTGAATGTAATTCAATTCATGTAAGCCACCGTATCATCAATTGGACCAAATGTGTAATAACAAAGAAAACTACACAAATTTTATTATTATTATTATTATTATTACTTCCTCTGTCACAAAATTATTGTCCAGTTTGAGATTTTACTTTTAGTTCAATTTATATTAAAAATAAAATTCTAAACTGGACAATAATTATGAGACGGGGGAATATTATTTTTGGATACCAAAAACTACACAAAACTTTAAACGCAAGGAAGGAAAGGGGCCATACACTTGAAAGTGAACGCGCAATTCTTTTTGTGGGTCGAGTGCCTATCTGCCAGCATGAACAAATTGAAGGGGAGCTACAAGTGATGCCAGCTGTGTACTCAAAATCAATTTTTGATATATGACCACTCAGTTGGTGCCAGCTGTACTAACGTTGCCAGGATCTTTCCTCAGTTATCCCTGCTCCTCCCCCACACGGTCAACATAAGTGACCATTCCCATTTGTCCTTTTGCTGTCCTCCTCACCCCTTCATCTAATTCCATACAACTATAAAACCCATTTCATTAGCCTCGTTCAATCTCATCACAAACTTCAAAATTCCTTCTTCTTCCAAACCTCCTTTTTTTTCCATCGAACAAATTTCACTACCGAGGTTCTCTCGCACTTCTGTAGCATATTTAAGGGGAAAAAAAAATGATTTCCCCTTCTAAAGCTGGATTATTGATCGCTGTAATCGCATCCCTTCTACTGGTAACGGCCTCTGCCGGCAATTTCTACCAAGATGTGAATGTCTACTTCGGAGGTCCCCGGGCTAAGATTCTTCAGGGTGGCCAGCTTCTCACCTTGTCTCTTGACCAATCTTCAGGTTCTGGATTCCTAACCAAGAACGAATATTTGTTCGGGCGGTTTGACATGCAACTCAAACTCGTCCCTGGCAATTCTGCTGGCACTGTCACCACCTTTTACGTAAGTATATAACATAACATATAAAGAAAATAAAAAATTCCCCTGAATTTAAATTCTTCTCTAAAAACTCTTTAAAAATATATTAATCCATAAGTGTCACCTAGCTAATCTTGTATTGTGTCTTAAATTGTGCAGCTATCATCTCAAGGAGATGCCCACGACGAAATCGATTTCGAATTCCTCGGAAACTCATCAGGAGAGCCTTACACAGTTCACACCAATGTTTATGCTCAGGGGAAAGGGGGGAAAGAGCAACAGTTTCGCCTCTGGTTTGATCCCACAACAGCCTTCCACACTTACTCCATTGTGTGGAACTCCCAAAGGATCATCTTCTTGGTGGACAACAATCCAATCAGAGTGTTCAACAATGACGAATCAAAAGGGGTGCCTTTCCCAAAGAACCAGCCAATGAGAGTGTACTGCAGCTTGTGGGATGCTGATGACTGGGCTACTCAGGGCGGCCGGGTTAAGACGGATTGGTCTAAGGCACCATTCTCTGTTTCTTACCGGAATTTCAATGCCAATGGATGTGTCAGGTCGCCAGGATCATCATCAACCTGTGATTCAACGAATTCTGGAAACAATGATCAGGCATGGCAGAATCAGGGACTTGATGCCAAGGGACGAAACAGGATGAACTGGCTTCGCCAAAGGTTTATGATCTACAATTATTGTGCTGATCGTTCCAGGTTCCCACAGGGCTTTCCTTCCGAATGCAAAGGGCAGTAGACAGTATAGTAATCAACGTTACAAGAGATCCCACGGGGGTGGGCAGGATTATTATTACATTTTTTTTTTTTTCATTTGCTTGCGTCAAAAGAGACAAAATTGAAGATTGTTTAGTTTTATTTTGTTAGATCTCGTCCAAATTTACTTGGAATTCTTATTCTTTGTACATATCAGTGTGGAATAAAGTTGTTCCATTGTGAATTTGCGATTGTTATTAGTATTTTCCTTGGTGAAAACAGGAACGTAACTTACTCAGTTTAAAATTTAAATTAGTTAGATTGAAAAATTTCGTGGCAGTGGCATGAGAGAATACATGGTGGTGGAGCTATTTCAGCGCAATAAATAAACATACTCTGAAATTTCGTGTGCATTAAAAAGAAAATCCTATCCATTTATGAAAGCTTTGAAATGTAATGTTATCTCTCAACTTCAATTTCGGAGAGCATAATCAATTCCATAAATACTGTCATTTAATGCTGGCAATTGGGCGTGTGACAGTAATTGAATTATTATGGCGTGTTTTTTGCCTCAAGCAAAAATAAAAATAAAAAAATCCTGTGGAAATTAGGAAATGTATTCATCAACCTTTTCGTGTAAAGACGTCTTTCCTCCTCAATGACTCCAAAAAGAAATCACCTCCAGCTTGAATGTTCTCAAAGATGTATTGGCAATGAGTGTATCCTTTAAAAATGATGGATAAGAGTTCCTTAACTTAGAAATCACCTCCATTATTATCCATTCATATAAAATCTATTTCCTTTCCGCTAAAATAGTTTTAATAGTTATAATTCAACAAAGAAGGTTTTCTTTCTTTTTATTTTTTATTTTTTTGATTGAGGGTGCACTAAATAAGTTATCTTTTTCCATTAAAAACTGTAGTACTACCTCTATTTTTTTTTCCCATCTGTCGTTTTAGGGTGAACCTAAAGTGTTTTTTTCATCTGTCGCATTTTATTTCTAATGTAACATTAAATATTATTTTTCTAATTTTACCCTTATCTCTCTCTAATTTCAATAACATATATATTAATGACAATTACTTACTCTTTAACTTCAATTTTAAATTTTTTAGAATTCCAATACTTTTAATTAGGGGCAAGAAAGACAATACCATTATAAATTAAATTCTCAATCATTGTTTTCTTAATAGTTGTACAAACCCTAAATGTAGTATATTTTTTGAAATATGTGAATTATATTGATTTATTACTGAAAATTTGGGTATTGGACTAACCAATAACGTCATTCAATCCATAGCAGTGGAAACAAAGTCTCGAAAGATTGCTTTAACATCAGCCATATAACCCCAAATTCAATGAAATTCTTTTAACTCTTTTGGTAAAAATTATGTGGATGTTTCTTGTTTGATGACAAAGAATGAGTCCTTCTGAGTGGAAGTTATTTAAAGAACAAAATCATCTCGCCTATGACATCATGCATTCCCGCATTGAAAAAATGAGTTTTGAGACCTAATGACATTCATGTCCTTAATTACTGGAAGGAGACGTGAAATTTATGAGTACTCTTTTTAATTATGTCATTGTAATGGGCTGTAAAAGAGGCGCGCGGATGAATATGCTGACTCGTAATCTATAAACTTAGAAATTGATGGACTAAAATCGATAACTACTAATGGATAGTGCAAATAATAATGACCAAATGCAGACATGTGGATAACTATAAGATTGAACCAGCCTGAATTTAAAGATTCAAACATTTGTCTACTCTTCGACATATGTACAATGATGTTTTTTAATTTTTACATTTCACTTTTTGTATGTAGTAATTATTTCGGGGAACAGAACCAACGAGTATGTGCATTTCCAAAAGCAAGAAGTTTCCAGCTCAGAGGTACTCCCTCCGTTCCGAATTAAGTGTCGTTTTAGCAAAATGAAAAAATTTCAAAATAAGTGTCGTTCTCACATTTCAATGCACTTTTTGTCCAAAGTTTCCAAAATTCCCCTGAAAGAATTAATATTATTGGTGGATATTTTTTAATGGGGTTGGTTGAGGATATTCAAGTAATTTTATTACCCTATTTAAGAGTTTCTTAAACTATGTGAAAAGTGTAGAATGACACTTATTTTGGAATGGAAGAAGTACCATACCACTAGTAAATTTTTATTTTTTTTCTTAGCTTGGGAAAGTCAAACTAAGGGCAAATTATTAGAGGGTGCATGGAACTGTGGAGGAGTTACCAACTAAGCATGCAAGTGTACACACCTACAACTAGTACAATATTACACACCATCCGAGATAATACTACTAATATTATAAAGGCTTACTAAGTGTAGGCTCATATTTCACAAATGTAACTTCAAAACCACACCAGATAAAACCCACTCTGTTCTGTTTCTGCCTGTTTTTTTGAGTGTAAATTTGTCAACTCCATCCCCTAGCTCCCTGCAACAATCCCAGCTCAGCTTCTTTGATTCTTGAGCTTTTCTTGCTGTATCTTGTTGGATGCTTCCCGGAAAACCAAGACTGTAATGTAAATGCTGCTCTCTAATTTCACCAGTATATAAAACACTTCAATGCATACCCGAACCATAGCTTCATTACATGAGAAAAATGTCTATCTTTTCCAACTCCAAAGCTATAGCAATCCTGCTGATTTCCCTCAATGTTGTGTGTAATCTCACGACATTCTCGCTTGCGAATTTCAATCAAGATGTCGAGATCAACTGGGGAGCTGATCACGCTCAGATACAAAATGGGGGCCAGTTCCTTACTCTGTCATTAGACCATTCCTCTGGTTCTGGTTTCCAGTCCAAGAATGAGTACCTCTTTGGAAGATTCGACGTGCAAATCAAACTTGTCCCTGGCAATTCAGCTGGCACCGTTACCACATTTTTCGTAAGCACAAATCATCCCATTTCTTCATATGTCTCACCAATTGGTTATCAATCAATTTGTACTAATTTGCATGCAATGATGCATACCAGTTATCATCTCAAGGAAACGCACACGACGAAATCGATTTCGAGTTCTTGGGCAATTCATCCGGAGAGCCTTATACACTACACACCAATGTATACTGCCAAGGCAAAGGGGATAAAGAAGAACAGTTCAGACTTTGGTTTGATCCTACCAAATCCTTCCACACCTACTCTATTGTTTGGACTCCTCAACGTATCATGTACTGCATACAACTAAAACTATCCACATATATCAGCTAATAATTATTCCTTCCGTCCCAAAATTATTTTCATATTTTGAGTTTTCATTTTTAGTTCAATTTATATTGAAAAAATAAAATCCAAACTGGACAATAATTTCGGGACGATGGGAGTATTATTTCAACTTAACAATAATCCAAACCAATCATTTTTGTGTGAATTAATTGCAGATTCATGGTAGATAACATACCAATCAGAGAATTTGACAATAATGAGGCAATTGGGATTCCATTTCCTAATAGGCAACCAATGAGGGTGTACTCAAGCCTGTGGAATGCGGATGATTGGGCAACACAAGGAGGCAGAGTCAAAACAGATTGGACAAAAGCTCCATTCATTGCATCCTACAAGAATTTCAATGCAAATGGATGTGTAACTCCATCATCATCAAAAGGGTCATCTTCTTTCTCGTCATCATGCCCGAATTCGGTTACTTTAGCGGCGTGGCGGAATCAAGAGCTTGATCCGACTGGAAGACGGTGGCTGAGATGGGTGCAGAGGAAATATAGAATCTACAACTATTGCAGTGATTTGAAGCGGTTTTCTTCTCAAGGCCGGCCTGCTGAATGCAAAAAGCGACGCCGCCTCGAGGGTTTAATTTAGAGAGTTTAGACTAGTTGTGTCTGAATCAGCTTGACAATAAAATTTGTCCACATTGTTTTCATTCAGGTCTGTAATTAAGTACAATGTAGGCGTTCGATCTAAATTGTAATAAGCTATTTAATTATCCATGTTTTCAGTTGATTAAATTTAGATTTCGAGACAGTTTCTGCGAGGAACATTTGTCTGGATTCTATACACAGCTACAAGATCCAATGTCCTGATTTGCAATGAGAGATTTCATTTCTCCTGAGTCCTGGTACTGCTTATCTACATTTGCCTAGGAGATGGAATCAAACAATGTTCTGTGAGCAAATAAAAATAATAAACGGACAAAAGATTCTTAAGATTTAGCAATTGGACACAATGATCACCAACAGACAAACTGGGCAGTTTGCCATTTAGTTAGATCAGAATTCAGCTACAAGGTTACTCAACTAATTCGATCCAAACTTTGCTAGCAAATTTTCACTACAGCCCATTTGTCACCATTCATAGTTTTTAATTGGCTTCTTATATTACAATCATGTATTTTCCCAGAGTGCATATATTTTAATACTATTACATTGAAACAAAAATGACAACCACCAAAAACAAAAACATTGTACATGGCAATGATGAGGTTCATGTAGTTGTGATGAGAGACACGGAGGTACTAGAGATTGCAGAAGTCATGGAATATAAGACCAAGAAAATTTGATGATGATCCACGCTCCCAAGAATCTGCTATCCTCACCGACTAAGTCCAAGGTCCAATTTCGTGGCCCATGATGTCCATTTCACCACAAATGAAACCCACCATTTTTTTTTTTAATTGTTACCTTAAATTTGCCACAGACAGCAAAATGTGAAATTGTCTCAAAATCTGATCCTGCCCGGAGGGTAATGAACCAACAAGAAACAAAAATAAAATAAAATTAAAGGGGATTTCCCCTCTTATCTTATCCAGTACAAGTATCATGTGAAAGAATTGAATTCCGGTGTAAATTATGTCTAGAGACTAGCTCGGCTGAAATATAATAGTGGGAAAGACAATAGTAGTTGCCTAAATGCGGCCAATTGGTACTGAAACGTGCACCAAAACAGAGAAAACTCTATTGAATGTGGCGTTTTTGGCCCAACAAAGTGGTGGGTGCTTGAATCATTTTAGTTAGGTTATAAACTTTTTTTCCTCTACGATAAAAGAGGCAACATCGCCTAATACATTAAATCAACACACTTTGTGGACTGTAAACATTGATTATTATCATGTTTAGCCATACGCCCTAATCACTATTTCCTAATTGTATAATCTCTGGAAACAACTGGGGTGTTTTTGCAGTTAAAAAGAAACCAATCCATCAATCTTATTAGCTTTTAGATTTTCATAAGCTATTTGTATTAATTAGATATTTTGATTGTTAAAACTACTAAGAGACTGAAATGATTTCTTGCGCGTACGGTGGTGAGTAATTACACTAAAACTTAAAATTTAAACTATTCAATAATTTCAGAACGGGAGAAATTTATATTATTATTTTAGTTCAACAAATACGAAACTAATTTTAGGACTAAAAAATATACTACTTTTTGGAGTTAGGTACTGAATGCGGCTCTCTCTACTACTGTTGTGCCCATGCATGTGGTTCTATTACTATGGAAGAATCAGAGTCAGATTGCCTAACTGCCTGATGAGGGTCCGAACTCCAAACCGTCCATTGAAGACAAAAAGAAGTCACGCGGATATGGCACACTGGTCTAATCATCAAAAGGGTAGCCATTTTTTGCACATTCCCACCCTTAGGTTTTCTGTAATTCCCCTTACTAATTAATATGGATTCTTTTTTACTCAATTTGCCCTCTCTTTTTGAGTTCAATTCACGGAATTCCATTAAAATAAGATATGATGCATAAAATAGTTTTACTGGTTCTAAATCATAAGTTTACAAGTAATTCTAATCCTCACAAACATTATAATTGATGTTATGTCCCATTCAAAAATACAAACTTTATGCAAATGAAAAAAGTTTGAGATAATTTATGAGTCTATTTACAACGAAGATCAATGCATCAAAAACTAAATTCCAAATAATTAACTTGTTCTTTCAGAAGGCCAACACCAACAATTAATCCTAAATTTGAAGTTTAAATAGAACTCAGGAAGATTCAAAGTTAAAATTAAGAAGAAAGAAAACAGCAGATAAAGAAGAGGAGGAACATGTGAAAAACTTTAAAAAAACATCATTCCATCATTTGCGCTATTTATTAAATGGGTGAATCATTCCCACAAAATTTCAAACAATAATATACAAATTGGTGCTTTCGGCCTCCACCAAACAACCCCATCATTGTCTATCATCACCTTCATCTTCCACAACCCCTCACCTCCTTCTCTTTCTCTTTTCCCTTTCAGACAGAGTTTCTGAGGTTAACAAGATGATTTTGAACTGGAAGAAAGGCTGTTGGACGGCGGAAACTTTCTTGCCTTCATTTTCAATATAGGGTTTAGTTTTATACACAATTGAACGGTGCTAGATCACCGTAAAATCAGGAAAATAATCTACCTCCAATAACTAAGGTAAATACAAGAAGATACAATATATTTACTAAACCCTAAGGTACAATATACTATCGTAATACCCCCTCAAGTTGGAGCATGAAGATCTCGAATGCCCAACTTGCCAAGGAAGTAATCAAACTGTGATTTACCAAAAGCCTTAGTGAAAATGTCAGCCAGTTGCATGTGTATAGACACATAACTTGGAAGAATAGTACTCTTCGTTATCTCATCACGCACAAAATGACAGTCAACCTCAATGTGGTTAGTGCGCTCATGAAAAACTGGATTAGCATCAATATGCAAAGTGATCTGACTATCACAAAAGAGCCTCGCAGGTAAAGAATGAGAAACACCCAGAGACGATAACAAACCTTTAAGCCATTTAAACTCACAGACGGTGGAAGCTGTAGCACGATACTCTACTTCAGCATATGCTCGAGCAACAGTCTGCTATTTCTTTGTCTTCCAGAAAATCAGGGAGTGTCCTAACTGAACAAACCAACCTATTGGAGAACGACGGGTGGTAGGATAACTTGCCCAATCAGAGTTGCACCAGCCCGTAAGTCGCAAATCACAAGTAGCATTGAGGAAAATGCCTTCACCAGGATGACCCTTTAAATAGTGAATAACCCATAGGACCGCAACCCAATGAGCCTGCATAGGTTTCTGCATGAACTGAACAAGCATATGCACACTATAAGAGAGCTCGGGACGAGTGACAGTAAGATAGGTCAAACGACTGACCAGGCATCAATAATGTTCGAGATAAGAAAGACGATTATCAATTGCAAGCGGAAACTGATGATTCTGTTCTAGAGGAAAACCAGCTGGTTTGGCACCCAATAAACCAACCTCAGAAATAATGTCCCACGTATACTTGCGTTGACAAAGAAAAATGCCAGAAGAATTACGAGCAACCTCAATGCCAAGGAAATATTTCAAGATGCCAAGATCCTTCATATGAAAACACCGACTCAAGTAATCCTTGAAACGCTGGATAGCAGACCCATCATTACCAGAGATAATGAGATTATCCACATAGACTAAGACATTGAGCTGCAAGGAGCCACAACACAATGTGGAAAGTGAATAATCAGAATGAGATTGGTGAAAACCATACCGTCGTAGGGAAGCTGCCAACTTCGCAAACCAACAACGCGGTGCCTGACGCAACTCATATAACAAACGGCGAAGGCGACACACTTTGCCAGATTGGGAAGAAAAGAAACCAGGGGGCAGCTTCACCGTAGACCTCTTCAGCAAGATCACCATGTAAAAAGGCATTATGAAAGTCCATCTAATGGAGTTCCCAGCCTTTAGCAGCAGTAACAGTGAGTAAAGTGCGAGCGATGACCATCTTAGCAACAGGTGCAAATGTCTCATTGTAATCCAATTCCTCGATCTGATTATTACCCAAAATAACCAAGCAAGCCTTATAGCGTTCCACCGAGCCATCAGAGTGATGCTTTCTTTTGAACACCTATTTGCACCCAATAGCGCGCTTCCCAGGAGGCAGCTCAGCGAAAGTCCAAGTGTCATTCTTTTCAAGTGCCTCAATCTCGTGTTGCATGGCAGTACGCAATAGAACATCTTTAATAGCTTCAGCAAATGTCTGAGGTTCAACACCTGCAGTGATACTAGCCAGAAACGCACGGTGTTGTGGAGAAAAAAAAACATAACTCACAAAATGATGAATAGGATAAGACGCACCTGAGGAAACTAATGAAGAAGATGAGTTGGGAGAGGGCTAGGTAAGGCAATAGTATGAGACACAAAATCAGTGAGACGAGTAGAACGAAACTTGGTCCGGCCCATGACCCAGAAGTTCGACCTGTTGCCCAGAAAAATCAAAACCCTCCTTTTCGAGGGAAGCTGAGCTGCTCGAATTAGGTATTTCCTCAGAAACATACTCAAGAGGTGGAGGATCCGAAATAGGCACAACTTTCGGAGGAACCACAACCTCAGGAGAGAAATCATCATCATCATCCAAAAAAACAGAAGAATCAACCAAAGGTGGACTTGCACTTGAAATAGGTGGAGAGGAGTAAGGAAACTCAGACTCAGAGAATACAACATCACGAGAAACAAAAAATTCACCAGAGTCCAGATCATAAACTTTCCAACCTTTTTTTCCATATGGATAACCCACAAATACATACTTACGACTACGACTAGCAAATTTGTCGCCTTTATGGTATTGATTGTGAGCATAAACAAAGGCATCCGAATACTCGTAAATGAGAAAAGGAAAGAGACTTGCCAAATAAGATCTCATATGGAGTTTTGCCACTTAAAACACTAGAGCGAGTGCGATTAATCAAATAACGAGCCGTTAAAACACATTTCCCCTAGAATTCAATAGACAGATGTACCTGAAAACGCAAAGCCCGAGCAACATTTAAAATATACCTATGCTTTCGCTCTACCCTGGCATTTTGTTGAGGAGTACCCACACAAGAAGTCTCACGAAAAATTCTATTGTTGAGAAAATAACCAGACATATACATAAACTCGGTACCATTGTCACTTCGAATATTTTTGACAGATTTAGCAAATTGTCTTTGAACCATAGCAAAAAAATTGCACAAAGTAGAAAAAACTTCTTTCTTATCAACCAGCAGAAAAATCCAAGAGGTACGAGAAAAATAATCAATGACAGTCAAAAAATAATGAGCACTAGAAAATGTAGGAACACGATAAGGTCCCACAAATCACAATGTATCAAATCAAAGATAGCATGAGTTTTAGTGGTACTAATAGGAAAACTTTCCCTAGATTGTTTGGCTTGGAAACAAACATCACAAACCTTATTGGAAAAATCACTATGCGTTCTAGAACCAACAGAAGGAATCAACTCTAGAACCTTAGGAGAAGGATGCCCCAAGCGCCGATGCCACAAATCAAAGGATGATGTCTCAGTAGTCTTTAAATCGGTAGCAGTCTCCACAGCCCTAAAGAAATATAACCCCTCTCGTTGCTCACCCACTCCAATCAGCATCCTCGAAGCGCGATCCTGGATTACACAGAAATCATAAGTAAAGTGAGCAACAAAACCAAAATTTCGCAATAATTGATATACATATATTAAATGGCATAATAATGAGGGAACATAGCAGACGTTATGTAATGTCACTTTGCTACTAAGAATAACAGTGCCGGCCTTAGTAGCAAAGGTGCGTTGACCATTAAGCAGCTGAACAGGAACACCACTTATATCACGAACATCCGAAAAATAGGCCAAATTGCCAGTCACAGGACGAGAGGCCACGGAATCATACATCCAAAAATACGACCACGACATACCAGAAAGTTTCTCGGAGGAACCAATTTTGGTTGATTGCAGCAAGTGAACTAAAGTCTGCCACTGTTCGTCATTCAAACCGGTGATAGCTTGAGTTTTTTCCCCGGCACCAAGAACAGAGTTGACGGCAACAACAGGCGTCGATCCCCCAGCAGCACCAGCAGCATTGCCACAGCTAATTCCACGCCCATGACCACGGCCTCGACGGGCAGAACCCTTGGAACGATTAGGCCAGCCCTCGGGGTATCCATGAAGCTAAAAACAGGTAGAAATGTCATGATGTGGCTGATTACAGTGAGAACAATGTAAAGGGAACTCACGACCAGACCTACGACCACCAGAAACAGAGCCCGAAGCAGCTGCAAAAACCATAGCCTCGCCGAAAACATGCTGGGAAAGAGAACCAACAGCAACCTTAACCGCAAAGCTCACCATCTCCGTTGGCAGGCTGGGAAAGAGAACCAGCAGTAGACTGAGCAATCTGATGCATCTGCTATACCTGAACCATTGTAGAATAGATTTTGTTCAAACGCGGCAACGGATCTTGGGGGAGCAAGTTAGAACGAGTGGTACCGTAAATGGAGTCGTCGAAACCGAGGAGAAACTGATGAATTTTCTCCTCCTTTACCTCTTTGTCTGCCATAGCAGTGAGATTGCACGTACATAAGCCGCATGAACACGTCAGAAATCAGTTGTACGTAGCCAACTCTTCCTAGATCCTGTTCAAGCGACCATAGTACGTGGCCATGGACAATCTTGTCTTCCTGCAACTCTCCAATTCAGCCTTCAGTTGTTGGATGCAAGGACCATTAACCTAGCAGAGACGCTCTTTGATGTCCAGCCATAAATCGGCGGCAACTTCGGGTTAAGTAATGGTGAAACGATGATTTGGCTCAATCGTGTTCATGATCCATGAGCAAATCAGGGAATTAATTGTCCACTAATCGTCATAATCAGCAGAAGAGGGAGATGGCTCCGGAATCGTGCCGTCGACAAACCCTAATTTTTTCTTTTCCCACAAAGCCGCTTTGACGGAACGATACCACTCATCATAATTACTCTCGCCCTCTAGTTGAACGTTAGTGAGGGTGGTACCAGGACCATCATTGGCGGTGATGTCGTATGGTAAGATGGTTTTACATCGAACACCATCATCGGAGGATTCACGCACGACAGAAGACTCAATAGCCTTGCCGGTGTCTTTTTCAGCCGTATTAGTCATGGCAACAAGCGATGAAACAGTGATCAAAGACCTGCGATTGATACCATAAAAAGATGATTATGAACTGGAAGAAAGGCTGTTGGACGACAGAAACTTTCTTGCCTTCATTTTCAATATAGGGTTTAGTTTTATACATAAGGGAACGGTGCTAGATCACCGTAAAATCAGGAAAATAATCTACCTCTAGTAACTAAGGTAAATACAAGAAGATACAATATATTTATTAAACTCTAAGGTACAATATACTACCGTAGTAGAGGTTAACTTCTAGTTTATCATATTACGTTTTCCTCAATACCACCCCTTTCTTTGTCTTAGTTCTTAAATTCGGATCATCCTAACGAAATTTGAGTCTTGTAATCTGTACTTGTGAATTGTGATAATTACAATATGTCACTTTAATTGATAAAAGATACTATATGGTATAGAAACAAATTTCATATATTGATGCAACAAAAGGAAACAAACAAATGCCTTCATTTGTGGATTTTGTATTCAACTCCACAATAAGTTTATCCTTTTATTAAAGAGGCGCTAATTTCACACAACTAGAGCGAGAGTAATGTGTACTCTCTCCATTTTGAAATATATATGTAGTTTTAGAGTTTGGTGAATTTTTTTAAATACATGTCATTTTCACAAATCGAGTCACATTTGACCACTTTTTGCCAATATTACCTTTATATTGAAAATTAAATAATATTTATAATGATTTTCTATTGGTTTGTGGTAAGTTGTATAGATAATAAATAAGGGTATTTTTATATTTTAACTACATTAATTAATACTCCCTCCATTTCAAAATGTAAGTCACTTTAGACTCTACATGTAAACTAAGGAGACAATCATTTAATAATTAATTATGTGTTAAATATCTATTTTATCCATTATTAATCATTTTGGAACTATAATCAGACTAAATGAAAAGTAGTTAGCATCATTTATTGGGGGTAAAGTTGAAAAATTGATCTTTAATTTGCCTAGAAATCTTGAAACGACCTAAATTTTGAAATATTTCTCCAAACCTAAAACGACCTACATTTTGAAATGGAGGGGTATTTTCTTGGTTTTGATGAATTCTTTAGAAAGACATATAAAAAAAATGTAGGTAATATTATTTTTCTGGGACACAAACAGCATTATATTATTCACAAACAAATGTTATTAAGGTTTCTATCATTATTATATGGGCTTTTAATTTTTTTTGTACACAATAATATCATCATTCATCCACTAAACCAAATTAATCACTCCATTTAACTCTTAACTTCATTGTTTAGTTAACCAAAAGAAAAGGAAACTTAGTCAAACCCTCTAACCATCAATCAAGTATACTAGTATCGTTTCTTTTTGCGCAAATTGTTGAATTAGTGTTTCCCAATACGACTTAGGCCGCCCACACACAACACCAAATAGTGGTCACATCCCACATACAAAAACCAGTTTTTAAAAGAGAACTTTCCTCCTTTTGCCAGCTTCCTAGTCCTTTTCTTTTCTTCTCTTCTTTTTTTTCCTTTTTTTTTGTATTAAAAAAAATTGGGCATTAATTTATCCCATGTTCCGCCAGCTTCCCACTTCCCCTATTTTGCCTAAAAAACCCAAACTTTCACAGATTCCGAAGGCTCTCTCCATTTAAACCAGTCATCCATTCCATTCCTTCTTCTTTCCTCCCTCTCTTACTAAAATAATATATATTGACATTGCCATTTGCCACAAATTCAGTCACACTTCAGAGGAAGAGAAAAAACACAAAGGGAACATGGCTTCCTATGTTATTCTTTTGCTTTCAGTAATCATATTCTCATTCTCCGTTCTTCTTCTTTCTTTATCCTTATCTTCTCTGGTGTTTGTGTCTTTCACAACGGTGGGAACTTTCCACCAACACATAAGCATTAATTGGGGTGAAGAAAGAGCTCAGATACTTGAAAAGGGTCAGCTTGTGACCTTAACTTTGGACCAATTCTCAGGTTCTGGTTTCCAATCCAAGGATGAATACTTGTATGGCAGGGTTGATATGCAGCTCAAGCTTGTTCCGGGTGATTCTGCTGGCACTGTCACCGCATTCTATGTATGAAATTTAATTCCCCCTGTCTCTCTGCCCCTTTGTTTATTTTATTACTAAGAATCCCCAGATTCTTGCTACATTTGAAAGTTTGAAATTTGAAAAATTTTACCTTTCCCTAACCTAATAAAAATTCAATCTTGATTGTTTTTTTTTTCTTCCCAGCTCTCTTCTGATGAACCAGCTCATGATGAGATTGATTTTGAGTTTCTGGGGAATGTATCAGGGGAGCCTTACATTGTCCACACCAATATCTACACACAGGGGCATGCAGGCAGGGAAATGCAATTCTATATGTGGTTTGATCCTACAGAGGATTTCCACACTTACACCATCATCTGGAATCCTAAAAGAATCATGTAAGGCCTAAATTTTCCAAATGAACCCTTTTGGAAATTCATATGAGTTTGTCATTTTGGAAACCTTTTCTAAATTGCAAAGTTTGGTGCTTTTTTGTTTCCAGTTTTTTGGTGGATGAGATTCCTATTAGGGTATTCAACAACCATGAAGATTTGGGAGTGCCATTTCCAAGTAGGCAACCAATGAGACTGTATTCAAGCATATGGAATGCTGAGAGCTGGGCTACACAGGGTGGGAAAGTGAGGATTGATTGGAGTAAAGCACCCTTTACAGCATCTGCCAGAAACTTGAAAATTGATGCTTCTGTCTGGCATTCAGATGATGCTTCCTCACCTAACAAAACGTGGATGAATCAGCAATTGGATGCAATTGGGAAAAGGAATTTGCAGTGGGTACACAAGAATTACATGGTCTACAATTACTGCAGAGACTACAAGTACATCTATGGCATCCCTCTTGAATGTACGCTGTAATTTTTTAGTTTTGGAGATTCACACCAATATAGCAGATACAAAATCACATTTTTAGCTGAGACAAAATCATTTAACAATATGTTACCAAAGTTATAGCAATGTGCATAATAGATGAAATGATATTTTTTTGGTATCCCCATATTTTGTGTATACATAGAGAAGAAGATTGTCATTCTTTTGAATTTCCCATTTTCTACATTAACTCTTCTTAAGGATTAGGATATAGAAAACAGCTCATTATGGTTTGGAACCCAAACTGTAGAGTTGAGCATTATGATGCTTTTAAGTTGTGAAAAAAAAATGACCACTTCATATCAATTTCTGGCCAAGGGTAGAGGATCAAATTCGTTTTACAAATTTAGTTCTAGCATATACTCTTTCTTCAATTGTTTTCCCAACAAACTTTTGCTTTCTTTCTTCAATTGTTCGGGGGAGGTTGTTATGACAAAGTTTATGTCCTCATAGGACAAAGGTCCAAAGGGCAGCCACAAATCGCCAAAGTTTGCTATAAGATACAAAAAATAAAATAAAATAAAAATGTTCGCTTATATGGTATATGCATAACTTTTTTGGTCAATTGGGGATAACTTTGATTCTTCACGCCCACAGCACCAATTGAAGGATGAATGAGCATGATCTTTCCACATCCTATTTGTCTAACTGTAAATTATCTGTCTCATTTTGGCAAATGATTATAGAGGGGAGGCTTCAACTAATAGTCAACACGTCCTCGCTACTCATTTCAACTAGCTCTTTAATTAGAATCTTTAGAGTCTAACAATAAATTAAGCCAAACATGACGAATATCCTTGACACAGAGGCAATGATTTGTGTCTCTCAAAGCATAAAATTATATCAGATCATTCCCGATTAGAATAAAAACCCTCAACTAGACGCACGTCCTAGGATCATTCCTTTAACTATATATATAAATCAGGCTTAAACTTTACTCGCTGAGTTCTGAAATGATTGTCTAGTTTGAATATACTAAAATTGAAATTTTAAACTAGACAATCATTTCAGAAAAGAGAGAATACATATTTTCGCAATCCGGTAGGACAAGGAAGCAACAGGTCGTTCTTTGTTCACGGGGTTATGGGGTCGTAAAATTGTTTTTACATAATGAATTTGATACAGAGTCTCTAGTTTATCAGCCATTTACCATCATCATGAAGAACACGAATATCAGGTACCTAATTAAGAATTTTTGGCTTCATGAGGAGGAGATCTGACCAACTAAAAGCCAAATAGATGCTGGTTTGCAAAGCATCATCAACAGAAATTCTTATCCTGGTCAGATAGGATAAAGCTCTAACCAGTAAACTACTTAATATGGATCATGGTGGACAATAACACGTGGGCAACTATTAATAAAGATTTACCAGCAACAAAACTAGTCATCTTAAGAGACAGGTTCTGGTTTAGGCCACTTTGCTTAGTGACTGAGCTGTGGTTACTGCACAAATTTCAGGAAAAACCGAAAAGGTATGCAAAAACAACTAAAAATAAGTTAGAAACACCTGTACAGATCTAAGCAGAGGCAAAGCGAACAGAGAACTTCAGCAATGCGAGTAAGATCAGCACAATATTCATCACTTGATTGATACAGCACACATTACCCATCAAATTACCATATCAAAGACAAGCTGCCACCACGAGAAAGATCTATAATCGAGCTGTGGCCTGTGTTCGGGAATGAGGAAGCATAGCTCTTACAAAAGCTAAATAGAATAACCCCCCAATGTCGATAGTAACTACTGAGAATTTCAACACTTCAAGATACGACTGCAAATTTGTGCTACAAATTATCAAGGCATAATTTGGAAGCAGGATTCAAAACATTTAGGTTGTTAAAATAGTCGAATAGCGATATTCTCCTCCACGGGAATATTACAAAAAGATCAGTCACTTAGTTCCATTACGGAAAATGTTTACATATATAACAAAATTGATAACTTCGCGGACCATTTGGCTTCATTCCACCATTGTACCTATCAGTCTACATTCTCCAATGTACAAAAGATAGGAAAATCACTTCTAAGGAGAAGCTAATAGCTTCGCATCCTTGAAGCAAGCACCAGAGAATAATCTTGGCCTGGTAATTCAAAAGAAAATGATGGAATGTGAGTCCAGTTGGAATAGTAAACAGAAAAACCCAAAATTCAGTTTACCATCAATGGAGAACAACCACATCAAGAAAACATTTCAATTCACCAAACATTTCATAGAGTAACTCAATCTTAAACTGTTTCACAGATCAAATATGATCAGGGGGATAAAACTAATCACAGAGTTTTGCATGCACATGACTGGAATTGACACGCCAAGAAAAACATGAAAAATGTTTTGCATACTCAGATAACGATATTAGTTGACAATTTCGCAACCTTAATATAGTAATTCACATAGAACTAATCTCATTTCCTAAAGTTCCCATCTCTAGTGGACCAGCAATCATGTTATATCATATATGAAGTTGATCTAAATCTGCTTAAATGCACATAAATACTGCAAGAAGAATAAGTGTTTATGAAATGCCTTCCGAACAACACCGATAAGCCTGAGATTCTAGTGAGCAATCTGACATGAGGGACTTTCGGTGAATCTCAATTGTAGAAACTAGAAATCATCAAGACCAGTAAATGGGAAAAACAATCTAGAAAGGAATCGGGGGATGCAATCAGGAATGCAATTTTTTGTTACCATTTCGGATGCTAGAACAACCATCTGCGCAAAACCCATTGCCATCAGATTTCTGATTAAGCTGAAATTCCTAGCCTAAGTTTTTTCTTTTTAAACCAGAGCAAGGATATGCTAGCGTTGACGTGAGTCGGTGCTTCATTTACTCTCTGTTACAGACGTCACTCCCCAGATAAAGTAATTTCTCTCTACGTGTCCAATGCCTTTATGTTGCCTCAGATAAAAGAAAGTCATCAATATGCATGAATAAGGAGTGAGTGGGAAATTGACAAATTAAGCTACTCAAGCTGTTGATTAACCTCACCCAACAACCCTCCCCAAGCCTAGTGTGTGTACCGGTGTTGACAACTTGGCATTACATGATACACTGTCAATTACACCAAAGCGATCTTACACTTGGACATCTAAGAGGATGATGAGTAAAGAAAAGGAGAAAGAATGAAAAAGAACCAATGCACGCTTGGCGAATCCACTCATCAGTCAACACGTGAGTGTCATCGCAGGTCTATATTACATCTATTTCACCTCTGCTAACCGGTTATATGGGAGGGGTAAAATTTGAAAATAAAAGACAAACTAATTTTGGACGAATGAACGAAAACAAAAATGGACAAATGGATCCTCTGAACTTCAAACTCGGACAAACTGTAGAATTCCTCAAGACAAATTTTATCATCCAATAATGGCATTCTCTTATCAACTATTAACAAAGTACTCCATGTCCAAGTTTACCATCATCAAAGCTTGTTCCAAGTAATTCGATGCCTAGGAAGACAATGTACAAGTCTAGCAGCATGTAAGTACTCTAGAATTAGATGCCAAAGTCGATCAAACTGAATTGATATCTTATTTCCCCAAAAGGTGTCAACAATGAGGTCTAAAAGCTGTCTTACCACCCCGCGACTATAACCAAGTACAACAGAAACCATTAAACCTATTACAAAGGAAAGGGCAATCCAACAATTAATGACAAGTTTAATTCATACTCCTAATGCTTGATTCGGTAAAGCATGAGAATGTGTGAAATGAGAAAACAGCACATTCCCTTCAGAAGATGAGGGTTAGACCACCAGCCACAACACAAATCAGACCTCAGCTTTTTCAAAACTCCAAACTTTATCATTCAATACTGAAACTATTCACAAATCCCATTACACATACAGAAACCTGTCATCGAAGCCGACAATTCCAAAGAGGCAGGTTTATTTTCTTTTCGGAAAATCGCAGACTTAAGCATCAACAAACCATTCGAAAATCCCAAGGAAACTAAGACAAAACACAAAACAAAGAAACCCCTCAATCAAACACAGAAAATAAACAAATGGGAAAGGTCCATAAAAAAAATTAACCTACATTATTTATTATTTATCTTTTGGATACCTGTTCTGAAGCCAAAAGAACCACCTTTCCAGGAAATGCACTCCTTGCATTACCATGACTGTAAGATTTTCCAAGAACCCTTTCAAGAACCCTAACAGGGTATGAAGTATTTAACCAAAAACACAAAGTAAAAGAACCAAAGAACCAAACTTTTGACTTCCTCCTTTCTTTTCCCCCTTCTTTGAAAGGGAAAAAAAAAAGAACTCTTTAGACACAGTCCGAGGGCGTGAATTTCCTAGGGGGTTTAAGAAGGGAAGAAGTAAATTATAGTGCGGGGCTTTTTGTTCTTTTCCTTGCTGAGGTGCACGAATCACGAGGTGAAGAGGGGAAGGAAAAGGAAGGGACAATGCGGCACAGGGGAATAAGGTTAGCATTTTGAGCAGATGGGTTCTGTTGCTTCATAAATTCTCTACAAAGACTCGAAAAAAAAAGTACACTGGCGCCACACTTTCTGCCGAGTAAGCTCGGCCCTTTGCATAGATTGGGGCGATTTTCAGTTATGCTTTTTGTGTAAAAAAAATTATTACAATATTTTCGTTTAGGCCTACTTTATCTATAAAACTTTTCCAAATGTAGATACCAGCTTTCAAAATCCTGTCAATTAAAATGACAAATGTGGGATTAAAAACCCAACTGAATGAACCATCTCTCACATCTTTTCCCAATTTCTAACTCTCCTATCCCATCAACGAAAACAAGTGACAGAAATAAGTGGTCTAAAAGCAGCTAGTTTGCATGTCTCATTTTAACATTATAGTAGTGAAGACTGGATTATATAGATATATTTATGAATATTATTGCGCATAAGTTGACGGACTAACTAATCGGCCTATGAGTATGTATGTCGGAATTGATGCATATTTACACATAGCGTGACTTATTGTAACATTTAGAAATGGATATTAGACCTTTAGTAAAGAGTTTTGGGTGTTGTTCTTTTGTAAAAGTAGGTAGAGATATAGGAAAGAATGCTCATTAAGTTAACACTGAGTACTTTTACAGCCTTGAAGTTTGTAATATATACTCGTGTTAATATATGAATTATCATGTTTTCAAAAGAAAATATAGCGGGACTTAGATGAATCAATTTTCATGTTTTCAAAAAAAAAAATATAACGTGACCTAGATGAATCAATTTTCTACGTGTAATACAACTCGAATATAAGTGTCAAAAATAAATGGTAAAAAAACAATTAGTTTGCCCTATGTTTACAGTGTTTTAAATGTAATAAAACCTCCTTATGTAGGTCAGTTAGGGCCTCATTTGGAGGTTGCTTTCCGAGCTTTGAATGACATCCCCTTGATTATGTCTCCAAGCATTGAATAAAGGAGGATGAAGAATCACTTATGATTGACTAGTCTCATTTTCGAGTCAATTTTAGGTCGGACTGCGAGTACATTTCATGAAGCAAACTGATATGGTACAATATTGAGGTAGTCTCATCAGCTACAAAGCATGGGCATCAAGTCAACAATCTACAAAACCTATCGTGTTCCATAACGAATGACTAGTCCATTCCTCAACAAACTCAAGGATCTGGAGACCAGATTATTCTATGTTATTATCATCGCAAAAAGAAACCCAACTGGTGTGACAGAGGACTTGTCAAGGAAACTACTGAGGTTTAAGGTGAAGAAGCTAAGGACTTGTCAAGAAAATCATCAAGTTTTGGGACTGAAGTCGCATCAGAGACCAAAGTGGGCAGCAAAAAGGTGAAAACAAAAGTTTGTTTAATGATGGTGTATTTTATCTGCGTCAAAGATCCAGAATCCCAGTACCTGATAGACAAAAGGTATGAATACACAACAAAGGAATAAGTCTGTGATGATAGACACAAATTACAAAAAGACATGCATGACACAAAACAATGGCCATTTAGTATTATGCAATATTGGAGTAAATGCTGGTTTGACTGTGAAAATGAACCAGGTGGGGGACCTTTACTTCGGTCAAATTTTGGATATCTCCTTGGACTAATTCACCAAACAGTTCTCAAATTACAACCTTCTCATCAGTGGTAATTCCTGTTTTTACCCAACTACAAGAGCCAATGAAAGACTTCATTCCCTGACTACAACCAAATGGGTCAGTGGAAGACTCTATTATTAAGTTCTGTTACTTTTCTAATTGTACTGCTCGAGGGCTTCAGAAATGCAGCAATGGGGGGTTGTAAATGCACAGTGAAGCCACACACTGATCAGACAATACAGGGGGTCGCGAATAATTACTCTTACTGCAGAAATTTGTTCTTTTTAAGCTAACAGTTTTTCAATGGAAGGAGTATTTAAAGCAGTGACAAAAACGAACATGATCATTAGCAGATTTGCTTCTCATTTTTCCATCACTGTAAAAATTATGTAATTCAACTTGCAACTATAGGAGCAGCTCCCAAAGCGAAAAAATGAAGTGCCAAAACTCCTTTCCATTAAATGATGAGAATCAATACTCGGACGATGGAACCAGACAATTAGACAAAGCATTCATTTAGATACCGGAAACATTCAAAATCTGAACTATTAGTAGTACAATATACAAAACAGATTGATAAAGACTCATTTAGTGTGAGTCGCCCTTAAAAGTATTTTCTTCTTCAACAGCACAAGTTACATTAACATAAGACAGAACGGATATAACACAGAGCGGCAAGGGCATTGCATAAACAAACATATCTATTCCAGCTCGACATCTTTTGACCAAATAGCAGAATCTCAAACTACCTCCACCATCGAATGGATATCGCTCGCTAGTAGCCATAAGTCTAAGGATGCAATTACATGAATACGCGTACAGCATCATATGAAATCTGGTAATAAACTATTTTAATGCGCATATATCATCACACAAAATCCAGAACTAACCTCAGAATGTGGAACTTTGAGGTGCTGCGAATTGCAGAGAGTGCCAATACAATAGCAGGAACCATACTAAGCACTACCGTGGGCGGGCTAACTAGAGATAATATACAAAAATCACAGCAAGAAAGACACAGTTCTCGATCGACCTTGGGGAAAAAAAACAATTCACATACTTCAAATCCAGAAAAGAATCACAAAACAGATATGACAAAGATGCAAACAAAACATAACAAATTCTCTCACTTAATAAGATCATGTCTCATATGGAAGACAGGATAACAAATAAAAATGAAGATCTACATGATTCCAACATCATTTCAATCGAGCAGTAGTTGCAATGGTACCAAAATTTGAAAAGGCACCATATCTAGCTGCAATAGCAAAATCAATACCCAATTTGTAGCGAAGCTAAGCCTTATTACGGCTTCAGGAAACTCCTTATCGCGGATGGTAAGTAATACAAAAATGAGGTCTTCTGGACTGTTGCCTTGGATAACTAATACATGCCTTCTGGATTAGAGTTCGATTATCTACTCAAACTCTTGGTAGCTTTTTTCATTGATCCTTTCGACCTTGCTCCAAGTTTACTCTTTTTCTTCTCTTTCTTTTCAACTGATTCTGCATTTCTCACAGGCGACCTACTCCTCTTTGCTGCCTTCCCCTCTTTCTTCTCCACTCCTCTAACCAATCTGTCCTTCTTTCTCCTCTTAATTCCCAAATCATCACTATCAATTTCCTCGTCCCCCTCACTTTCAACATCATTACCTACATGCTCCTCAGCATCCATTTTCTTCACCTCCTCATTCTTATCCTCATCATCGTCACTATCCAATTCAACTGCACCTATACCCAAATCCATATACTGAACCTCATGAATCCTCCCTTTCTTCTTCTTCTTTCTCTTATCCTTTTCCTTCTCCTCACCACCACTACTCATCTCCTTCGCCTCGGTCTCCCTAATTTCCTCCCTCTCCATCTCTGCCAAGCCATCAATCTTGAGCTTAAAATCAGGCAACGCCTGATAAATCGGCAATGCCAAGGAATTCGAAAACTTAACATGAAAACTTCTCACACCACCCCATTTCTTAGGCACAACTTTTACAACCTCACTAATTCCCTGAGCTATATTTTCCACAATCTCGTCCCTTTCCATGGACACCTTCCCAACTTTCATCACACAACAAGTACCAGTCCTCATAAACAAAAACCCACTACCCATGGCCCTCTCAATTTGCTCTTTCCAATTCTTATGAGTAAGATCCAACGGTACAGGCAACTTCTTCTTCTTAAAGAAAGACTTACCCAGTAACTTAGGCAGCAAATGGACAATCCTTCTATCAACCAAGAAAAGCTCGTACGAATCGCAAAGCTTCCTTTTCGCCTCAAAAGGTTTGTAATCTGTCTTGAGCTTTGAGAGTTTGAGGACTTTGGCTACGGGAATGTTTTGGGTTTTGACGATCTTTTTCGCATCCTTTGAGGTGAGGTTCGAATTGGGCCGGTCGTCGATGATAAGGCAAACCTCTGAGGTTGCATCGAAAAGAGGGTGGGGGAGAGGGATTCTGAAAGCATTTGTGCGGGATTTCGCGGGGATTTTTCTCAGGGTTAAGTTGAGGTAAACCAAATCATCTTCCGGGAGGAGTTGAGGCTTCTCTGGGGCGGTTTTGGCCTTCCATTTCAACAGGCTGTCGACGGCGGAGCTTATGACCTCCGACGAAATCCCGTCTTCGGCGGCCGGTGGTTGCGGTTTAGACGCCATAGTTCGGAGAATAGAGATGCTGTTGCAGAGATTAGAGGTTGGGGTTTAGGGTTTTGAGGGGAGAGAGAGGTTTAAGAGGCTTTTGTTTATAAATAGTTGGGCTTCACTTTATGGCCATTGTAACATGTTGGGCCATAAATCAACAGTGAAACGAACTGTCTACATTAACTTGGGTGAAATGTCTAGTGCAGTATACAAGCTAAGTTTACTAGTGCTCTGGTCCAGCGCTGGACATCCCTGTTGCAATTATTGTTGAGACCCGTACGGGTGAAAATTGCTTGTATGGGTCAAAACCAAAAACAGAAGGAAGAAGGTGTCGAAGCCCATCAGGGCCAAAATTAAGACTGAGCATTGTTCGATTCATTCAATATAACGTACTTGGGCCAACCCTTGTTTGTCCAAAGTTAACGATGTCTCGAGTTCGAGTCTCTTGAATAGAAAGAGTAATAATGGCAGAACTTTCCTTTCTTTTTGAAAAGAGACCGACTCGGCTCGATACAGATTACATGAGTACAATGCATTTAAAGACCCACAGTGCAATATGAAAAAAAAAAAAAGAATCCGTTTAATATAAAATTTTATGATTACTATTACAAATAAATATTCCTTTTATTTCAAAATAATTATTCAATTTAGATATTCTATTTATCTTCAAAAATATATATATAAATATATATATATACATTGAGTTTTAAAGTTTGAAATATGTAGTATTCTTTTGACATAATTAGCCGTCTTTATCAACACAAAATGGAGCTTTCATAAATAAATATCTTCTCTATCCCAACTATCGTATACAAGAAAATTAGTAGCATTTTAAGAGAGACATATTATTTTGTCAAATCATGGAACAAAGGCCCTCATTCCTCAACATGGTGAAGCTAATAAATAACATGGAGAAAAAAAGAAAAAAAAGAAAAAGAAAAGAAAAGCATAACAATGAGCTAACCAACCAACGAACACAAACTGCTGACCATGATTTTATGATTTAACTGATTTGAGTTGATTCCCCCATAACACCCAAATGTAAGTCAAAACCACCAGTCAATGAGTCGAATGATTGTGTACTTGTCCGAAAAAACCTGATGACTTCTAATTCTTTTATAAATCGGAATTCAGCGACCCGCATTGAGCTGGCAGTCGGCCACTAACTACCAATCCAACTCAACAACGACGAGCTTTCCACATCTTTCATACTCATGTTCATCCACTAATCTCAAGAGCTGCTCTGCTAATTCCACACTCCTTTACATCATCACCGCCTTTTTGTGGGGACTTTCTAATTTTTAAATTTTTCCTTTTGAAAGCTCATCAATCTAATAATTGATCAAGTAGGAGGATACTAAAAGGGGGAGGAAACCAAGCAAAAATCGAACTTTTCATTATTATTATTATTATTATTGGTTTTTGCTGATAAAAATGGAAGTTTCAGAGAATTCCCAGGTGGAAAATAGCCAGAAAGACAGCCCAGATGATTCAGGAAAAGTTGAAGTGGAAGTGGAAGACGGGGTTGATTCTGGGGAAGTAAACAAAGATGGCGGCTCGGCAGAGTGGGCTGTTGAAGTAAGTCAAGATTGGAAAGAAGGCAAAGAAAACGTGGAGGATTCAAGATCTGATGATGTCACTGCTGAAGAAGAAAAGGGAAAAGAAGCTGAAAGTTCGAGTCTTTTTACCAGGGTTGCTTCTGAATTACCAGTTTCAGATGCTAAAAATGTTGAGGCATCTTCAGGGGTTATTGCTTCTGTGAAAAAAGAACCTGATGCTGATCCATATGTTCCGACTAGTTCTGGTGGTGTGGAAATTGGTGCTCCTGAAGTGTCCGAAATTCCCAGAAATACCGAAGATGATCAGGTTGGATAGTAATTTTTCGGATGCAAACTGCCCTGTTTTTCTCTGTGTGTGTGTGTTTTTTTTGGGGCTGTTTTATACGCACGCAATTAGTTCTAAGATTTGAAGAACATTTTGTTCACGTTAACTGAGTCGTTTCTTCTATGAATCTTTTATTTGACAGACATATACAACTTTGAGTCATCAAACACGGGCTTCTTGGTTGAATTGTTGTGGTCTGTTGGACGCTTTCAAGGGTTGGAATCAGTAAATTTAGGTGAGCAAGGCTGCTAATTGAAGAGCTTTAAAGTTTCATATTCATCTCAATTACTACAATTGAGTACCATGTTGTTCATGTATAGAATAATATGGTGTTTTAATTTCCTTGAAAAATCGACCACTTTAGCAATAACTGGTTTAGAAATTTTAGTTTACTTTCGCACTTCATGGCAAATAATATATAAGCTTTATTTCATGTTCAATGCTTTGCTGGAACACAGGTCAAGGTGGTTTTGGTTTGCGGGTTGGTGAAGCTTTTGAGAGCCTGGATTTTCATTGTTTTTGTTTGGTGAGGATGCCATCAACCTAGTTGGTGATGCTTTTTTTTTTTTTTTTTGTACTTTTATGATTGTTTTGATATATGATTGTGAAATTGTAAATGAAATCACATTCAATGACTTGTGGAGTGAGGGTGTAGTTGAGGGCTAAAGAGTAGAGATCAGATTATTCTTCTATTCAAAACTCCTGCGCGTTTGTTTTTGCTGTGTGAAAAAATGTTGCAAGCACAAGTAATTTGTTCATTTCTTCTCCTCTTCTTGTTTCGGGTTTCAATCTTTCATCTAGTGCAACATACAACCCAATCATTTTGGGACGAAAAGAATAGAACGTTGAAGCAGAAGCCGCGGAAATGAACATCTTCTTTGGCTTGATTACTGAGATTTCCAAGAGAAAAACATCGTTTTTGCGGCAAATTTATAAGCTGCATCAAAGGATGGGCTTCACAAAAGCGGAAATTCAGAAAGATAACCTGGCAAAAGCATCCTTCCCTGTTCCCAGTTCCCATCCAAATTGGATCCTTCCCTTACTGAAACTTGTTGGTTGAAAGAGATGCATCGCTTTTTACAAAATCCCTTCGTTAAAACCTGTTAAAAAAAAAGCAGCTCATAAGATGGTGTTAGTTCCGCACTTGGATAACTATGATTTCAACTTGCAAGTTGCTAAAGATCGCTCCAAATAAATCACTCTATTGTAGCAAGTCTTGGATCCACCTAAAAGGGACTAATTTCCATTTCCCTTGCAAACTTTAGGGGAGTAGTATACCCTACTATCTCAAATGATTGAATGAAAATTTTAGAGTAATTATTGGAAAAAAAAAATGGATGGATGTATTGTGGAAATTAAATGACAGCTTGGTTAAGAACTGATGTTGTACTTCTTGAAGGTAGACTCGAGCACAATTCCTACTAAAAATTTATAAGGGATAATTTTCCAACAAGTTTCAAGAGCATTCAAATGTTTTTGCTTTCAACATTAATCATGATGTCCCTGTTTTCTTCGACCTTCACTTTACTTGCTTCTCTTTTCGCTTTATTAGTGTTACTACTTTATTCAAAAAAAAAAAAAAATCCAAATTTACAAAAGTGAGGGGGTGTTCATAATGTAATAGGAGTGACTCATTTTGGAAATGTAATTGCTGCATACATTAGCCTCCGACTTAAAAGACTTAAAAAATACTCCGTTCGTCCCATAATTATTGTCCAGTTTATATTTTCATTTCTGGTTCAAATTGTACTAAAAGTAAAATTTAAAACGGGACAATAATTTTGAGACATAGGGTAATTTTTTATTTTTTTGCAAAAAATCAATTCTCCGAGACCTTAGGACCTGAGGTAATCTGACTCAGCAATCAGTATTGATTGATTAATTAATTAATTTACCAGCAGGTGGAAAATGGTATGAACATGTAATTTTGTAAAAGAAGAAAATCCTAACACAGCCAAAAAAAAAAAAAAAAAAAAAACCCACAGCCCCCATGTGCATGCACCCTACGACAATAAAGATTTATTTAGGTTATTTGTACATTTATTTATTTTTTCGAATTAAACATTTATTTTACTTTTGATTTGCTGGAAATCAATTACTACATTACTATATCACCGGAGGAATTCATGGCTCGTCACAATTCCCAAAGTCAATCCCAAATCATTTTAATTTTTTTTTTTTTTTGGGGTAATTTTAAAAATTGTTTTTTCATATACATTCTCTGCCACAAATCTGTCAGCAAGATATCAAATCTTGCACCTTTTTAAGTAATTTTTTTCTACCATTAATTCTCTGTGAAAAAGATTACCTAGATATCTTTTGAGATTCTCCATAGTTCTCACACACATCATCCTGACGAGAATGATGAGATGATAATGAAATACTAATTGGAAAATATTGCAATATAATCTTGAAGTTTGTTTGTATCATGAATTAGTTCTTTGCATGCTTAGTGTGTTTCACAAAAGCCACATGATTAAATGTAATGTTTTGAAATGGATCTGTAAGAAGAATATCTCTATCTATCTAACAAGTTGAAGAGACTATACCAAGATCTTGGAATTTATTCAAAGACACAACAATCACAAGAGCTAAGATTGGAGAACATGGGTGAAAAAAATTGTCTCCAACAAGGTAACAAAAATGACCAAATCCTACTTACTGAAACATACAAAAAGTTGGAGATCCAAGAGAATCCTATATATTTCTTACATTGATCATACTAATCCTCTAGCTACCTACCCTCTAAAATCTAAATCACTAATCCTTATGTTCAAGATGAACACATAATTAGCAAAGAAATTAAAAGAACAAATGAAAAAAAAAAATGCCCTTCTATGTTCTAATCCCCTCCCAAAACATCAAAAAGAAACAAAAACAACAAAACGAAGAAAAAGGACAGGAAACAAATTAATTTTAATTTTAATCAACCTCCGAGTTTTCTCTTTTCCTTTTCTGAACCTTGAACAAAGGTAGCGAGAAATTTCAAGGCTTTGACTTGATACTGCAACTCCAGAATGTAGCCAGCCGTTTCTTCAAACAGTTTGTCAACGCCAAGAGATTCCCCTCCGGGCACAATTTTCTGCAATGCCATAATCTTATCCTCAACCTCTTCGCCGCCATTTTCTTCATCTTCTTCTTCTTCGTTGATGCTACTACAATTTGTTGAAGTATTATTATTATTATTACTATTACAGCAGCTATGATCTGTGGTGTCCGTCATCTGGGTTGCAATGTTCTTGGCATTGCTTTTCTTTGATCTTCTGCTTCTTCCGCGCCTCTCTTGCCGCCGTGTGCGGCGGATGACGGCCAAAGGTTGTTGACCGGAAGAATGAGTACTGGCCATATGATCGGGATTAATATTCTGGTGCGATATTTTTCCCACTAATTTTCTGGGCAATGTGGATGGGATTTCCTCCATGAAGGCGAATTAGATGGGATTTTTGTGCAGAATGCAAAAAAAGAGGCTAAAGAAGATTCATAAGGGATTGAGGAGGAAAGGTGGTGGTGGATGAAGTCATGAAGAGAGAGGGAAGGGAAGGTGGTGAACTCAAGGGGGGCTGAAGTTAAATTATTGTTGTTGGGAGATTTTGAGTTGTGGAAATGTCAATGCCAACGAAGCTGGTCCTACGTACCCCCTATTTCCCTTGAGTTTTGGCTTCCTATACAGTAAACACCACCCCCTCCTGATTATTTTCTAGGATTATTTCATTCACGCTCTTTCCCTCATCAAGTTTACCAAGTTTTCTTTGTTTTTTTTATAATGAAAGGAGGCAATTAATTACCTTAAATTCTAAAATATTCCAGCACATCGGTACGACATACTAACGATATCAAGTGTTATTCAAAAATTTACAACGCCCGAAGATTCTTTTAACCATATCAATCCACCAGGACTATCCATTGCTAAAGTCACAAATGAATCTGCTGCAAAATTTAGCTCTCTGTATATATGTTTCAACTCAACCGGCCACACTCTTCTTACTTATTAAGGTAAGCATACATGATTTTTTTTTCCCTTTAAAGCGTAAAGGCATAAGCTAGAGAAACTATATAAATTTCAACAAGAAACTATTTTAGAATTGCTAGATGTGTAGTCAGTATTTTGTTAATTTGGAGAGATATAAATTAATAATAGTAAATCGATCATCGTGATGATTTCGAACTCAGTTTGTAATGTCGATACATTCTAGACATCAATTTTCTGAACTGGAACACAAAGAAAAGGGTATAATTTTGTAGCAATTTATGAACATTATAGTCAGAAGTAAGTTTCTTTCGTGTATATCACTGCAACTTTTAATACAAATATAAATTGTAACGGGAGACAGTCGATATTTAAAATAAAAATGATGGATTCATAGACACAGAGGCATCACAGTTTCCTTGCATATTCGGTATGTCCATACAAACAATATTTTTTTCAATATTTCAAAAAGATAATCTTACTTACTGTATAAAAATGTGACAAGTATTTTGGGATGAGACATGAGTAGTGTCATTTAGATGATCAAAGTTTTCATCAATCGCTTGAAGATGAGAGTGGGGGAAGGATAAAAGTAGAGGAAATGGGGATCGGGTTGGGCGGAGGGAAAACCGGATAGAGTGGAGGGAGGCGCGCAGGTGTAAGGAATGGGCCAGCAAGGGGTGGGTGGGCCGGAGGGAGTCAAAAAAACAAACGGGAAAAGCACATGTGATCACATGCATTTTGTTCAACCCCCCAAGTGCACTCCTCTCCTTAATCCCACATATATGATCAAACATGTAACCACAAATCACTTCCCCCGTATGGATCCCACTCTCCAATCTCCCTCACGGCCTCACTCTTTTCCATTTAAATGGTGTCAATTTTGTACCACCTCGACAAATCTATAGTACTAAAATCGATACTTGAGGGTGATTATAATTTCGTCGACTGAGAAGTTCAACCAACAATACAGGTTAAGAAACATTTATGCGGTGGTAATCACTTTTTTGCTTTCTCCCATAATAATATATGGTTAATTATTCATTTATTTTCAAAATAAAAAATATTATCTCTGTTCAGAAAAAAAAAAACAAAAACTTATATGGTAGCTAGTACTACAATTAGCATCCAAATTGCAACATTACCTTCCTCTATTGAGCCCCACAAACAGCCAGCATTTTAATGAGGGAGGAAGGAGTAGTTATGACTCATGAGAGTGGTGATCACTTCACTTGGGGGGTGTGGTATGTGTGGTAGACTGATAGGCGGTGGTGTTTCCAACAAGGGAACAGCCATCGGCGAAAATGAGGTTATCGGGATTCATGTTGCGTTGCTCGAGTCATACTACTCCTACATAGTGTGTACGTACGTGCGGGGCGGGAGGGGCGGAGAGATTAGTGAGATTGGAGTGGAAAATGAATAGCGGAGGCCGGAGGTTGAAATTGAATAAATAATGTAGGGCATTCAGGAGTCCATCTGATCAGAGCTTTACCAAATCCCGTGTTTTCCTCTCACACACTACAAATTTCCCATTCATTATTCTTGACATATATTATAATTGGTGAATGTAAGATTAAGTTTAGTAGTACTCTTTAAATATAATTATCAAGTTTTTTTTTTCCTTTCTCGAACGTTTATGTCTCTTTCTTTTTTTTTTTTCCCATTATTCTACTCTTAAATGATTACTACATGATTAATTATGTCTTTTTATTTTCTTTTTCTACTCTTAGATGATTATGCCATGATTAATTATGTCTCTTTATTTTCTTTTTGATCCCCACTACTCTTAGATGATTATTTCATAATTAATTTTTATTAACAATATAATGAATCTTTGATGTTGCTTTTAGTAATTTCTTCTTTTATTATTGTTATTATTATTAAGACTACAAAAAAATCATTTCTCATTACTAGGTGAAATTGATCAGTTAAAATACGGTTTCGGTGATCTTAAGTTTCTAGCCACTCGAAATTTTGTCTTTTCTTCTTTTCATCTCTTTTTTGAATTTAAAAGGTTCATTAATGATATTTTAAATTATTCAATAAATAAAAAGAATATTGAAAGTCATGCATCACTTATATATAGTTCTAAATTGTGTAAATTTTACTATTTCTTTCTTTTTCTTTCTTTCTAGGCCTTTATTTTTTATTTCTCTATCTCAAGTTTATTAGAGGTAATCATCTTTCGTTGTTTATCTTCATATTTTTCTTCCACAATTTAGTTTTTGTTTTAGAGTTTATCTTCTTATTTGGTTGTTCTTCACTTTAAGATTATACATTTGATTTTATTTTATTCCTCACTTTGCATGGTCTTTGTTTCACAATCGGGATATTGTGTTTCACTCTGTTGAAATCTAAAAGTAACGCACTTTACCTATTTCATTTTATTCTTATAATGACCATATTACTATCGATAAGTTTGTTAAATCATTAATATTTAGTAAATAGTGTAAAAGACAATACTATAACTGATACTTTCTTAATTGTTAAATTTATTCTTTTATATAATTTATATTATATTATTATACGTACACGCGAAGCGCGTCTAATTCATCTAGTTTATTATAATTCCCAAATATTGTTACTACTATCAATTCTGTCGAAACCATATATCTTTGGTAGGAGTTGTATTAATCTTAAGCAAAATTTCTTGGTACATGGAAGTACAAATTTTCTCGGATCCATTCCCAATCTCCTGGCTGATGGTATTTCTCTCTTTTGTTTTCCCACTTTTTTGTTTTTTTTTTTGACGATTAAGCTTTCATATTCATTAAAAGCAAGACAAGCTATTCCTGGCCAAGTTCTTGCAACTGCCCATCTCATACAGTCTTGTTCCTGGCTAGCCAAATATGCCAAAAAACAAAGAAAAACTGTTGAATGAGCCCTTTATCTGAGGTTGTTGTGAGCCAGCCTTCAAACCATTCAGCCAAAGGAGGACCTTTAAACTTACATTGTTTCAATATATATCTTGCCTACCATACAAGGTCATAACACTATTACGATATTGTCTGTAATTTAAAATTATCTATTCACACGGAAGCAACTTCAAGACTTGGATTCCAGAATAGACTCAAACAACAATACACAAAAGAAGATCCGGACCAACAAAATACCGAACCAAAAATGACATAAAATTGGAGATTATATTGTTAAGGCTAGCGATCCCTAGATACTTTCCAAACAATTCTCGTCCTAATACTTTCGACAAAAATAGTTTAATGAAATTTTATGAAACGGCTAATAAGTCTTCATCAATTGAGATAACTAGACTCAACAGTAAGATTATTATAAGTCCAAGTCTATAAGTTCGCACAAACTAAGTTAACCCCTAAAAAATCAAGAACAAAGAGATCTTCTCTTGTTTTCATTTTATGAATTCATCAAAAGTCTTTATAATAGAGGTTGACTTTCTCTTAAATAGAAAGTATTAGGACCGGTCATAAACTACAAAAATGTGGGAAATAATTAAATATAAAAAAATATACAGAATATTTTATCATCGACTTCTATAGTCTGACGGAGTGGTCGACAACAAAAAATTTATTTAAAACATACAAAATGATAAAATGACTCCTGAACCCAACTCACATGTATTGCACATGAAAAATAGCTCTTGGTTACGATTTTATGCCCATATTAATAATATCATTTCGGATGGATTTTCGAATTTGTAAAGGCACCTGCAGTGGGAATAAATTAGAATGATGATTTGCGGTGCAATACAATCATAATATAATGACATGTTTAGTGGTTCACTCTTATATAAATACAACTATGAAATATAAATATGCAGCAATCAATCGAGTTCGAAAATAAATTAAAGATTTCTTTAAAGATCATATAGTATATTTTTATGACTATATATGAAAAGTAGTAAATAGAAATATAATGAAATAGAAAAAAATAAATAAAGATTGAAAAGGGATTTTTTTATTTTTACATATTTTGGACTTATTTTTAAAATTTTTAAAAATCTTTGAGAATTTTTCTTTATAAAAATAACTAATGGAACCGTTGAATTAGACGGAAATTGAGCCAAATGGACGAAATTTGTAAAAATTTCAAATATTCAGAACAAGATTGGATAACTGAAAATTTATAAAGTATGATTGACGACGAGAGTAAAATTTTAGAAAGGCGGTCAATTTTCCCGATACAAGAAAATCCCTCATCTTATTATTTTAGTATTGTTAATTTGTAACCCGATCCATAGCAACTAAATTGTGTTGACCTGTATTTACATAAATGATTATTGTATGACTACATGGCAAAGTTATATTACTACACCCGCCATATAACTTTTGGTTCCGGAAGCATCAAAATGATATTATATGAACAAACAAAGACTATATGTTATACGAATAAAGAATACTATATAACATATCTATGGTGATTAATATAACCATTAAATATGCATGTATGAATTGACTTGATAACTTAAAGTGATAATTGATACGTTCCTAAGTATTATAATTCATTTAACGCAAAACTTGATGCGTTAGGATTCATTTACATTTTTTTTTCTTGGTTAAACAATTTTCACTTTTCAGTTGTATTATATTCTCTGATGATTGAAAGACGAATCGTTTCCCTAACCATCAGGGAAACTATTCCGTCATAGCTTCTTGCATAGCAACCAACAAAACCGGGGGAACGATTCCTCATTAGGATTCCTGGCTCCTGCTGATGATAGCTTCATTTCCCGATTTACTGCTCCAACGGGGAAAAAAAAATGCAAATCCCGTACATGAAATTGAGGGAGCTTTCTGGCTTCTTTTTTCTTTGCTAGGCGGGATCAGGAAATGTTGTAGTTGCGCGCTGGACCAAGCTTCTAGCAGTACCTCGCTCATTCACAAGTTCATTTTTGCCGAGGAAGCGTGCTTTTAAAAAAGGCGTTTAGTTTTTCGAGTCACTAACTTTAGTTCCTTCAGTCACAAATTTCTAATTTAGATCATTTTATCCTTGTCATTTTTTCAAATCAAATAACTTGGCTAGAGAGGAAACTAAAAAGAAATTGAAAACAAAATAAATAAATAAAAAACCAACCGACCGTGCAATGAAATTGTCCCGAGTTAACCGGGGACGGGTGGACTGCCAACCCACTTGTTTGCCCGAATGGGTTCATTGCCGTCCCGAGTTCCGCTCGTTCCGAGTTAACTCGGGATGGTTTCATTGCACGATCGGTCGACCGAAACCGTCCCGAGTTAACCCGTTCGGGCGAACAAGTGGGCGGGCGGTCCACCCGTCCCCGATTAACTCTTGACGGTTTCATTGCACGGTCGGTTTCAGTTCGATTCAATACGATGAACAGGTCCGGTCAGGCCTTTTTTTAAATTTTTAGATTTTTTGTAATTAAAAATAGCAATATTTGTTATTTAAAAAAGTCTAAAAATTAAAAAAATATCAATCAGATTCATTACTATTTTTTTAATTTTTAGATTTTTTTGTTTCTTTTTGTAATTAGTTAATCTAGTTTTAGGTCATTAAAATATTTATTCATTAAATTTATGAATAATTTATTATTTGAGTTATATTAAGTATCACCAATCTTTGTAGTACAAAAAATAGTTAATCTGTTTGCACATATTTGTCACAATCTTTGTAGTATAATTATTATTTTTTATTATAAATGTATAATTATTATTTTTAACTAAAAATTATCTTAAAAAGTAATTATTGAAGCAAAATTTTATATTTTAATATCAGTTCAAATAAATTAACTTAACGAATAATCTTAAATTTGTTTTCAAGTAAAAACTAATTACTTGTTTATTTTCAAGTAAATATAAAATTGAGAGTTTAAACACTAAAGTATAAATGTTGTTAATTATATTTAAAGTACGAGGTATTCAACATGCAACGATACTGTGAATAAACTAACATTAAAGTAAAAATTAATAATTCGTCTGTTCTCATGTGAATCGGACCAGATGACTTGTCCGATTCGGTCCGAGTGGCTTATTCTCTCTCTCCCCCCAATCTCCTCTCTCTCTCCTTCAATTTAGTTTGATCAAATGGCAGGGACAAAATGGTCAAAATTGAAAACTTGTGGTTGAAAGAACTAAAAGTTGTGGCTGGACAAAGTAGAGAATTGTAGATGGTCTCTGCATCTTCTTCCCCTCTTCGATGACGCACTGCTTTTATTTTGATCCAATACAGAATCTTGGTAGCACCAGAATATTCTTTTTTTATCTTTTTTTTAATCTATTTTATACTCCCTCCGGTCCTTAATATAAGGTATTTTGATTTGGTTTCACCTATTACGTATTTTTAATTGACCAAAACATTGGTTTATATCCTAAAGCCAATCAAATTCTAAGGTTATTGTTTATATTTATTACCAATTTGTTTGAAAACCTATAAGGTCACACATAAATGATTTAATTATTGGGATGATTAATTTATAAGATAAGTTAAACTTTAGGAACTTATTAATAAATATGATTTAATAATAAGTCCAGATACAAGTCTTGCTCAATAAGTCACATAATTTTTCCTTTGTTCTTTGAGAGTGCAAGAGTCTCATAGAATGAAACTTTAGAAAAATGCAGTTGTTTGTCAAACCAAAGTATCACAGCCATCACAGTATCTGAACCCAAATCATCAATGACAACATGCTCAGATGATAATAATACATTTGCCAAGGAAGAATTTCAGTTGACATTATTTTGTTGTAAAATATCAAAGGGGTTTCAAGATCATCTTTTTCCAGGATAGCTAATAAACTCAAATATTGACAGAAAGCAAATTCATAATATTTGCAAAGAAAGAGCTCAAATTTGCAACTTGAATGCTGACTGAATCAGGGATTTTCCTCTGAAGCAAAAAAGATATCAACGTTTTCACAATCTTGAATTTTCCTGTGAAGCAAAAAGGATCCCTTCATTTTTCAAAATATCCAAATTCTCATCGGAGAGATTATTAGGCAGCAGAACATATTAGCACCACAACAAATAACAACCGAATTCTGACCCATATTGCAACATCACCACATAAGGCAGATGAAATTAAGTAGCATATAAAATTTGGAAGAGCAAAGAGAAGCCTTCCATTTTATACCTGGATTATGGTTGAGACGATTCTTCTGGTTTTGGGGAACGGTTGAAATCCCATCTTTTACCATCATAAGCCAAGAAGAATTTCCAGACTACTTTTGACTCTTCCAGACTGCTTTTGACTCAGTAAAATTAATAAAGGCATAACCTTTGTTCAAATTTGTTTTGAGAATTGAAGAGGAAATAATAATAATAAAAATTAATCACAGGCAAAAGTATCATAAAGTAATTCATCGACAGAAGGCTCAAGTTGAAAATTTTACCTTGCGTTTGTAGCCTGCATTATGTTGCTTTCTAATAGAAGGCTGAGAACTAACAAAATAAATCAATAAGTAACGTAAGTCAGTGAAAAATATGATGCCCAAATAAAGAGAAACGGTTGCTAAAATGGCTTAATATATATTTCCATAGAAAAGCACATGATTTATGATTTCTGATGTTTGAGTTTAAATTTAAATCAGCCCCCAACAACTTAACAGGATATGTTGCAAAACAAAGGAAATCAATTTAATAGCTCACTACAAAGTTCTAAAACAAACTACTGATAAATTAAATTATAATGAACAACAAGAAATCCAAATGAAACACTCACAACTAAAACAATGAAACTCATCAGATCCAATAGGGTAATCTTCAAGACATCATCATCCTTACATGCATCAGCATCATCAGTCGGTCGACTGCTCTTCAGAGGGATTCACCTAACTTGGAATCGGCGATTTCGATATATGTCGTTGATGTAACGTGCACCGGACAAGCCAAACAAATCAGTCACTTTAAGCAAACCATGAGCATACATCTACACGAATATTCTATATCAGAGTTACCGTTTTAATAATATGTAATTCTCACCTCCAATATAACGGGTTGGGCAACCAAGCAAAATCGACCCAAAATCCTTGCGAACATCACCCGAGACTGAAGAAGATGATAAAGTTGAGAGCCGATAATAATGATATCGACTGGCGGCGAGGAAAAAAATTAAACTTCGACTCCAAAGATCCGATGACCGATAGAGATACTGGTGATGCAGAGGCAGCGGCACACAAAGGTGTTGGCCGATAATAGAAGCAGAAAGAGGCATCGGCGCACAGAACTGTTTAGGAATGGATCTAGGTTTAATAGTTTTTGAGCATTGAGGTACACGTTTTATCGAGGCTTTTTTTAAAAAAAAATTTCCGCCTTCTTTGTAGGAAGATTGGAGCAATGGTTGATTTTTCGGACGCGTTGACCTCCTTCAGTTAAAGATTTAACATATCTGGGATGAGATTCGTAGATTGATCTTGAAGATTGATAATAGTAGTTTTTCATTTGATCTCAAATATAACGGTTTAAAGAATGTAAATTCCTTAAATTAGGGAGTGTTTTAACGTGAACATTTATATTTGCACAATTTGGAGTATTGGTTTTTTTTTTTCCGGAGGAACAGAGGACACGTGGCGTTCTACTTTTACAAAAGACGTATATTTTTCGTTTTGGGGGGAAAATAAGCTTTATAAAACTGACACGTGTCCTAAGTGTCATTTGCTTTCATGAAATGTGAAGGGATTTAACTTAGATAGTTAAATAGAGCAAGTAAATTGAAGAGCATTGGTATTATATTGGGTATTTTGAAATGAAATTATTTTTTAAATGTAGTACGTGATGTAGAAACAGGATTAGCAATTAAATTGGCGGATGTGAGAAGAATTTTGCACATGAAAATGTGAAACCATGCTGTAAATTGCATGTATTTATATGTCGGACATAGTTTAATATTAGGGTTTAAATTTTTTGTACAAGTATTGAAAATGTCTTTCACCACTCTATTTGGTCTGAATGTTTACTGAAGCAGTGGAATCGAAATTGTGAATGCAGTTGTCTCTACGAACAACAGAACTACTCAACATCCATATTACTTGCAAGTACTAATCCTCCTTCAAAAATTGAATACGTCTGTACATATAAATGTGTATCAGTCCTCTATTGTCCAATTCATCCACATATATATATGCCCCCAACATCCTCCTAATGTGCCATAACAAGTCATAACTCCCGAACCTGCAAATAAAGATCACTCTCGTATTGAAGATCTAATGGATATGTCTACTTCGATTGAACATTCTTGATTCTTGAACATGAAGGAACTATAAATTGTCAGACCGGGGTATATAAACAAAAGTAGATTAACTAAAGTTTACTATCAACAATGACAATAAGTAATGTACGAAGTAGCACGAGTGACGAGTTACAATAAGTAGATAAACTAAAATTTACTAGCCAACAAAATCACAATCGACAAGACCGGGTATAAACAAACAATTCACTATTACCAGACCCCCAATTGACGGACTAAACTTGCAAAACAAAGTTGTGAAAATTTAATACCTGTTGAATTAGAAACAACAAAACGATTGAATATTTCCCCATTCATCTCATGGTTTGAAGTTTGGGAAAGTGGAATGAGAATGTTTCTAGGGTTTGAGAGAAGTACAAGCTCATAAATACAATATAAATATAAGGCTAATACCCTAAGCCACAAATATAGAGGCCAATATTACAAGTGCGATACTCACAGATCTAAGGTTCTAGTAGTGTATAACCAATTCACACCCGGCTGGTAAATTTTCTTCAAGCAGGTGGGCTCGGTACTTTGTAACAGCAACGCGTTGAGGATCCGTTTCTGTAGTTAACTTCTCAAGAGATTTGGCAATTTGAAACAAGTCCAACGCAAACTCAATATAGTTCATGTTACCGCAGAAATTAATGAATTTCAACCATTTCAAACATTTATGATGATAACTCGCCAGCTCCTCCTGTGCACTTCTTCTTTGACGCACAAGATCTCCATAGGTTTTCTGTCACACACAAAAAATCTTGTGTCATTGAAGAAATTAGAAACTCTTGAAATGGAAAACAATCTTGAATTGCTTTGATTCTTAGGTACAAACTTGCTGAGCGGTTCCATTACCTCTACAAAACGGCAGTTTGGATACGCACAAAATGACTAAAACAAAATATATACAATAGTAATATTAGCTATAAAATGACTAAAACAAAAGTGAAAGGAAAAATATATACACACAAGTTTGAAATTCACAAAGATCAAACAAGTTTAAAGATGAAGACGGTACATACAAAACATACAGATGAGAGTAGCGCATCCAATTGTGCACACACACCCCCAAAAAAAAAGAAGTTACAGTCAAACCCCAATAAATGTAACATCCTACGTAGCACAGCCAAGGTACGTATCAAAGTAAAAACTCTTTCTATGCTACTTTATGTGAAAGGTTTGAGTGCAGAGATAGAAGCCTACGCTAATGCTTAGCCATCATGCGCCCATTGATCTCTAAACCTAGCAAAGGCTGGATATTCTATAACAATGTTTCAAAAGTAGGGCTAGAAACCGGCAAAGTTAATGGGGTAGCTGGTCTAATCCACCGCAACAGGCAAAAAAACCGAATGACATCATAATATGATGTAATACATGTATGAATAACACAAAGATTATTATTACAACAAATACAGAAACTATTTTAGTTCAAAATGCAGTTAAATTGACGATTATGGCATAGATTTTTAAAATTAAAGGTGCAAAAGAACATAAGAACACAAAAACTCAAATGAATCTATGTCACTATTCCATGAAAGAGAAATTTAACACTCATTACCGGCAAATTTCATGGGTGAGAAGTTTCACAACTTCAAACTAAAATGAGAGACATTAAGTTGTTGAAGTAAAACTCAAGAAACTTAAAAGTGTAAGTTTTAGGGGCAATCAACAATTTTAAGAGAGTTTTCAGGTTGTTTTAAAAGACATAAGTTGAAACAAAGCTCACAGACCCAGCAACAAGTTAGACCTGCCAGTCCAGTCTGGTTTTGAGAACACTTTATACATACCAGCCTGCCCTTTAAAACTAAAGCTCATTCGCATCCAGGAAGACCAAATATTTAAAGAATCCGACAAATCCACCGTATCAACTTAACACAGACGATAGATCTAATTACAACAAGCTGCCTTTTGTCAGAAGATTTTACTCTCTATGGCTATCCAAGAGAAAATATATTAAAACAGTCCCAAAAAACCCCTTTGTATTAATTTATTCTATGAAAAGAACTTCAATGCTACTTGTGGCAGATGACTTCACCAAATGGAAGGAGATATACTACGTAGACAAGCTGCGCACTTGACGTTTCCCTTATTGAAACTTTTAAAACTTCTTAATTGAGCGGACTATAAAGAATCTCTCATAAGAGGGACCAAGAACATGACACCTAAAGAAGGGAAAAGTGGGCATGCAAAGGAACAAATCAACAGATCACATGTTTGAGATGAGTAGAGCACTGAATGAGTAATTACCTGAATGGTAAAGGTCGACAACAAAGGACATGCCATAGCCAAGAATACAAGGAAGACGAGACGTGCATCACTTATTACTCCAACAACCAGTTCAAGATGTTTAAGACATCTAAAAAGGAGTGATCTGGTGATAACTGGAACAGCCTGACATTATCCCAAGGACCTAAAAAAATTACAACAAAATAAATGGTTAGAAATAAAATGTTATGAACAAAAGAAACCTTCAAATGTCAAGACGTGATCCTAACCAGACTAGGAACATCCAAGACCAGCTTCTCCAATTGATTTTGAAATACTCCAGGCACATCAAACGCCAGCTTCTTCAATAGCATATAAAATACTCCATCCTGGCCTTTTATAGGCACAAGAGATATCATGAATTGCAGGCTGCTCGTCGAAACCTGATTTAGAAGAGGGACATTCTCAAAGAAAAATTCCAGACATCGAGGACCATTGAATCTTGTTCCCATGTACACAAAATACACAAGATTCTTCGCGGAAATCCGCAGAGTTTTAAAATTAAAGCAATGGCATAAAGTTAAAGACTTCAGCGAATGGCTAACAATATTCAGATTGCTAGAGTATGTTCCACCTCCTAAAGACAGATGTTCAAGATGTGGAGAGTTGGACAGAATGCAATCCATCATCTCATCATCAATGTCCAAGTTCACCAATCTGAAGGATGTCAAAGAACGAATGTAGCTTCTAGATTCCATTGCCCATGAAATAGGCAAAGGGTTATCTGAATCTGAGACTTCCCCAAGACAAGATTCCAATTCAAAGTTGCGCACTTTCTTTTGCATTGCGAAACTAATCCAATCACGAATAGCACAGGAACTGATACCAGCGAGAGAATGGAAGCGAATTATTAATTTAGGCACTATGGGACCCTGATGAAATGACATGACCTGATTCAACAAGTTCACAAATTTAATGTCCTCTGTTTGAGAGCCTTTTGCATCACTCCCACTTGGATGTTCAACAACAAAATCACAAGACGAAAACCGCCACAATAGTCCGCACGGCTTCCTCAAGGGTCAAAAAGGAGATGATCCTAGTAATGATATCCTCGGGGGAGAATCTCTACCACGCAAGTCCCATGATTCTTTCTCTTCAGATGCAATAGAATAGTGAAACAGAGCAGGAAAGTCGGGGGTGGGTGGGGAAGATATTTTGAGAAATAATAATAACAATCCAAGCAATTTAGACAATGACATTCAAACATCCCTTTCGTCCCACAATCCCACAGAAAGCTAAAATTTTGACGAAATATACAGAAGGAAATCAACTACAACAATAAAGGAAAATCATTCCAAACAGTTCTAAAAAGGAAAATCAGAGCTGAAAATAATTCTGAAAACAACTACAACAATAAAGATCAGTTTTTTTTTATCGACAAGGCCAAATAATAATTGACAATCGCAGTTCAATTCATTCCAAACAAACTGTGATAGTGTTCTTCTAAACTTAAAATCACTTAAAAAACTAAAATTAACCCATGGCATGCTACATCCGACATTACAAAGCCCAGATAGATGATTACCTTTCTTTTCCTGGGGATGACAGAGATTCGCTGCTCTAGAATCTCGATCCGCGAAGTTGCATGGCGCGTTCGGGCTTCCCCGACCCCGGGACTGTGTGCAGAGTTGCCGACTTCTTCAACGAAAGTACTCCCTCCGTCCCATAATTATTGTCCAATTTAGATTTTCATTTATAGTTCAAATTGTACTAAGGGAATACTAGTTTAATTTTAAGAGATGTATATATATTGTTGTTTTCCTTTTTCTTCTTTTTTTTTTATTTTTCGGAAAAAAAAATCCATAGTACTACTTAATTAAAGCAGCAAACAAAAAGGACATGTGTCAGCACCATAATGAAAATTTTTCCGCTAAAAGTCATTTTCAGTACAAAATTATTTTTGACACGTGACACTCTAACTAATCAAAAAAAAAAAGATAAAATAAATAAATACATAAATCCTTTAATTATAGCTACATAAAAATATTTTAATGATAGGTGCATACTAATCCTTTAAAATAACAATATTTAGTTGATAAAATCAAATACTAGGAAATCCACTTAAATCAAGTGAAATACCATTAATGTCTTCCCAACCCCCAATTTCAAAGAATCTCTTCCATTCCGCTCCTCTCTCACACCCGGACCTTTAAATCAATTACTTCAAATCTGACATCAATTATCAATCCATCTCTTTTTACAACAGAAAAAAAAATGAGCTGTCATGAAAGAAATTTGATTTTTTAAGGATGATTTTTTTTATTCTTCTGTTGTAGATATTGGTTTATGATTTATGTAAATTCGGGCATAAGTTAACTGTTATAAATTAAATGTTGTAAATTTGGGCATAGATTTATGTGTAATAGCTCACTTTCTGTCCTTTAAATTGATTTTTTATTCTTTTATTTTTTTTCATTCTTTTAAGAATAATTCGTATTTTTTATTTAATCAATTTAAAAATACAGGCGACACCCCGCACATTCGCCCAAGGCTAGATCTAGTAATAAGTTTGAAAAACAAACCTCCTCTCCCCAATTTCATTACAGACTCGCTCCCTCCTCCAACAATTACGGTGTTCCTAGCTTATATATAGCTATATAGGAACACGCCTCAGCGCGCTGAATGGTTCATTTTTGTTTTAAAAATCTATAGGAAGTATTACATCCCTTATTTTCTTAACGTTTTTCTCCATTTGTTTCAAATTGTAGCAGCATTCTTCTTAATTAAAAAAACGTGTCTACCAAGAACATTTTATCTTAATCACTATCAATAATGCAGTATGTCAAATGTACACTTCCAAAAAAAATTGTATGCTGGCTTGCTGGTTCTTACCGTACATTTGTGCATAAAATCAAGAATTCATTGACTGCCCACAGAAGAAGAGCTTGCAGAAGTTGGGACTGCCAAACCCAAAATTGTCTTTTTAGGATTTATGGCACAAATTGTAAGGCGTTCAGTAAAAACACATTGATAAGAGAGAGGGCAATGCGAGAAAAGCAGAGGAAGTTGGATCTTTGCAGAGGGGGTAAAATACAAGACTCTTCTATATTTACACACCAGGCCAACCATTGCCAAAATACCTTGGCCTTCCGATCCACCTCTGAAACAAAAAATTCCAACCTCCCCCAACTTTGTAGCATCTTGCTAATACATCCTGGCCATACCATACTGAACTGCTCCTACTTTCCTATTTGTTGCAGCAGCACTAGTTGCTGCAGCAACGCCTACACCACTGTATGGAGCTTTCGCCTGCAATAGGTTTGTGTCGATTGTTATCCTGTCATTGCCATGGTCCACCTTTGTCCCTGTAGCTCGCGTCATGTAAAATGGGTTGCCATCAATGTTAATGGCAATGTCCGGCGACACCTTTGCTGCCATGCCATATTGAGGCATTTGCCGTGTTTGTGTAGACAGGTTCCTCTCGTTTTGCAGGGATGACATGTCCTGCTTCATGGACCCATTACTGCCATGGTAACAGTACGCTGCAGTAGTTACCTGTGGTGGCTGTTGAAGGATCGGGTTTCTGATGAATGTTCTAGGATCGTATGCTTCTTTAGTGAAATTTCCATACTCAGATGCTAAAACAGGCCCAACTACTTTTCCTGGTTTTGCTGCACATTTCACTTCACTAATCAGCTTATTCAACACATGGATTTCGGTTGATAGTGCAAACAAAATGCGTTTTCCCTTTTTGAGAGGAGTTGGAGTAACCGAGGGAATAATGTTTTAAGCAAGCAGCACATGCAAATCCTTGAAATTTACTATCAAATCACCTTAAGTGAGTCATAAAGCCAAAATCCCACAGAAAATGATGAGATAGATCATTACCTTGAGAGACCCTTTGCTGTGCAGGCAGGGCTCTTGATAAACTGCCAGAAAGCAAGTCAGGTTCTCTGGTACTTCTGGAGCACACCTCTTCCCCGTTCTGCTGCCTATCTTTTGAAATAGTACCTCTTGCCTGCTCTTTAGGTGGTACCGGATTTGAATGTACAACTGTGGACCTAAAGAATATAATAAAGCCAAAAAACTTCGTAAACGTCTTGTGGGCGTTCAAGTCATACAAAAATCTTACAGGACAATAAGATCAGCACTAAATCAACAGCAAACTAGAGGGATCAAGGCACATAAACAGCTTCAAGCAGACAAGAATGCAAACCCCAATTTCATTGCACAATTACAGCCTTTTTGTGGGGAACTGTAAACTGTTGAGCACTTTTTGAAGTAAAAAAATATTTAAAAAAGATCCCTTGTAGGGAAGAAGCATTCTTTTCTCTACAATGTTCCCTTGTAGGGAAGTTTAAAATAAAAAATCCTTTGTAGGGAAGTAGAATTCTTTTCTCTCCAATGTAAAGCAATCTTAATATTCAATAGCATGAATGTGGAAGAGCATAGAGTTGCATTTGTAACTATAGGTTCATCGAGCAGTCTCCACCTCAATCCTGTCCCATATAGATCATGTCATTCCATATTAAACAATTGCTGGATACTCAGACACATACAACAAGAAGAACAACAACACTAATAATAATGCGACATCAACAACAGGTCTTTCTATCCACTTTGAGGTGTTGACACATTATTAGTGGAAAAAATTAAGGCAAAAAGTTACTTGAAAGCATACTGTTAGAAATAGAAATACTTTTGTCCTTCAAAAACTTGCATAGGTCATCCTAAGGTTAATCAAACTAAGGAAAAACCTCAATCTAATCTCACCAACACAAGTGTCAGAGAAGGAGCACCATAATAAAAATACATCAATTCTGTCAAAGAGCAAAAGACATACACAACTTCAAAAAATACAATCAGACTACAGACAACTTGTAATAAGCTAAGAAATGAGCCCATAGAAAGTAAGAACTAGAAAAACCGGATAAAAAATCTTGAGTTACCTAGGAAGAGAAACATGCTTTCTCTCGAACGGGTTCACTGTACTCTGTTTACCACCATTTTCTTCAAGATGTGCAAACTGCTTTCTAAATTGATCGACAGCACTGCAACAAGCAAACACACAAAAATAAGAGAAAACATATGGAAAAAGTTTGCAAACAAGGGAACGAACTTTAACTTATGCAACCTAGGGTAGAGAAAGTTGGTCCTTTCTACACCGTTCATGTAATCTTTCAACAGCTGAGGATGATACTCTAGTATTTCTCTGAATATTAACTCACGAACGTCCTCCTTTGTAACTCTTCGTCTCTCAAACTCAAACTCCATCTTTGATATAGGCTGACAAGAAGGTTCTCTTTCAACTTTGGCCAGTCCCTTAAAATAAGGATCAGACAGAGCCTGTCACAAAATCATCATCATTAGGATATGTATGTTGTTTAATCCAACATCAAACATGCAGTAGTCCAACAAAAAGCTATTTAAAAAACAGATAAAACAATCACTACTTCCCAAAGAGCAAATAAACTATCACAGGAAGTTTTCGAACTATACAAAGAAATCGATCAGATCAACCAAGCAAGAAACACCAAGACATTCAAAGTGCAGGCATTGCTAAACATGCATTTTCCATTGGAGTACAGGGGAGACAAAAGGCAAAGTATATAATGCCATGACACACCTCTTCAGCAGTAGGCCTGTCCTTGGGATCAAAAGCCAGCAGTCTTTCCAGTAATCGTAAAGCTAAGGGATCAGCATTCGGAAACTTCTGCGCAAATGGCACAGGCTGTTTCTTCCTCATGCTTGTAAGGTATCTTCTAGCTTTTTCATTTCGAACCTGCATAAAGTCCAAAGGGCTCTAGACTTTCAAACTATTCTGATATACAGTATTCTGAAATCAGACTTTGTGACAAGGAATGTTTCCAAAAAGAGAAAAATAACAGAAATCTTACTCGAGATATAGTGTCCAAAGATGGAGTGCCAAGCAGGTCTGTCATCAAATCAAGCTGATGAACAACATTCTTCCCAGGGAACAGTGGTTTCCCTGTCAGAACCTCTGCAAAAATGCAGCCTATACTCCATATATCGATTGCAGGGGTATACTACATCCAAATAAAACAAAGAAAGGGGAAATGTGTATCAGCTTCATTTCTAGTATATTTCACAATTTACTGCAACTTGTCGCACACATCATAAAACGCCAGAATACGTAAATATAGCATGAAAGGTTTTTTGCCCGTAATTTTTCATACTACGGACCACAAAAGAATAAAGGGCTAGTTTATTGAAATCTAAATCCTCCACTAACTCTAGAATACTATCAAAGCATGTTTCCAATTTCCGTTCAGAAAGATGTTATGAAACTGAAATTACTTATAAAAGCATAATAAGGCCATTCTCTCCAGTAAAACCAATTATCTACCCCCCCCCCCCCCAAAAAAACCCCAATTACGGAGTGTCAAAAGAGCTGCCAAAGGTTCAGTAGAAAGAAAGAAATATAATACTCTTGCAAAAGAAACATAACAATTATATTCTTAGGCTGATACATAGTAATAAAAAAAACAATAGTATGCACATGAGTAGGTATCTAAAGTTTAAGGCTTGCTGACCCGCCCAACTTAGAGAAATCCCTGTCGTTCAGGTGCTTTTGAGAGAAATTGCTAGTAAAAAGATATAAACTGACATACCTTGGAGAAAAATGACCCGCATAGTTCTGGAGCTCTGTACCACCTTGTGGCAACATAATCCTACAACATAAAAACAAGAATTTAAAACAATATATCTACATAACAATGAAAATAAATAGTAGTGACCAGAAAGAACATTTGAGAACAAGACACCGTAGTTTTGATTTATGCATACCGTCCAAAACACTGTCGTAGGTGTGTCACTAAAAGCAACCCTAGCTAACCCAAAATCACAGATTTTGAGTTTGCAATTTGCATTAGCCAGTATGTTTTTGGGTTTTAAATCTCGATGATAAACATTAGCTGCAGTGTAAAAATGAAAGTATCAGAAGCTTAGACTAAAAGACCAAAATCAGTTGTACCCTTCACATTAGGTGAATGGAAACAAGCAGAAAATGACAGCATACCAAAGGTAGCACATGTTATACAATAGCGTATTTATAGCTCAAGAAATCAGAAAGCACTAATTACAAACAGCATATTCCACAAATGAGCTACCAAAACAAGTCACAAAATGGCAATTAGACAGTATGTTTTTCAGTTTTTAGATCCCAAAGAGATACATTAGCTGCACCAAAAAAATGCCAACAGACCAAAAATAACACATGCCACGTGGTAGCAACTTTATACCTCAAGAAGCAGCAAGCAACTATAACAAACAGTGTAATCTGCAAACAACCTAACACAACGAAGTTACCGAACAAGTCACAGAATGAAATTTTTACCAACATTGAAATAAATTTCTGCTCAACTACCAAAAATTTCCATCTAGCTCAAGCAAAGACAACGAGATGAAATCATCTACAGAAGAGGATAGACATAAATACCTGTATGAATATACTTCAGCGCACGAAGTAACTGATAAAGAAAAAACTGATAATGTTCCCGAGTCAGATCATCGTTAGCTTTGATCACCTGGTGGAGGTCAGACTCCATGAGCTCAAATACAACATAAATATCTTTAAACTCTCTTCTCGAAGGAGGGAGCATAATGTGTTTAATTTCAACGATGTCCGGATGACGAAGAAGCCTAAGAAGCTTAATCTCACGGAGAATTCTGGCAGCATCGGATAAGTGTTCAAAGATGTCATGAATTTTTTTAATCGCCACCTTTTCACCAGTATGAGTGTCGATTGCAGAGCAAACAACACCATAGCTTCCCTTTCCAATAACCTCCTGAATTTTATACCTGCTTGCATCACCATACTCAGAGAAAAAATCCATCTCTGTCGAGCTCTGTGAGTCATAGAAACAAAAAGTGCGATAATTAAGAAGCAAACATAATAGCAAGGGTAATATTCCACGCATATGACCATGTGATGCAAAAAAAAATTAAATTTTCGTCATCAAATTAGATCTGATTTTATCCAACCATTAGCAATTTTAAATTCGCAATTCTCCAGGAAATCATTGAAAAATAATTTGGCAATTTTGTTCTGCCTAATGTCCTATTTATTCAACCACTTGGAGAAATTCCTGATATCTATAGCAAACAAACTAGACAAGGCTCACATAACAACAACAACAACAACAACAAAAACAACAACAAAAACAATACTGATACTCAGAGAAAACAGACAGAAAACAGAAAAGGTCCATGCCTTACTTAAGAAATAACAGGATCATCACTCAGGGATTAAAAATACCTTCAAAGTTCAATAGACAAAGAAACTTCACCTCAAAATACCAAAACAATTCCAGTTCCCAACCAAACCAAATTTGAGCTTGCAAGAAGTTTAATTATGAACTAATTTTTGACAAAATCGAATGGAAAACGAGCCTGGTGAAAAAAGTTAGATTTGATTAATTCCATGAATAAGAGTGCAATATAACGGATCTCAGCAAAAAATGATCTTTTCCACAACTCAGAGCATCGAAAACAATCAGAAGACAAAACCGAATAAACCAAGTTAATAAAAATAAAGAAATGTGTAGAACACCCAACTTTACATCACAGAATCAGGTTCTGTTCCCAAAGAGAGAGAGAGAGAATGGAGCAATGATTCATCAAAAGATCTCCAGTAATAGATGGTTAAGATAAGAAAAGAAAGGAGAAGCATTTAATATTACGGCAACCATGCAACCATTCCCCACTCCTAAATGCCCCTCATCACGAAGTCTCCAAAAATCGATACACCAGTAAAATCACATGAATTCTACAGGAACACCCAACAAAAGAAAATTCAACAGTGACCCTTCAACTAAATCTTCAACGTTTTTCATTAATGGGAACACGAAATTCCAAATTCAATCAGATTCCACAGTATTCAAAACAGGGGAAGGCAGAACTCACTTTTTTCCTATGATCAGGCTGCTGCATTTTTCCAATCTCAATTCCCAAAACCCTCAAAGAAATAAAAAAATTTTGATAGTTCCGAATCAAAAACAACGGAAAACTGCCCAGAAATTCAGCCACATTTACCCCACCGGCCTCGGCTCCGAATCAAAAAGGGCAAATACCACCTCGTGCGCTTCGAGTTATTCCAAAAGAATTCAAAAACTTTATCCCATGCTTTCATACACTCGAAAAAACTATCCCTGTCTTCAGTAAACTCAATCAAAACCATAGAAAAACCTTCATACTAGTAATGATAATCCCATTCACCATTTTTCCCCACCAGTTTATCCAAGATAATCCAAAATTATCATACCCCAAAAAAAAGAAAAAATCCCTCTTCTTTCTCAGCGCATATATATGGATTTATATATGCATTCACGCAAAGAGATTGCGCGGAATTCAAGAAAACCCTAACAACAAAAAGGTAGGGGAGATGGAGATCTGTCGGTGAAGAAAGAGGAGGGGTTTTAGAGAGAGAATTTGGGGAGGTGGGAAAAAAATAAACCTCTATTTATAAAGAGAGAGAAAAGAGCGGTAGTTCATCATGTGTTTATTTATATGGTTATTATTAAAAAAAATAATAATAATAATAATAATTGCTCCTAATGATGAATATTTACGAAAAATATTATAAATAAAAAAATGTGCGTATTTTGGTAAAAAGGATAGTGCTTATCTGAATAAGGGTTTGGTGGGGTAAAGTTTTATCTACATGGAAAACAACCATATTCGGCGTTTTTTCGTTTTTATTTTCTTTTAAGTTTTTATTGTTTCTAAAAAAAAAAAAAAAAAGATTGGTATAGGATAATACTCCCCCAGGTCGTTATTACAATGCATTTTGATTTCGTCCTAAGTTTCACATGGTATGTTATTTAAATTAAAAAAAAATTTAAAAAATATATTTTCATATTGATTGTGTTCTTCTAATTATTATGAAATATTTTTAAAATTTTTATTTCAATTAAAAATACATCTTAGGTGAAACCTAAAACGCAATCAAAATGCCTTATAATAAGGACATGAGAGAATATTCGTTTGAAGTAAATGATTTTTTTTGGGTAATATAATAATTAAGTTGACCAGTGAAAATTTTCCGGCAGCTTAATTCGTCTCGGAAACAAATTGATTCGATATAAGGAAAATTTATAACTTTTAATTAACACAAAAGGTTTATTTTGGTAGGTACATGTAGATGCCATTATAAAAACTAAATTACTTACGATTTATGAAGATGGTTCTTGAAAAAATATTGAACCATCTAGCACCATGCAACATGTCATCAAAATGTAAAATTTTTTATGTCATTTTCTATCTGTATCATCTCAAAATTTCTAGCATGAACATGTAGTTGGGGGGTATTATACAATCTAGTAAGATATTGTATGTAAAGACATACATCGATAATGCAATATTTGTGTCTTTTAGCTTCAAGGCTAACATTAGAACTTGGATGTTGGCGAATTTAGTGAAGAATAATGCAAATTATAAGGAAATTAATTATACATTTTCTAAAAGTATATTGGTTAGCTGCTTATGAATGCAAATGTAAGCCACATTAGTCATATTCCAGAACACTTATTGAAATTTCCATCAAGTCAGATATTAATAGTATTGAAGGTGAACATCAATGATCTCCTAATTTACTTTGCGTCATAATTAGATGATTATGCTTGGAGATATGCACATTACTAGATGACAATGTCAAATTAAAATACAAGGAATATTCAAAAAAGTTTTCGTTACTAGCTAGTTGTATGAATATAAGTCAAATTGAAGCCGTGTAAACAGCTCCATTTGAAGATATGTGAGCTAATTTAGTCTACTCTTTTATGTCCTAAAATTTGGGTGTCGGTGTTCATTTTCGAAAAGCTACAAAACAATACTCCCTCTCATGTCATTATTATAAGGCATTTTGATTTTATCATAAGTTTCACCTAAGATATCTTTTAAATTGAAAAAAAAATTCTAAACATATATTTTTACATTCGGCGTGTTTTCCTCGTTATTAAGATATGTTTTTAAGATTTTTATTTCAAATAAAAAGATATCTTAGGTAAAATTTAGGACAAACCTAAGGCAAATCAAAATGACTTATGATAAAGACGAGAGGGAGTAATAAATAAATTTTTAAAAAGTGGGTATAGTAATGGCGTGATTGTTAATTTGTTTATTACAAAAACTGTTAATAAACTTTGAACCTTGATTAAAGTGCGATTGGATTTAAGGTCACTGTAAGGTATCAAATGGAAGTTGCGTACCAATATGGTTTTTGACATTTCACTTGTCCTATACAATGTATGTTTCATACCTACAAAAGCCACTTTAGTTTGCCTAATTATATTTTGAATCGATCCACTTTAGCATGCTAGTTTTTTTTTGTTTTTTTTTTTTTCCTTCGGTTCCGAAATGGTATTAAAAGAAAACCAAATCAAATTAAATTGTAGTATTAAAAGAAGGAATCCCACACATTGAAAAATCCTAGATTAGTTTTCAGTTATTCATTTGTTGACCTCTTGTAATAAAACTTCATAATTACACTCCGTCACTCCCCAAACTATCTAGACAGGGACTAACGAGTAAAATTATATGTGTAAGAAATTTGAACTCAATGAATAATACTAACTCTTACTTGCTTAAGCATGTGACTATCACGATTTTAGAGCATCTTTTACACTTAAGTGCGGGTTAAGATTTACCTAGTGATCATTTTAAAATCAGAAGGTTGGAAATTGTATACATGTTACCCAATATTTCAAGAAGTTTGGGAATCATGTTTCGATCTTGTTCACAAGAGATTAGTGGACAAATAATAAGTATTCTTTATTCTTCGTGAAGGCGTTTTGTACATTCTTTTTGGTTAAATAAGAACTCGAATCAGTTTTGTTACTATCTCCGTCCCAAAAAAATAGTCAACATTGAGTTTTTAAATTTGTACTGAAAACAGTACAAAACTCAAAATTAAATGTAGACTATTTTTGTGGGACGGAGAAAGTATTTCTTTATTCAAAATAGAATAAATCAATTTTTTATTACAAAAATAGGTAGAGATTAATATGCGTGGTCAACATTGATGTGAAGATGAATGAAGCAAGATTTTCAATCCCATAAAAATACGTTATACAAATACTAAAACTACACGTAAAAATAAGTAGTCTATAATCATAAGTGACCCATAGAGAAAGCAGATATATTGTCACTTTCATTCAATCATTTTTCTTTTCTACAACATTAACCTTTTTTTTTAAGTTTATTTTGCAATTCATTCGTCCAACAGAACTACCATATGTGGGGAAACAAAAAATGTCCGTCTTTTAGCGCTTTACTCAACAGAAGAAAAGTACCTCATCATTCCTACAATATCCAGGCAATCCAAAAAGTGGCTTAGATGTTATTATAAAGTGTTAATTACTAATTATCATAATATTTGGTTCTATTCGTCAATCAATGATTTTCTATATGTTTTGATGGAAAAAGGCTTTGCATGTGTCAAATATTGTATACCTCTGGATTTTTTTTGATGGGATGCCTCTCAACTTCCACCATCAATTTCTTTGGTGTCCACAAAAATTATAAATGACATTTGAAACTTTAGGACATTATAGAAACCACATCACTAACTTTGATTGCAACCGTCAACCTTTTTCTTTTCCTTTGTTTTTTGTTAAATTTTTTTTTTTAAAAAAAAAGCAAACAAACAAAAAAATATATGGCTATGAGGTTTGAAACCTCAAACCACCGAATGAAAAACAAAGGTGAGAACTACAATCGGCTAAAAGCGCAAATGGGAGAAATGTCTTATTCAACTTTATATACCCAATTAATTACCCATTATAAATTCAAACAATATTTTATTGGCATAATGACAAAAGGAAAAACTGCAAACTCCAATTACCACAAATTAACAAAATTTCTTTACGGTGCATTTCCTTTTTTTATCAACTCCTTTATTGATTCCTTAATAGTACTCCCCCGTCCTATAATTATTTTCCACTTTGAATTTTCATTTTTAATTCAAATTGTATTAAAAGTGAAATTTCAAACTGGACAATAATTTTGGGACAGAAGGAGTACTACGTATTAATTCACCATAAACGCTCAAGTATTCTCGATCACATAGTGGACATTTTAATTATACTTTAATTTGGTTATCCACACTCAATATCGTTTTACACTACGTACATTTAGGTCACAATTTATTTATTTTTTCCCCAAGAAAAAACGGGGGGGTTTATTGACGCCGGATGTTGCATGCATGTAATCTAATTATCTAAACGCAAATAGATGTCTTCTTGAAGAATAGAAGGCTGTGCGGCGTAATCGTGTCTGGTGAGGTTCAATGTAAATAGCTTCCTGCATATACACCATCCGTCCTATAATTATTGTCCACTTTGCCCCAAAAATTTTGTCCCAAAATTATTGTCCAATTTGACTTTTTATGGATCAAGTTACACATTTGTCCTTAGTAAAAACCATTATCCATAAAATCTTAGTAATTAAACAATTACTTATGTAGGGATATATCCAGTTGTTTAAGGTAAAATATAGTTAAGTCTGACCAAAAATAAAATCTTTCATTTTAGTAAAATTGGACAATAATTATGGGACGGAGAAAGTACATTATATAAATTTCTTTGGTGCATTTCGAAAACTTTTGATGTAGATCTCATATTCTACCAAAATGATAATTTAAGTATCAGTTTCTTCAAACATAATGTTTGATTACAACCTACATAAATATGCTGTTTGTTTGCAAAAGAAGGTCCAAATTAATCTTCAACGATGTAGTATTTTTTTGAAAAAAAAAATGAGAGTGTCCTTTGTTTTTTTTTTTTTTAATGTCAGGAATTCCACCAAAGATGGGTAAATTCATGTCCACTACAATAGCATGCAAATTACAGTAGGAAGTAAACGTAAAAATCGATAAGTAATTAATATCTCAAGTTCAAAATAATCGTAAATAGATGAAGATATTTAGCACCTTGTTTTACTACCCCCTGCTCCGACCACTGTTTTTTCTAGTGGTTCCAATTGATGGAAAAAAATTACATTTGTGACAAGGTACTCCAACAGCAACATATCAAACAATTTGTTGATCTGCTTTTTTTCTTTCTTCTTTTTTGTTGCAAAGTTTTGTGCATGTAATTTTCCACTCACTGTGGGTCACTGTCAAGAAATATTGTCCTTGAAGCTAAGCTATATATTATGGATTCCAAATGTAACCCCAACAAAATAAAGCAAAAACCAACACCAATATCCCTCCCTTTGCTTTGCAATATTTCTGGTAGAATGGTTTGATGTCAATATTTCTGGTAGAATGGCCTTGGTATATATATATACACATATACGACAGGTAATTAATTAGGTCTCACACACACACACACACACACGCACACACAATTGAATGTATATTCTTCCACTTTAGTAGTAATTCATTAGTTGTTGCGAGACCAATTCAGCGTTACATTGAACCTAACTTTTCACCTAAGCCATCCTTTCGGAGGAGCAGAAATTTCATGGACTGTATATATTGTACTTCTATATTAGCTCTACATCATCACGCACCGTCATTTTTGTAATTTTTTTCACTCCATAAATGAAATATACTCTTACTGTCTTGAAAAATAATCCTCTTCGTACAAATTAAAAAATTCAATGCAAATTATTGTTTTGAGATAACTGGTACAAATTTCAAATTCAATGTGAATTATTTTTTCGAGACAAATGTCATATATTGATGAACAACTATCAGAACAATAATATACCTTGTTAAATTTGGAGTCCAGTTTTTTCTTTTCTTTTTTTTTTTCCGGGTGCAACAAAAGACGTAAACTAAAAATTTTATACTCTTTTCAGTCTTAATTATAAGACATTTTGATTTGTCCCAAGTTTCATTTAGTATGTTTCTCTAATTGAAAATAAAAAATTAACAATATTTTATACTAATTGTATTGAAAACGTACGTAACAAAGGATAAGGGAGAAAGTCGTTGAACCTTGAGAATTCGTCAATTGTGCAACCGACGGTACAAAGACTTGAGGAGCTTCAGTGAAAGAAGAGAAGAGATGATCCATTCATTTGACAAAGTGTACACGTGTGTGAGGTGGACGTCTGGGATTAATCACGTGGTGTACAGTCTTGCTACATTCTCCACTCCTCCAATCTAATCTTCCATTATTCCTCCCTCTTCTTCTGTTGTCATAATATATATATTCCACAGAAAGAAAAATAAAAAAATCAGCAAAAGAAACAAAATAATAGAAACTATTTTGAAGTAATTAGAACACTGCTTGGTTGAATTTATATACAGTACTCTTCCGATTTTTATTATATAAGAAATTTTAATTTGTTCTAAATTTTATTTAATATGATTTTTTAATTAAAAATAAAGTCTTAAAAAATGTATTTTTACATTTATTATCCTTTATTTAGTATCTTGAGTCAGAAACGTTTTATACAAAAAAAAAAATTTAACCGATACTCTATCCATCTCAAAAAAATAGTCCACATTTAGTTTTGAGTTTTGTACTGTTTTTAATACAAATTTGAAAACTCAATGTGGATTATTTTTGTGTGACAAAGGTAGTATATAGTAAAACATTAATGATCAATATTGAGACTGACTTCAATTTGTTAGCTACGGAGCATCAACTGATGTAAATCACTCCAAATATCCTAATATGATGTCCCATCGTCAGTTCAATTGTTTGTTGTTAATAAGGTATATCAATTTAGAAGAGGCCTGTATTGTCACAAAGATATTACACGAACAACTTAGTGTATCAATTTGGACAAACACTCATTTTACATTTTAACTCATTTTACCTCTTAAATACAAAATTCAATGGAAAAGAAAACATCATCCAAATAACTTTCTGATTTAGATTTTAAATTCCAACTTGAAACACTTTTTGTTAGTGTAATGACTATTTTTGAAAAAGAAGTATTTCAGTGACGAAATCTAATAAAGAAAAATCTTAGAGTGACAAATTTGCCAGGTTTCTGTTGTTTAGTAATTGCTTTTGGAATTTTTTTTTTAAAGTGACTATAATTGACAATATTTAATTATTTAGTAATGGTTCGTACTTGATATTTCAAAATATAGTTCAAAATATTTTTTTCAAAACCAACATTCAAAACAACTTTTTGCTCAAAATACCATCCAAACAACATTTTTGTTTCCCATTTAGTTTTCAACTTGAAATACTTTCTACTTTTAAGTGGCAAAATGAAATGTAAGATGACGTCCAAACAAGCAAAAGTTTGTAATAATGCTCATGAAAGATTTTTTTAAAATGTAACACGAGTATTTGGAATTTCAACTCTTACATTGTGATCAGAAAAAGATCATCGGTATCAAACAAACAAGACTCGTAAGATGTTGCTGATTGTTCACTATGGGCTAGTTTTCTTGCAGGATTCTAAGTGAGATAATATTTTGATTGCTGATCTCTTTTAGTCAAACAAAAATAAACTTTGAAATGAACATATAAAATCAATTTACTTGGAATTTTATATTCCTAATATGTCTCAGGAATTTTAATTGTAACTTCATTAATTTCCCAATTGCACTCATCAATCTACCGTAATTTCCTGACTTTTCGGTTGAAGAAAATAACTATTTTTTTTTTTTAAAAAAAAAACAGTGAGTAGAAGCTAATTCCTAAAAGTTAAAAAAAATAACAGACTGCAAATAAGAAATACTGACTATATTGTACTCTAACTACGACTTAATTTCATACAATAGTAATTCAACTTTCCATTCCCTCCTTGGTAATTCACGAGTAGCCTTAATCAAGCTACCATGCATCACATCCGTTTCATCTCTATTTAAAATGAACGAGACCACTCTCACATTATCACCTTCAGCTTCCAACCTTGGCACCTCAATCTCCAGCAAGATGTAATTAAACCTTGAATCTGGCTCAATAATTGAACAAAATCTAATACTCGCTCTGTCCCAAAATTATCCTCCACTTTAAGATTTTACGTTTAATACAATTTTAACTAAAAATAAAAACCCAAACTTGACAATAATTATGGGACGGAAGGAGTATTCATTATAAAATCAAGTGTTTTTTTTTCTTTATCACGGAAGCATACAAAATGTATAATATTCCAATAATTCAAAATGTATAATATTCAAAAAAATCAAAGATGTTTAATCCACAATGCTTTAATTTTTTGAAGAAAAAAAATAAGTGAAATAAATGATTTCTTTTCCATAATAAGTATTTTTGAGCTAGCGATTCGCTCAAATTTATTTCCGATTAAGGCTAAAATTCGACTGGAAGATTGGGCTTGGACATGTTTGTCATATGTCTGTCCTTCTTTTCCTTACAAGGCTCATTACCCAGATGCCTGATTTGTTTAGCCTCTAAGCCCACCATAAAAACCCACTGTGACTTTTCTCATTACATTTCTGCCACTCCCCCTCATAGTAAGACTGTATTTCCAAAAAAGAAGTTGCTATCCAACCCCAATTGTAGTTTGTTACTAAATACCTCCTTTGCATCAAAGTGATTATCATGTCTGGATTTTCAATTATTATATATTTTATATTAAAAATAAAAATTTAAATAAAACAATCATTTCGATACAAAAAAAGTACATGTATGTAATTCCCTTATTTTACTTAAAAGCTTGACTATTATTGATCATACAAGGGCTTTAAACTTGACTACTATTGTATCTTACTCCTCTTGTTGATTTCGTTCTGGATGATTTTCGAGATATTAGATAATTTTTTAAAAAATATAAAAAATCGTCTTTTTTGATAAATAAACGCGCTTTCCTGTTTCATAAATATTTTTTTCGTCCCAAAATTATTGTCCAGTTTGAATTTTCATTTTAGTGCAAATTGAACTAATAGTGAAAATTTTTATTTTTTATTCAAACACTTTAATTTAACATTTCTGGTGATCAAACTAAATCGATTAGGTTGGTATTGCTGGCATAGTTTTTATGAGATTAAAGGATTAATTATGTTCTTCACCCAAATTTATTGATCTAGGGATACTTTTAATTTGGGCCTTAGGATAATCAAGGTAGCAAAAAGCCTGTAATACGTCCAATTTTAGCCCATAAGACGGTAAGGGAAAAACGCAAAAATTCGGCTGAGACAAATGAAGAAAATTCACTTATGTAGAAAGTCCACATTTTCTCCGTGACATCCTTTGAATCCATAAAAATAATTCCTCTTTCCGTCCCGAACAAATAACCCATGCTATAAAATAATTTCTCTGCCCCAAAATTATTGCTGAATTTGTAATTTTAGTTTAATTTGTACAGAAAAAAATTCAAATAAGACAATAATTTTAGGACCGAAAGAGTATAAACTATGTTATTTTTATTAATATTTACAATGTGAACAATTTTTATAGGCAGAGAGAATATTAATCCAGAAGTTTGTAGATGCTAATGTTATCGTAAAAGTTCAACAATATATATAGTGAAGACACACCAGGTCCAAAGTATAGGTGAAAAACATAATTAGTAGTAAAAGTAAGTCGAGGTATAGTTAATAACCCTATAGAATGCCGACGATAATGCTAGCGTTGGTCAACTCCATGTAATCAAGTTTCGATGTTTCATATATGAAAATCTCAAAATACCAGTTACAAAGAAAAAGAGGTGGGGATGATAAATTGATAATTAGAAGCATCAACATAATGAGGCAAAGTCACATTAATGGCTTGTATGAATATACTACTCCTGTATACCATTAGTACGTACCTCCTTACGTATTACAATGAAACATAATTACGTAACATATTATATACTCTTAATCACGGCATCAAGACTTGAAACAGTGTATTATTCAATCTTAATTTCAAAATGCCGGTTGCCCAAATTCCGAGAATCTTCGAACATGTTGTAATAAATCTTTGCAACATCTGTTTATATGACTAATTAAATCTTATAATTTGTTTGCTGTGATTGGTATCTAAATCTAAGCTACTGTATCTTGCTAATCAATGGGAATTAGTCAACATTAAAATTATGTTTGTAATTACTTTTGCTTACATCTGTCTCACTACCAACTTTATTCTCATTGTTGCATGTCCTGGGTACATCAATTTGATTATTAGATTAGAATCGGCACATGTAGTTAATCATATGATTTTATTAAGATAGTTTTCCATCTTATCCAAATTAATCTCGTTTTCTCATTTTATTAAGTTTATTATGGTCACATATAGTGAACATCTCAAAATTTATATTTTTACATTTCTAATATAATTCTTTTTATTAAAAAATAAACCAAAACAATAAGAGATATAGAATGTAGAGAAAGAACAAGTAAAGCGAGAACAAGAGAGAGAAGAGAAAATTCATCTGTGTCTTATTATGTGGAGAATGATTTCCTTTTATAGACAAAATAGATACAAGGATAACATCAAATAATGATAAGAGCTAACTAACTAAATATTATCTCTAAATAGTTGATTCCTTGTATAACTCTTCTAACTTGTCAACATCTACATTAAATATTTATAACGCTTATATATATATATATGTTTTTTAATAGAATTCTTTAATATATATGTTTGTTGGCCTCTGTACTACAACTTTAAACTACGTGCCAAGGAAACACATAAGAAAAATTAAAACATTGTCACATTTCTTTTATATATTGTTTTCCCAGCCCATTTAAGCCCCAGAATTAGAAATAGTGTCAAACGATGCGTCTGCTAAGTCAATAATGGATTTGTATTGATAAACAAAATGAAATGATTCTGGACTTTAATTTTGGGAGTTTGGCTTTGGCATAAAACATACGAGGACAAATATGGAGCTGTCTGAACTATTTTTTTTGGGTATATTTATAACTTCAGCAACTTGTGTTAAATTGTTTGATATTTTTCTCTTTTGAATTTGTTGTATTTTTATTATTTTTTTGGTATCATGTTCATGATTAACCTGTGTTCATATATAAACTGACAAAAATAATAACTGTTTGTTTGTTTTGTTTAGGCTTTGTTTGTTTAGTTTTTTTTTTATAGTTTTTTTAATTAATAAAATAATAACAGTTCCATTTCAGCATACTTTTTTAAATTTTCAATATATTTTTTTATATTTTCAACATAAAAAACACCTAAAAAATATATATTAAAAAAACGAAACAAACATACTATTTCATTTTAGGTGCAAATCAAAAGACACAACCTAAAATATTGAATATGCCCTAATCCTTGAAGATAAGAAACCTCTAATACAACGTAAATTTTATTGTACTATTTCTTATTTAACAAAGGAAAAAAGATACTGTATACTAGTGATTATCGAGTAATTGGAAAAACATTATATAGTGGTAATTAATTAGTAAATTACTTTGATTAGTTTGACTCCCTTTTCCAGTTTCAGGCATTCAGCCAATCAAATTACCCTCAAACAGTGAAACCGACCCACCACGTAGTAAATTATAGTGGCATATCCCTGTATTTTTTCTCAAGAAGAAGATAAGGTCAAACTGTTTTATCCCCCAAATTTTATCCATTTCCTTTTTTGCTCCTCAAAGGCTAATTCCACCGTCAACGGACTCCAAACCCAACTTCAAATGCAGCCCATTTTTTTCTGATCACTCCCACAAAACACCATCATCTCGGTATATACCCAAAACAGAATATGCCAAAAGCCATGGAAATTCCACGAAAATATATCAAAACCAACGAAAATCTACCCCCCCAAAATAGGCACATAGTCAAATTTACAAAGACTTGGAGTAATAAACATCTCAATTAACTATTGTAAAAATAAAGACTTTCATCCTAAAGATTTTCAATTATTCTGATCCATCAGCTGTTTTATTTGAGAGACTCGACTAACATAATGGAACGGAAGGAGCTCTACATTGTATTACTTGCTTTGTCTGAAATTATTGTCTAATTTAGACTCAATTTTTTTTTTTTAAAGAAAAGACAAATCGAACTAAAAGTGAACATTCAAACAGGACAAATGATTTGTCACTTTCTCTGTCTTATAATTAAAATTTTTGCTTGTTTGTTATATAATTTTAGCTAAATGAAGCATGGTATTTTGGCTTCCTAATTTATATCATCATGCAAAACTATTTTGTTTTGTGTGTAGATTAGATGACATAATAAATGTATCATCCATCATCATGAGAGGAGAATCTAATTATAATCTCACAAATCACCCAGAACTTATTGTTTGGAATTTGGATATTATCTCATTTTGTACTCATTTACTACTACGTACGTTGCTCAAATCCCACTTTTCGCTTTAAAAAGACAACTTTTAACATGGCAAAAAATAGGTTGATCAAAATAGTTCAAAGTGGTCCTCCTATTCCTCTGAAATTATTTATCATAATGACTGTTAGTATATGTTTTCCTTCTTGATTTACAAACTTAATTAGAAAAAAATGATATTCACATGAAAAATATGCTATTGTTTTACTCCATCACTCTTATTACAACAATTTCAGCTACAAAATTGCGTAAACAACATAACCTTCTCTATATATTGGACTCTATATATTTTAATTTATCCTTAAAGAATAGAGTATTGGACAAGTCGTTATCCGTCATCCATATTTAATCTAAAAAATAATATAAGCACCCAAAAATTATTCTCTCTAGATATTGGTGAATTATTTTCGTTCATTTATTACTCAATAAAAATGATGACCTAGTAATGCGATTGTTAGAAATGTAATCCATATCCGAACTAAATCCTATTTAACAAAAATTATTTTCAATCTCTTACACATCTTTCAATACTTAAGTTAATCCAACAACATAGATTACTGAGATACGAGGAGGGTATATACCATATATATTTTGGGCATCCAAAGAAAATTAAATTCCAAATGAATCTAGAAAACCAGAAAACTTATGAATAAACACAAAAAAAAAAAGAAAAAGAAAAAATCTATTGTACATCAATGCAGTAATATACCCACTTTTTATATAAAAAGATCATCCCTTTTCCAGTAAAATTACTTCATAATCTTTTTGGGATGTCAATTTCCGACATGACTACACAATTTTTAGAAATAACCCGACACGACATTATTGATTTAATTTGAGTTTTTATCACATTTTTGCTCTAAAAAATTTATTAATCATGTAGAATACATAACAAAAAATTGAACTGGTAACTCGAATCGACACCCTACATGTTACTACTGTACATTAAATTTTCTCAAAAAATTATAGGAAAACAGAAAAAAAGAAGAAGGATCCACCATGATTGAAGAAATGGATACTCTCATCAATAATTTTGGGCCTGATTTTAATCCCATTTATTTATTAATACACCCAGAAGCAGGAAAAACATAATGGGGTATTGAAGGAGAGAGAGTAGAAATCAATTATAATTGTTCCCTTTCTTTTTTTCCCTCCAATCATTCTCCACTGTGTGTGTTTGTGCGTGTGTCTGTGTTTGGGATCTTTTTCCATTTTGTGGGTTTCCTTTCTCCATCTCTCTCAACCTCCTTCCCCCTCTTTCCCTCTCTCTCTCTCTGACTTTCATCATCATCATCATCATCATTTTCTCTCTCTCTCTCTCTCTCTCTCTCTCTCTCTTTTTCGTGCACAGCTTTTCCTTTTTATTTCCTTAATTTTTTTTTTAAAGAGCTTTGTTTTTTCTCTTTTTAGTAAATTCCGGCGGGAGTGAAGGATTAAGGAAGTGAATGAGTAGAAGTAAACAATTCCTCAACTTCTACGAAACACTCTTCCCTCTCTCACTATTGCTTCCTTAAACTCACTTTCTCACCAAGTCTTTTGAATTTTTTTTTTCCTTCCCTTCTTCTTCTTCTCCTGTTTTTTTCTTTAGTTTATTGACAAATTTCCCCCTTTTTCTGGGTTCTTAACACTGGGTTTTGGTCTCTTTATATGAAGGTACTCTCTCTCTGGTCTTCTCCTCCTTCTGGTTTTATTGGTTTGATTTTGGTATATTTTTGTGATTGAGGTGGGTTTTCATTTATTTATTTTTATTTAAGGGGTGATTGGAGTTTGGTTGTTTTTCGGGTTGGGGATTGACTGTGGGTGAAGAAGCTGACAAATATACTTGTGTTTAAGTTTAGTTACGGTTTAAAGTTGCGATCTGTTGCTTTTATTTAGTTTATTTAGGTGTAAAGTTGGTTCCTTTTTTGACCTGGGATTTTGGGTTCTTCTGCTTATCGAATTCAAATTGGCTGTTATGTTGGATTTTACTGCCTTGACTTCAATTTGCTAGAGTTTTATGTTCTGAGCTTTGCATTAGATGATCAGCTGCTTATTATTATTACTTTGTTTCCTGCAACTTGCTCGGACTTTATTTTCATTTATCTGATGCACTAGTTTATACAGTTGAATTCCCTGGTTACTTGCTTCCTGTTCATTTTTGCTTGTCGGTTACTATTGGGGAGCTTTTTTCATACCTTCTTCTAGCAGTATTTTTTCCTAGGAAGTAATTCGTACCTTTTGAAGTTGAATGCAATCTTCCCTACCCTCAAAGATGTAGTTTGAACTTTGAGGGAGAAGATTTCTTAATAGTATGATACCATACTCTTCTCTAGATGTAAATTTCATTTCAGTTGCGCCTTAGCTAGGTGTCTAAATATTTTGTGGTAGCTGTTTTTTCTTACCTTCTTCTAGCGGTAATGAAATTGCTTTTTCACTAGTATTAGGTGAGTTTTTCATTAGTCTTAAATTTATAGGCTATGTATATTATCTCAGCAAATCATGGTTATACTCCTTTTATATTCCTTTCATGGTGATTCTATAGATTTTATACTGTTGTGATGCTTGTTAGCGAATACGTGTGGTACGACTTTCATTCACAGAATCTTGCATCCCTTGTTGGGTTTGTCAAAACCTCATTGGAGGTTTAGATTCCCTGTTGATGTATACACTTTCTTTTAGAAAAAGAGAAAATTTACGTGATTTGATTTGATTGAAAGAAAACTTTTGCAAATGTTATATTTTATTTATTTTGGATGACAGTTTAGATATGCTTTTGTGTCACTACTTTGTGTAAGCTGGATTCTTAGGGAATTCTGTGTCTACTTTTATGTTGCAGTTTTATAAGTTATGCATCCTGTTTGTTATTTTTCAATCATTGATGGTATTCTTATAAATCCTGACTAAATTTTGCTACTTTGTTGTGATAGCTCAGTCCACATCCCCATTGGGCCCCTTCATCGGTGGTGATTGTCGGAACGAGAATGTTCATGTATATGTAGTTTGTCTTTTGCTTAACAAAATTGTCTATAGGGTGTGTCTGGGGTTCTTTTGTGTTCTTCATGTTATCCTTCAACCACTTGACAAATTTGCTTTATGAAATTGGTATCTACAGCATAAGTTTTTGATAGGAACAATTTTTAAAGCTGCAATGAGTGTTGCTGAATACAAGTGCTTCAATTGAAAGGCATTTCTATGTTTTTGCTGTTTATTCATTCATCTGGTTGTTCTATTTTTTAAATAATACTGCACCTCGGATTCTTAAGTCAACTTTTCGAAATATTTTGTGTTTCTAGGAATTGCTTGAATGGAACAAACCTCAAAAAGTTCTGAATTTAATGATTCCGAAGGTAACTCTCTCATTTACTTGATCTTGTCACATCTCACATTCCATTGGTGAATACATTTTCCAATGACCTGAACATTTTAATATCTTTTTTTGTAGTTCATCCAAGAAATCCATTTGGGAATATATCTGGAAAGGAAAGAAATGCTTGGAGGATCCCACTTGGTAGTGGTGCTTATCATGCGTCAAGTGATGCAAGCTTGTTCTCTAGCTCATTACCTGTCCTTCCTCATGCAAAATGTAAGAAAAGTTTTGTTAATGAATTCTTATTGATGTACTGATTTAGCTACCAATCATTTCCCTCCTTTTTTCCCCTAATGTGCAGTAAACTACGGCGATTCTGAACGATCAGCTGCTGATGCGTTGCCCAACTTAAGTAAACTTCTTTTACCAGACAAGGGTAAAGATGCATTTGAAATTGCTGAAGCTAGTCCAGTTGGCAACTTGCTTCCTGGTGATGAAGAGGAGTTATTAGCTGGTATTATGGATGACTTTGATCTTAATGAGCTGCCTACTCAGCTGGAGGATTTGGATGATGATTTTTTTGGCAGTGGTGGTGGACTAGAAATGGAAGCTGAATCCCAAGATAATCTGTTAAATGGTTTGTCAAATTTGAGTGTTTCTGATGGTATTCCTGGAAGCAGTGCTGGACATTTTGCTGTTCCAAATGGTGTGGGTACTGTTGCAGGAGAACACCCTTATGGAGAACATCCTTCTAGGACATTATTTGTACGGAATATCAATAGCAATGTAGAGGACGCTGAATTGAAATCTCTCTTTGAGGTACTTTGTCAATTCTTTTTGGATCTTCATAGTTTTTACTTGTCGAAAATCATACTGTTTACTTGTGTGTGACATGGGACTTTGAGTATTGGGTTTCTCTGTTATGTGGCCACAGGCTGTTGGGAAATGGTAAATTTACTTGTAACTCATATCGAGCTGTAAATAGAGTTGCTTCTTTGGATCTTGAATCCTTTAATTCTGTCATTGCTTGATAATCGCAGTCCTTTGAAGAATCCACAATTTAATTTCCCAAGCTCATGCACGTATGGGTTCTGTTATACCATGTGCAGTTTATCCTTTGACCGGCATTAACTTGTATATGATGCTGCATGAAACTTCCCTTAAGATAAAAACCTGCTATGCTCACCAATGTTTGGCAGGATGCACCCTTGTATCTTTACCGCATTCACTTGATTATGTGAAACAATCTGTTTTCAATCTTCTTGATAATAAATGCATCATACTAGAATGCTTATGAGTATTTTGTTGTCTATGACTTGTGAGTTGGTGTGAATTAATTTAGGATCTGGCCTAAGCATTAATTTCCCGATTTAGTTTATTTTTCATCTTCAATTGGAAATTTAAAGTTGTCTCTATGATTGTTTTTCACTTGAGCTGTTTCATGTCTTAAATTATTGCTGTAGTAATTAATTTCTGACAATTCCCTTGAATATATCTAACTGTAGCTGTTAAGTGGTCCTTGTTTATAATCATATACGAGTAGTATTTTATTGTCAACGAGGGCTGCTATCTGATTCATGATCATTTTGCAGCAATATGGAGATATCAGAACCCTATATACTGCTTGTAAGCATAGGGGGTTTGTGATGATATCTTACTATGATATTCGTGCGGCTAGAACTGCAATGCGAGCACTACAAAATAAGCCTCTGAGACGAAGAAGGTTGGATATTCATTTTTCAATCCCCAAGGTTGGTTCTGGAGTTTACTGTTGTCCGTGTTCTTTTTTCTTTTTCTTCTGATGTTTTATTTATAGATACTGTTTATTGTGGCTTCTCAACTCCATTTTTCTTCATTCAGGATAATCCGTCAGAGAAAGATGTTAATCAAGGCACACTTGTAGTCTTTAATTTGGATGCTTCAGTGTCGAATGATGATCTGCGTCAAATATTTGGCGCCTATGGGGAAATTAAAGAGGTCTTTTTGTTTTTCTTTACAATATTAGTTGTTCCTTGTTGCTATTGCTATTTATATTCTTTCTTTTCTTTTATCTCTTTCTTGAGTAAATTATACCTATGAAGTTGAATAAATTTGGAAATATGTTGTCCTCCAATTGCAGATACGAGAAACCCCTCATAAACGGCACCATAAATTCATTGAGTTTTATGACGTCAGGGCTGCAGAGGCAGCACTGAAGGCATTAAATAGGAGTGACATTGCTGGCAAGCGTATAAAACTTGAGCCTAGCCGGCCTGGTGGAGCCCGTCGGAAGTATGAGTTATTATTATTTAGTCATTATTCTAACATTTCCTTTCATCTTGAGGATCAATATCAGTTTAGCTGCTGTAGTGATCAAGATCATTATCAGTCGGAGCATTCAATATACTGTCTCATTCTTCTCTTCCTCATATGTGCAGCTTGATGCAGCAACTGAGTCAAGAACTGGAACATGATGATGCTCGATCTTTACGACATCAAGTTGGTTCACCAATAGCAAATTCTCCTCCTGGTATTTCTACTAAAATAGAGCCACTTGAATTTTTATGACTGCTATCCATCAACACTATTGAATATATCTATCATCTTTGCGGTATTAATTTTCATTCTTTGATATCTGTTAGGTTGGCCCAATTTCGGGAGCCCTGTTGAACCAAGTACATTGCCTGGTTTCAGTCAATCACCTGGCATGGGTTCAATAAACACCATGAGCAACAATCACTTACCTGGATTGGCCTCCATTCTTCCCGGTCAGATGTCAAACCCTGGAAAAATTGCACCCATTGGTAAAGACTCTGGAAGGGTAAGGCTTTTTTTTTTCCTTTTCTTTTTTTCTTTTCTTTGATTTGGTTTAAATAATTTGGAAATTTATTTAATGCCTACAAAAAGAGGAACCATGCTTAAGCAATCTTATTTTATACCTGAACAGAATTTAAGTTCTAGTCCTGGGCCTGTCTCATCTTTCCTTGACTTGAAGTCCAACTCCTCTGGTATTGGAACTCTTTCTGGTCCGCAGTTTCTTTGGGGAAGTCCAACTGTTCAGGCTGAGCGGGCAAATTCTTCATCTTGGTCAAATTCATCGCTAGGTCATCCTTTTGCTGCCAGTAGACATGGACAAGGGCATCCATTTTCCAGTCGACAAGGCTCATTTCTTGCTACACATCCTCACGTGGGATCTGCTCCATCAGGTATTCCCTTAGAGAGAAGATTTGGTTTTCTACCCGAGTCACCAGAAACATCCTATATGAGTCAAGTTGCTTTTGGAAGTACCGGATTAAGTCCTGGGAGAGGAAACCATGTAATGAATGTTGGGGCTTTGAATGTTGGTGTTCCTCTTTCTGGAAGCTTCACTGAGGGAGGTTCTCCAAGTTCTAGGATGATGTCTTTGTCGCGGAATGGGCACATGTTTTTTGGTAATGGGTCCTATGGAGGAATAGGCACATCGAATCTTGATGGATTAACTGAACGTGGTCGAAACAGGAGAGTTGAGAGTGCGAATCAGATAGACAATAAGAAACAGTATATGCTTGATTTGGAGAAAATTATCAGTGGGGAAGATACAAGGACCACATTGATGATAAAGAATATTCCAAACAAGTGAGTGCAGCCTTTATTAATATCTAATTTACAAGTCCCGCTAAGAACTGCTTGATAGTTTTTGTTGGATATAATTTTCTTATTTTCTAAACTGTCAGGTACACCTCAAAGATGCTACTTGTGGCTATTGATGAAAGTCATAAGGGTACTTATGATTTTCTTTACTTGCCTATAGATTTCAAGGTAACATTTTTATTTTCGATGGATATTTGGAGCACTTCGTATGATTTTCTAAAATGTTAATGTAAGTTAACCATTGCTTTGGTGCAGAACAAGTGCAATGTTGGCTACGCCTTCATCAATATGGTGTCTCCGTCTCATATCGTCTCCTTCTACGAGGTTCTTGTTTCTTGCTTTCTATATATTTTGAGTTGTTTTCTAGTATTTCACTCTCTGCTTCTCTTGGGAGTTTCTTATATTATTTGTTGTATCTGATTAGTCAAAGCTGTTACAGAGTTAATTATTTGTGTCCTTTCTTTATTATTCTATTTAAGGTAAAGCTTGAGTTTGGTACATGTAATCTCAGCATTGCTTCTGATATTTATAGATTTAGACATTACACATTTGCAGCAGTTGTGATTGCTAGACTGAATTCTCAAAAGGAAAGTTTTGGCAGGTTTTCAATGGCATGAAGTGGGAGAAGTTCAATAGTGAAAAAGTAGCTTCCCTAGCGTATGCACGCATTCAAGGAAAGACTGCGCTTGTTAATCACTTCCAGAATTCAAGCTTGATGAATGAAGATAAAAGATGCCGGCCAATTCTCTTCCAGTCTGAGGGTGAGGGCACGGGTGATCAGGTATATATGTGTTGCATCTGTGAAGTATACTGTACACTTGGAAGATAGACTTAGCTTTTTCTCTGTATTTTTATGTTAAATTGCTTAATGATGTCCTGTGTGTTGAAGTCTTCTCTTTTTTGTTTGTTTTTGCTTATTTTAGTTCCTACCTTTTGTACTTTTGAGACCTTCCAAGTTTGAGAAGTTATTTGGAGAATAATGTTGTATATTCTTTCGCCCTTTTTGGTGGTCATTGGCTTATGCACTAAATTTTTATGGTCCAGAAGATAGGAACTAAGAAGAATATTTTTTAATTTCAAAGTTTTATTTCTTGCAAAGAATCAACTGCAGGAGGATCACCTGGATATTGTAAGTCTGCATTTAGGACTTACTGGGAAAAGATCTACTGTGGATGTACACCCTATTCAAATGAATCTTAAAACTTTCTAGGTACCAGAATTGTATGCAAGTGCTCAGCATAAAGCTATATGACTCTTCTTGTTTTAGTATAGTGGTCGAACTGTTTGAAGTGTCTGTAGAGATAGCATCTTTTATTATGCAAATGTATGGAGGATCTCTAATTTAATTTCTTGATGGACTTGTTTTCCCCATTGTTTTTGTATTGAGGTTTACCTGAGACAAGATCAGTGTCGCAACAGGTTTACCTGATCTAACTATGTTGAGACTTATTTGTTTGGGTACAGGAGTTTCTGCCTTCCAGCAACCTGAATATCTGTATCCGGCAGCCTGATGGGTCTTATACAGGGGATTCTCTGGACAGTCCAAAAGGCAGTGTGGATGAAAAGCTGGATAAGAGTTGAACATGTTGGGGAAGTTGCTAACTTATATTAGAAGCGGCTGTGTAATAGCTGAGAGTGGATTAATTGTTGTGGCAGTGATTAATAACTTCTTGAAAAATATTCAAGTACATAAGGTAAATATTGAAGTCTGATGTCGGATGTTGATTACCCATATTCATGCATCTACTTTTTGGGTGATGGATAGTCCATAGCACACGAGAGAAACTGTCGAAACGTGGAATATGGAGCATTTATTCATAGTTAGAGTAACCAGCTGAAATTCATCTTGGGGGGAGGGAAGAATAAGGTGAAGCATTCTGCTTGTGCTCGAAGCGTCACCTGGTGTATGCTTTTGCCACCAATATGTGCATTATGTGTTCTTCGTTTTCCTTTTGTCTGTTTTTGTGGTCGATTTCTTGCAGTGGCTTTTGACTCGCTGAATGTATACATGTGCATAGAGGTGGGAGGGACTGGGAATATGGAGGTTGCAGTCTTGTTTCAAAAGTGTATAGATGGGAGAAAACAAGAACTGCACCTTGCATGATTTCTGTATTAGATTTATGGACTACGTGAAACTTTGTAATCTACAAGTTTCAATGTATAGTTTTTAACTTTATTAATGTTGCGCTTCTTTTGTGATTTTAAAGTGACCGGTAACTTTGAATTCTGGATTGGCTAATGCTGCTGGCTCATATCTGGAATACTTCTGAAATCTTTGTTTTTTTAGTGGGACGGTAGAAGCTGTTTCAGTTTGTAACTGTTACTGCTTTTCCAATTCAGGACCTGTATTGGAAATGTACTAAGATATCCCCTTAGAAGGTGATTCTTTCACTGAATTTGTATTGCTTTTTACCAAGTACAATGAATGCATTGGCCAAAAGTTCTCGACTCTTTGAGAGCTCCAAATACTAAGATAGTACTCCTTTGTCTCAAAACAGTCCTCTTGTTTGGGTAGAGGAAGTATAAGGTCCAGTGATAGCAATGTGGTGAATCTGGTGATGTTAGCCTAACGATGACTTCATAAAACAAAATTTCTGACCAAATAACACATTGCTTATGAATGTGATGAGAAGAGGTTTCAACTTTCCATTGCTTATGCTAATTTTTTTTTTTTTTGGGTTGGTTGATAACATTACATTATAATTTCTGTTGCCATAACCCAAAGTGGGATGAAGCTCTCACGATAACATACAAAGTGTGCCTAAAGCACGAATTGTATCTGATCACCAGAAAGAAAAGAAGTTCGAAGCTGGGGGGAAGGAAGTGTCGGAAGGGGGGTTCGAAACCTGCTCCTTTTTCTGGCCCAACACAAGACCTTGGTTGGTGGCCACTAGGGCAACACCTAGGGCTTATGCTAATTTCGTACTCCAGAGTTTAGAGCAAACAGAGGGCGAAGGCTTTTAACACAGAAAAACCATTGTACAGTGTACATTGATAATATCTACTTAATATACAATCATCCATAAAGATACGCCTCTTTGTTCCGACTTCTGACCCTGTTTTATGTACTGACATTCCTTGCGTTTGATTCCCCACTGATTTGTAATGTTAAAGCAATATGGTAGCAGAAGAAGTCACTTGCTAGCTTACCGAATCCCATTAAGGAAAGAGTTCATGATGTTTTCAGAATACTTAACAAGAAGAAATAACAATAATACCAATGATAAGTAAGGAATTCAAATACATATTATATATTAGAAAGTGGTATTCTAGTGCCACTCTTAACCTCAAATCAATTGCTGAGAAAATACTCTTGACTCATAGCTTTTACCTGCTCTTTGAACCAAAGCAGAAGCATCCTTGATTCTTTAAGTTTGGAGAGCATCCGCTATTGACCCTGCAAGACTTAGAACTTCAAATGGTGCTTTATCTGCTATTGCTTTCACGGTATGAGGACATGAATCTGTGATCCAGAAATAGGCAAACGCTTTCTCCGAGTCTGGGATTCAGAGCATAAAAAAAGTGGCAAAAAGAATGAGTAAGAAGTAAGCCAATCAATAACATGTGAAACTACCAAGGACAGAAGCATTCTGTTACCTTCACTCTTGTGCATGAACCGTTCCCATGACCGCTTTGGAAAAACACCATGGGTGACATAAGCACTAACTTTGGCAGCCCCGTGAGCGGCCAAAACTTTCTGCAAGATGAGAGTAATGCACCAATTGGGAAATGCAACAGTGTTAAAATTACATTTGTATCCAATCAGTCACACTGTAATTGTTCGGCAAAAAAAAAGTGTCGAGCATAACTGGATTTAGAACCACAAAAATAACAGAGGAGCAAACTGCATCTATCAACAAGTAGTGCAATTAGTTACTGGTGTTTCTCTAGTCAAAAACCGTGTCCGATGGTTCTTAAGCATGCAGGCGTCATAACTATGAAGTCCAAATATCACTTTGAAGTAGCAATGTCTTTTCTCCCCTTTTTATTCAGAAGCTTTGCAGCACTACATGCGAGACCAAATAAAAACTCCATATCCATCATAGTGTGCTAACAAACCCCAAAAAGAGAAAGGACTAGCAAATAATCATAGACTTTCTTTCTTTCTTTGAACTTTCAGGGACTTGCAACTTTATGGGATATTCAGGTCAATATGGTGGTACTTTCAGGGAAGAGAGGACTCTTACCTGGCACTCAATTAGAGTACCTCCTGACTGAACTAAGTCATCAACTATCACAACATGACAGCCTTCTGGATTACCCTCTTTTAACCTGACAATTCGTTTATCACCCTCACGTACTTTATTACAAACTACCTGCAAAAAGTACAGGTCTTCAGAACATATAAAGAGACAATTAAATTGAAAGTGAGAAAAAAAAAATTGAGGAAAAACAAAAAAGAGGAGATCTATTTTGTAATTAACCATGGGAAAGTGATCAAGCTGCTTGTGGAATCGTTTCCATGCACCATCATCAGGAAAAGCAATAACTATCTGCATATACCAACAATACTAGAGTTGAGTTGGTGTGTACGAGCACTTGGAAATTTGCAGAGATGGTAATCAAACATAAGAAAAAAAAAATCAACCCCCCATCCCAATAACCTTCTCAGAGTCAGGAAGCTGGTGAAGCCGCTGTTTCAACAGTGGTATCCCTGTCTCGAAGAGAGGCAAAACTTGATCCCCAAAGTAAAATCTTTCCTGCAATGAATACTGAAAATTAGAAGCTAAAGAAGCAAAAACATCCTAAACATCACTTTTTTACTTATTTGTCTTTTATGGAGTGCTGTTTATCGTTACAACAGTGATACCACCAGCAACAACCAAATCCCCCCAAAACCCCAAGGGTAAAGGATAAACACAAAGGGAGCAATTTTGTAGGTATAATCTAAACAGGAATTGTTTAGATGTGTAAGCCATTCTCCAAAAGACTTGTGGGATTTCAAACGTGGATGAATAAAGCCTAAGGGTACAGAAAACTCAATAAAACTTAATAAAATCTCAGATTAAAAGAAGTACACCATGTCAATAATCAAGCAAATACTAAAAGCATCTAGTAAAGAAAAGAGAGGTATATGGTAGACCTGCAATGCATGTATGTCATAAATGACTAAACTTGTTGGACCACCCCTTGATATAGGTATGTTGGACAAAATTCTCGCCATGGTGAACGCAGTGGCTACATCCCCCTCTTCTTCCATCCGCTCAAAAGAGCCAGTTGGAAAGAAAGGCAACACCAGTGAAAATGAAGCCACAAACAGCCTTGGAAGTGCAAATATGACAGAAAGCTGTTCGAATATCACCGCAGGGGAACTAAATGATGCTAGAAAAGCCACATGCTGTCCTTTAATATCTTGAGCATTGTTTATAAAAAGATTAGGGAACCCATCATCAAAACTCCTGAAATACATGCAATTAAATTAGGCAACTTCACGAGCATGATTATGGTCAAAACAGTTTGCTAAATCCCCACTCCCCAACCCAAAAATCCAAAAGCAATAAAGCAAAAGAAACCCAAAGTAGAATCAACAGTATTATCAGCCATTAAATCAGGAAAAAAATCATTCTTTTATGTGATTATTACTCAGTTTCAGCACCCCAAAAGACCCCAACGAGAGAATAAGTAAGGTAATTACTAAGCTTGGATTGATTATGGTGCAGAATTTACATACAAGAGAAGGACACATTTAAATGGGCAATAAAAATCGGCTCTTTATTAATGTTGTCAGAATCAAACAGGAAAAAAAACCCATAACAAAACATCAACAAGAAAAACTGAAAAGGGGATGAGAAAAATGTAAACATGGAACACTTAAAAGGCATGAACAAGAAAATCAGGGGAAAATGGTACCTCCAGTTAATAGTTTGGAGCTGAATGAATTCTGATTGAGCAGCGATTTTCCTAGCAAGGTCCTCTGCCTCCACACAGTGATAAAGTAATACCTGTTTCTTCTGTGGCTTCTCCATGCCTTCTTCTGGTTTACCACCAATCAACTAACAAAGAAGAAGAGCTTGTAGTGTTGGAATAACCAAGATTCTTTAAGGGTTTTGTGGGTTTTATCAGCCTTTTACCAGAGTTCCAGAATTACTACTACCTTAGTAGTGTTTATGAACTGCAGTAAACAGTCAGGGTTTTATTACTTTTGACCTAATATTTTATTCGAACTTCCAAAATCGACCCCGCAATTTTTTAAAACTTGAGACGAGAACGTGAAAAAACAGAGTTCTACGCAATTTCTTCCTTTCTTCTTTCACAGGAGAATATCTCCAATGGAATTGAAAAGTTCACACTCATACAGGTCTTCAAAATAAGTACTCCTCCGTCCCACAAAAATAGTTCACATTGAGTTTTAAGTTTTGTACTGTTTTTAGTACAAATTTGAAAACTCAATATTATTTTTATGGGACGAAGGTAATAATAACAGTATATCCTCCATCTTAAGTGTCTTTGTGAAACTAAATAGACTACAAGAATTTTCCATTTCTGAAATATTAAGTGAACTATATATGTATATCTCAATTGTTCTTCGAATGACAATTTCTTTTTGAAATGATTTTTTTTTTTGAATATGGACAAATTACAATTTTTTCATCTAGATGTTACCATATAACTTGTTTGAGAAGTATAACAAGTATTGCAATTGTTTTTTTTTTTTAATAAAAAAAACTTACAATAGGATACTAACTGTTATCCACTTTAGTTAACTTTCTTAGCAAAAGTATTTGACTAGTTAACATAGTTCAATGTTTTTATTTTTTTTTTCACTTGTGATAATTTTACTCGTGAATGGTCATAGGAGCATGTAATACATGAATGAACAAATTAAACGTATTTTTCATTTACTTTCTCTGCCCAAAATTATTGTCCAAATTGAGATTTTAGTTTTCGTACAATTTGAACTAAAAGTGAAACTCCACACTGGACAATAACTTTAGGACGAGGGATAAAAGTTTGAGAAAATAACCCTTCTGTAATTTTACGCAGAAATAACCCAAAAACTAAAATCTAGAATTTTTTTTTTTTGGGAGTCAAAATCACAATTGAAAGATGCTTTTTAGTTTTGCCGCAGAATCTTATACTCATTTTTTGTTGTGGAGATGAAAAGAAAAGCCAACAAAATGCTTCCATAGATTGATGGTATCAAAGGCCCAACTTTGCAACAATCTTTATCGAGTTCCGTTTTGGACCTTTTAGTGAATGGTTGATAATGGAGCCGGCGCACAATCCTTGTTCTTCACAAGAATTTCTTAACTTTTTTTTTTTTTTTGTCAAAGGAAAAATGAATAAATCATCACTTTGCGATGTGCATAACCATAATTCAGACTTTCATTCATGACTGTTATCAACCATTAGAAGAGAGTTGTTTAAGTTATACTCCCCCCGTCCCACAAAAATAATGTCACATTGAGTTTTGAGTTTTGTACTGTTCTTAGTATAAATTTAAAAACTCAATGTGAACTATTTTTGTGGGACGAGGATAGTACTATTTTATTAATTAATCGAGTTAGATAGCAACATATCAATGATTACGTTGATTGTTGATAAACTATTTTTTTAAAAAAATTAAAGTTTGTAATCTTTTGCGTCTTATACAGCCATTTTAAATAAAAGAAGGCAAAGACATTAGAATACGTAATTAATCTTATACATGAGATCTTCACAGTTAAATTAATCTTAACTATATTATAACCATTTGTCCAAAAAAATAGTTCATATTAAATTTTTAAATTTAAAAGTATATATTTAAAAATTCAATGTCAATTATTTATTTTTACAATTTTGAAATTCTATGAATCTTTCTAAAAGATAGTCAGCGAGAGGCCCATAGAATTTCCCTCTCAGTCGACTAGTAGTCTCTACTCTCTACTCCTCAAGTCTGCCCGCTGGCTCATCATGGAACATGGAATTCTCTGCTCAAATCAGTCTCAAACAGTAATAAAGGTATTTAGTCTCATTACAATAGTACATTTTGATATATGATTATTTTAATTTAATCAAATTATCAAAACTAGATGAAAGGAGCACTAGTGGATTCAGAACGAATTTACATTGGGGGTCATAAATGCATTACTGAAAAAACAAATTATCATTTTATTATGGTTGATCATGACAAATTTTTCAATTTTGATGAAGTTTTGGAACCATTTTACTTAGAAATTATATGCGCTTATTGTACCATTATTTTTCAAACATACAAATTAAACCAAAATCTTGTTTATTCAGGAGTTTAGCATTTGAATATGCGAACAAAAGTCGCTATATTCAAAGCTAAAACCTTTTTCAAGAGTTGTTATATTAATAGGTAAAATCAAAACAAAAATTTGTTTTATAAATTATTTTCAACAGAATACTTAAACGTGTACATAAAAAAGAACAAAAGAAAACATGTTCATCTATCCTTCGAACACACGATACCTATCTAAATTATGGAAAATTTTTTTTTTTTATCTAAGTTAAATGTTGTAAACATATATGATCATTTTGAAACGTGAATTTATCCGTAAATAGCATAATTACTTTATCAGATTTCTTTTTGTTTTGAATAATGCATCAGTCACATATACAAATTCTTTTCAAATGTGGACTATTTAATCAAACCAACATAAAATTAAGTGAAGATAAATTAAGCAAAAAAAACCTGGCCAAAATAACAAAAAAATCATTAATATGGTTAAAAAATTGATTAATAATATAATTTTTTATTTTATTAAAATAAAATGCATGTATTATATATAAGATTTAGGGTGGGGCCAGCGGGGGCCATGGGGCCCCCACCCTATATCCGCCAGTGGAAAGGAGGGTTGCCTTTTTTATGCGATGGAAAATTGAAAATGTGATATATAATATACAATATTTTTTCGTTCATAAATAATTACTGAAAGTAACAATTGAAATTGGATAATCATTTCTGGACAGAAGAAGTATAAATGTTCTTAAACATTAACGTGAATTTTAGGTAAAACATTTTTTCTTTATGGATACAAAGTTGTAAACGTGTTCTTTTTTGTTTAGCTAGGTAGATTGCAGTTAATTAAATTATCTAGGTAAACAACTAATAATTAAAGCGATGGGTTCAATCCTTTTCTGTTCAATCATATTTCACTTTAAGGGAAATTTGTAACATGAAGCCATTATCGAGTGATACGTGTGCACAGTACTATTTCCAGTTCAAGAAGTCGCGGATATATAACGTGAACTTTTGGTATGATAAATATTACCTTTTTTTCCCTTAGGTAAAGTGCAAATAATTTGTATGGTACATAAATTACTTTAGGCGTTAGATCAAACTTCTTTTAGTCAAATTCAATTTAATTTTGAATTCTATAATCATAATATTGCGTGTTATGGAGGAGGTGATCACATGGAGTTTAATCTCTTAATTAATACAAGCTGTACAATTATACATTAATTATATACATCACATCAGTGTGTTAGCCCAGGAAAAACCTTTTTTTTTTTTCCCACTGCTAAACGTTGTTTTGAGCTCTTATCATCAAAACACTATATTATGTCAAAATAAGCAATGTTTATCGTGGAGAAAAGACTTTAATGTGGAGATGAAAGGAACAAGAACTGATTAATAGAAGGTTTAGTTGACAAATTTCTTCGACATTAAAATTTTCCCACTGAATTAATCCCAACAATTAGCATGAAGTTACTATCTCCTCGGTTACACAAAACAACCTTTTATATATATATATATATATATATCAATCTACAATAGAAAAAAAGTTTTATAAGATTCTAATGGTCTGTTGGGCGACTATTAACTACTCCCTCAATTCACAAATAGATGTCGCTGGAAAGATTTCACAAAGTTTAAGGAGTCAATAATTATCTTGTTAAAATACTATAATACCCTCATTTATTCTCAATTCAATTGTAGTCCCAATAAAATTCACTTCTAATACAATTCTACATTAAACATCACAATAATTTCCAATGTAAGGGTGATATTGGAAAAAATTGACAAAATATGCCTCGATTTGTGAGAACGACATCTATTTTGGAATATTTAAGTTTTCTTCCAACGACATCTATTTGTGAATGGAGGGAGTATGTCATAATAGATCTGAACACCTGCCCCGAATCGACTTCTCAATCATAATTGCTCTAGTGAATAACTAAAGAAAGTACGATAGATGGGAGATAGAAAAATAACTAAAGGCTAGTTCATTTTCAAAAAAAACTTAAGGCTACTTTGAGACATTCCAACATTCGTGACATTGTTACAAGAGTTTCAAATTTGTACGTGAAGTTACTCTCTTACACAAACTATTAGATAGCAATAAGCGACCTAATAAATAACGACCTTAGCGTATGGATCTTTTCATAGCATATCGATATTTTGATGTAAGATTCAATTATCAGTGCGATAGTTATATGACCGTGTTGACTAAATGACACACATTCGTCACCGAAGAAGGCTTTGTTTTCTAAGAGTTGGAACTCAGCGAATGTGTTGAATTTCGTTACTTTACGAATCAAAATTACTTCGCACATCCATGCACTCATCAATTTTTATATTATCTGTCTAATTTATTTCGGTTAAAATTTGAAATTGCGATGAAATATCATTAATTGCGAGAGGGACAAGAAGAGTAAAGATAGATTAACTGCAAATTTTCCACCGTTGTATAAACCAATTAATCACAGCGTCGACCCTTTTCCACCTATAAAACTCCCTGTATTTTTGTCAACTCTTCTCCCCACTCCCGAGTCCTCTCCTCCCAGCTTCCCCTCAAATTTTCTTCCATTCATAACTGTCTCTCTCTCTCTCTCTCTCTCTCTCTCTCTCTCTCAGTCTCTTACACACACTCACACAGTGACACAATTATTGTAGCAAGTCATAGTTGTTCAACGTTAAACTAATTTTACCCAGTAGAGATAATCATCAAAAATGAGTTTCAACTCTCATTTTCAGATGGTGGTTTTGTCGCTTTACATACTATCATAATATTGGTTCCTATGCTTAATAATCAGCTCATCTTTTAGATCCGCGCGCTGCCTTAAAGATGATCAGAAAAAACAAACAATTTTCCCACAATGTTATTGAAGAAGGGCCGCCATTTAATTGTAGCATTTTTCCTAGCGTGACTAAATGTGTTTTGCATGGAAGAGAATCACAAACATTGGTTTGTGACATTACTACATTGTTGAGATCATCATCAAATCATTCTTTCTTCCCATATTTCATGCTTGTTGCATTTGAAGGTGGAAGCATTTTCAGGGCTTTTCTGTTGCTTCTATCATTTCCTTTGTTGTGTACTTTGGGATTTGACCTAAGGATGAGATTCATGATTTTCATTACCTTTTGTGGGCTGAGGTTGAAAGACATGGATGTTGTTGCTAGGGCTGTTTTGCCTAAGTTTTATCTCGAGGATCTTAATCTTCGTGTTTACGAGGTTCTGGATTCTGTGGGGTCAAGATTGGTTTTCACAAGTTTGCCAAGAATTATGGTTGAAGGATTTCTTAAGGATGATCTGAATGTTGAGGTTGTTCAAGGTTCTGAGCTGCATACAATTTGGAATGGTAAGTATTTTAGTGGATTTTTAGCTACCTCATCTGGGCAGCTACTACTTAAGAAAGATGCTGCTTTGAGGAAACATTTCGGAGAAAAGAAGCCGGATTTAGGAATTGCAAGTTTAACTGCCGATGACTTAAAGTTCATCTCCGTTTGCAAGGTTAGTCAAACATAATTTCTTGATTAAGTATTTCATTTCTTTCCCCTTTGTTTCAACATGTTACTTCTTTTTAGTCATTGTTACCCACGCCAGTTCTTATTAATTTATTAAGTAGCAACAAATTTAAACTTAATTTTTGTTCAATTTTGAGCGTTATATATAAATAAATAAGATCGGAAGAAGAACAAAGAGGGATTTGGATACTCCAATTGCATTAGAAAAGTGACATCTAATTTCGTTTTCTTTTTCCCTTGGAAAAAGTAATTACATTTTATAGGTGTACCATGTAACTGATACATTAAGGATGCTAATGATGCAATTTATGCTTGATTGATATTCACTTTGACTTTCTGTCGCAAGTGAAGTAAGTAGCACCCATATTAAATTTTTTTTACTAACGTTCGCCTAAGTAAATGTAATTGATGGCTAAAGAAAGAAAACTAAGATGTCGTAAGGTAGTAATATTTTCCTTAGCAGACGATTGGTAGCTAAAGAAAATCCTAAAACAAGTTTAGCAAATTCAAATACAAAACTCGTGTGTTTATTGTATTATTATTTCAATTTATTTATATGAATAATAATTCGGAAGGAGCATGTAGAACATTATGGCATTTTATTGTATATCTTTGCTAAAATGGTGGAATTCCATTGTAGGTTAGATAACAGGATCAAAAAGAAAAATGGAAACGACTAACGAGCTATATTCTTAAGACCAATAAGTAAGATTAGTATCAGATTTCGCATGTAGTTAGAATTTAATGGTAGTATTTGTGTGTGTAAATTTTTATCTTTTTGCAATAGAAATTAGTTGAAATTGTGCTTTCCCTTTTGACTAAACTCAGTAAAGTTTCCATCAACGTATTTTATCACTAATTGTACTGACTACTGAGTATAGTAAGAAAAGTTTTCAGCATAATTGGCCGCTTAGCTGGATGTTACAGGTTTCTCCATCGCTGACCAATAGAATTAATCTGCAATTAATATCGTGATTAATTAATTTCATTTTTTAATTTTTATTTTATTTACATTATGTTTCTCATTTTTCCACAGGAGTCATATGTTGTTACCGAAGAAGATCGCAAACCAAGTTCCACAACCATAATGCCACGAAAGAAATACCCAAAGCCACTAATCTTCCACGATGGAAGGCTAGCATTCTTCCCAACTCCCTTTGCAACTCTAAAAATGTTCATTTGGCTCCCAATTGGCCTAACCCTAGGCATTATCAGAACATTGGCAGTTCTACTTCTCCCTCACAAAATGTCCATTTTTGTGATCAAATCCACTGGTTTGATTTTCAAGTACAAAATCCACCACCAAAATAATCAAAACAACCCAATTTCACCAAAAGGGAAGAATGGTGGAGTACTCTATGTATGTAACCATAGGACACTTTTGGACCCCGTTTTCCTAAATCTAGCAGTTCAAAAACCACTAGCAGCGTTGACCTATAGCTTAAGTAGATTTTCAGAGGTCATTTCACCAATTAGAACGGTAAAGCTGAAAAGGGATCGAACCCAAGATGCTAAAACCATCGAAAATTTGTTAAACGAAGGCGATTTGGTGGTTTGTCCAGAAGGTACAACTTGTAGGGAGCCATATTTGTTGAGGTTTAGTTCATTGTTTGCGGAATTAACCGATGAAATTGTGCCCGTAGCCGTGAATACACATGTGACAATGTTTTATGGTACAACTGCCAGTGGATTTAAGTGGTTAGACCATATTTTCTTTGCCATAAATCCTAGACCATGTTATAGTGTTGAGGTCCTAGTTAAGCTGCCTAGGGAGTTGACTGTTTCTGGTGGGAAATCGAGCCATGAAGTGGCTAATTACATACAGAGCAAACTGGCCGATGCATTGGGTTTTGAGTGCACTAATTTGACAAGAAGAGACAAGTATTTGATGCTGGCTGGGAATGAAGGACTTGTCAACGATGATAATATTCCTAGAAATGTTTTCCAATGGAAAACAGGTAGAGTGAAGAAATAGCTAGTCTTTGGTATGGTGAAATTATGTTTGTGAAAATTTGTTTTCCATTTTATTCAATTTGTGGGTTTATTATGATGGAAATAATATTGGAGTATGTATTTCCTGTTTCTTTCACGTAATGGTACTATGTCTGCAATAATGCAAAGTTTATACAATAGAAAGCACTTTGTTCTTCACGACTAAATTAATATTTATCCAGCTATTCTGTGGAGCAAATTGGCCACAAAATGGCAACCAAATTGAATTCTTTTGCATGCGTGAAATCTTCCGAAATACATTAATTTTGAATCAATTATTATGTAGGGCACGATGCATTTAACGAATACATCCAACATTTTCTGTTCAATGGAAGGATATGTTAGACCAATTAGATCATGACATTATACAGGTCTCGTACTCTGTCATGTACTGATTGGAAACTAGGCTTTCATATCTCTCTTATTTGTTGGATTCTCTTTTTTGTTGGAGTTATTTTTAATATATTGTAGGGACAAAACTAATATGTTGTGCCTATTGGGTGTTTTCAATATATTATGGAGACACAGCTAATAAGTTGTACCTATTGACTCCATATGAAAAGACATTAACAAAAAGTTATGTTTATGACCATAACCAAGGTTATGTCTAATCCTCAAGGGTTTTTCTAAAACTCTATAAATATGGATCATTTGGATGCTTTTAGTGTACAATGAAATCACCAAATACTTGAAATATTTCCAATAACATTTCTTATACTTGCATCAGGTTGTTGGTTCACTAAAGTGCATAGTGAAACAACATGATCTCTATTTTATCTCATAGGAAATTCGCCTAGACTATTGCACTGTATAGTGGGCGAATTTATCCTAAAGGAAAGCAAGTTTACTTGTGACTTGGAGACAAACTTTCATTTATCATAACTATAAATTCTTCATCTTGTTCTTTGATCTAGTGCAACTATTATTGTCAACTATTCTTGAAGTAGAATTCCAACAATCTTTAGGCTAAAATTCGGTTAAACAATGACTAGTATTTGAAAAATCAAGAAAGGATATTTTTCGTTACACATGAAAATGATGGAAAGGTTTTAAATCATTGGATTCAATGGAAAGGGCAATGATAGAATACAAAGGACCTTGTCATCAAAGTAAGAAATATATTTTACTTGTGAATTGTGATATTCTAAGTTTAAGGTATGTATTTATTTGATAAATACCGAATGTATTGACGTGATCTATATATGAGTGAAACATGGTTGTAAAATTTATGACGTTTTGCCTGTAAAAAAATTTACTATACATTATTTGTTGATTGCTCAAATGTGTGGTTTCTATCAAAATAAAATACTTAATTAATGTGATGATTATTAAAAAAATAGATGTCATAAAAGGTTTGATAGAGAATTTGATCATGTTTAGTTTCTTGGTTTTAAATGGAAATGCAAAAATTTGCCTTTATGTGATGTAGCAATAGAGTGCTTTAATTGCGTGTTATAAATTTTCTGTTAAGTGGTGTGAACCTTGTTATCTTTAAAAGAATGTTGATAGAAAAATCGAACACACGGAATTTATTATGTGTTTTGTTTGGGATTGTCGGCTTGTTCGTCTACTAGAGTAAAGTTGACAGAGAAATTGACGTTCGTTGATATGTCTAACTGTTTGTTTTTGTCGACTTGTTCATCGGCTGAATTAAAGTCGACAAAAAAGTTGACATCCATCAAAGTGTCTGACTGTTTGGCCTCGTCGACTTAGTCGTCGCTTGGATAAAGTCGACGACAGAAATTTAAGTAAAACAAAATAAAATAAAATAATAAATTCGTGTATGCAGAATTTTTGTGAGTGCATCACATATTAATTTTTGATTTTGGGTCAATCAAATAAAAAAATTTGATCCCAATAAAGTGTTAGTTCCGTGTATTTGTGTTTGTTACATGATGAACGTTTAATCGCTTAAACGAATTTACAATTTATATGATAATTTCATGTGATACATAGTATGATTCATATACAAATTCAATCTTTGCATTTCTAAAATGATAAAGCAATTTAAGATTTAATTGTTTTTGTACACGTAATACATTATTCATGATTAAATTGAATATATTGCATAAATGAATAATTTTCATGAAGTGACACAAACTACTTAATCATTAACCTGAAAAGTTTCGTTCATGAATTATTATGACTTTTGAATTTATTTGGACGAAGAGATACACTAAAGAGTGTGTCTAGTGAGTCTAAATAAAAGGACAACAATGAACAATTGTGTCTAGAGACTCATGGCGAAATGACATAAACTAAAATTTTTGTCTAATCGTGACAAGTATAGTGACATCAACATAAAGTGATGTCTGGTATTTTTACTTGAAAAGACACGAGTCAAAATCGTGTCAAGTCATCCAAAAGGTAAAGTGAAACCAAAGGGTGTGAATGAAAAAGATATAAATAAAAAAGGTTATGTCTAGTCATTCAAGAGGCACAAACCCAAAGGTTGTTAATGAAAAGATACTAGTTAAACTTGTGTTTTATTTATGAAAAGTCACATGATATGTGGTTCATATGATAAATTATGATATATCATGATATCAACGTACATTATGAATATGCCATGTTGTCATTATTATATGAGGATAATGATATTTTATATGTTGTACATGGTAACTCTAATTTGTGAAATTATCTTTTGACATGAAAGCAAGTAGTGTTTATTTAATATATAAGAATCAAATAAGTGCATATTGAAGAAATATTTAAATGACAAATGAGTCATTATATGTTTGGATGTAGATGACAAGTTAATTTTTGGTATACATAGACTTGGAATAAGTCTTAGAAACCAAAAGAGAAATTGTTATGTATTAAATTTGAGATTGAAGACATGGTTAAAATTAATGTCTTGTTTGAAAAGGAATTGAGAGAAAATGTGATACAATCACGCATAGTCTGCCTTGCTATATAGAGAAAAATTCTAAAAAATTCAATCATTGAATTGTAAACCTGAGTGATTCACATAAAACTTATCATATAATATGTTAAGAGTTAAAGGGAACTTTCATCTCAAATTTATGTGCACATATAGTCAAAAGTTGGATATGATGTATGTGACTTGCATAATTGTATGATTTAGTTGAGATCACTGAATTTAGTGTGATGTATAAAAATTGAAATCAGAAGGTCATTTAATGCATATGTTTAAAGTTTATATACATGTATTCTAGTATATATGAACCTATGTGAAATATGGTCAAAAGTTTGAGCTTGTATAAAATAAAGTATTGCTTCTTGTATACCAGTAGAAAGGTGTGTTAATGTTTAAGACATTAAGCAAAATCATTGTCTAAGTATGGCATTTAGCTAATGCTTAAGGGAAAAGTTGTTCAACAGCTTGTGATATATAGATAGAACTCTAAATACAAGAGATTCTATATATAAGCCCTATATATTTTCTTTGGACTAAAGAAAAATGAACCTCAGTCACTAAGAATTAGAGGTTGTCGGTCAATTGACAAGGTCCCATAACCTAATACAAAGAAGTTGGGAGAAAGAGGTGTTTCGTTCATTTTCACTGGATATGCACATAATAATTTGGTCTATTGGTTTCAATAGATGTTACCTTCAATGAAGATAGATACACCTTAATGTTGATAATAACTAGAATTGAAGGGAGACAACTTAAACTAAGATTTATGCTCAAGTCATTGAGACTTAAGAAGCAAATAACAAGGGTCAAGTCCTTGATTAGTGGTATATATCTTGTTATGGGAAAAAGATTTGAATATTAGTAACAAAATCTTTTGTTGCTGTCATACCAATTAGCTCAAATTTGACATGTGCAAAGTTACATGATAAGTAACAAATAAATTTAACTATGTGTGCTAGTAGTTTAATTTAAATTGATGCTACACTTATTTGTAGTAATCATAGTATGACAAAAGTAATACAATTATGAATTTACATAATATGTTTTCATATATGGTTTGCAAATTCATGTCTTACTATATTTTTGAATTGTTTGTATCAATATTTTGAAGTTTCCATGAGATCTCAAAGAAATAGGAGATCATCTGTTTGGAAAACTTGAAACTCTTCATATAGAGTGAAAGAGTTTAGAGAGAATAAAAGAATTCTCAGAGTTTGAAGAGAATAAAATAATTCTCTATTAAGGTTAATTAAAAAGGAGAATGATCCTTGACCAAAGTCCACATTATGAAAAATGGACAAAACATGATGTCCATGTTTGAAATCAAATCTTCCTAGATAACAATGAATAAGATAACACGAAGCTACCATATTGTAACAAGGAATGACACTAAGAGCTTGAGTGTAAAATTCCTGTAACAAGAGAAATGGAGCTAATTCTTCTAAGAATATGAAGAAAGAAATCATGACATGATGATTTTAGAACCTTCATATTAGGGAATATGATTTCATTGTTGGGTTGATTGTGAAGTTTGAAAGAACAAACTGGTTCTTCAAAATGCTAAACATGATCATATTAATTAGTAGTCTGCATGCATTGTTTTTTGAATTGTGTTCACAAGATGAGTTAAGTAACTCATGTTGAGAACTAAAGTTCTTGACAAGATTTGAGTCGATAGACTCTGTGTGAAGAAATCATCCTTAAAATTTGAGTTAAAAAACTCATAAGGAAGGATAAATCTTAAAAGACATTTGGTCTAACGACTGAATGACTTGGGGGGATATATCTAAAGTCCAGAAATAATTACATGCATTGGAACCTCAATTCAACGCTAGTAAATACTCTAGTCTTGAATTCAATGAGCGATAGTACAATGTACAAGTAATTGAGCACTACAATATTTATCCCAAAGTAGTTAGTGCTATATATTTCCCGCTGGGTATCAGGTTGAGAATTAGCTCTTAACAAACCCTTGTAAATGCCAAAATGGCGGGGGCATTAAGAAGTTTGCATGTATGAATGTCAGACTGGGCATCCACAAAGCTTGGGACTTGGCTTTGTGAACATTCATGAAGAGATATCGGTACAAGAGCTTACGTACT